ATTTCAATATTTGTTTTTCTTTATATATCATACAAGTTATTGCTTAAGCATCACACTTTCGGCTAAGTGCGATTGTCTGAATATTCATTTGCGAGCGAGCAAAGCGAGCGAGAAAAAATGTAAGATCTGTGAGGTCGTAGAGTAAAAAATTACATCTTATAAAGAGGGGAAAAAAATCATGATGGGGTTATAAGCATCACGGAAGACTAAAAAAACATTTGTTTTAAAGTGACATATAATTGTATCATCTATAAATGCGAGCGAGCGAGCGAGCTTTAGGGGAAATTACTCTTAGTCGCTTTAAATTAGGTGCAAGACTAATGATGAGCAGGTTAGGGGGCACGTGCCCCCCGTGCCCCCCCCCCCCCGATGATGAGAGGTTAAGGGGACACATATCGAAAGGGATAAAGACACTTATTAGAAAAGAAAAGGAGCATGTGTCAAGGTACAAAGAGTAATTATCAAAGGTTCAAACTGGGCACTTCTTACACCTGAAAGGAGGCACTCACCAGAAATGAGATAGGGCACTTATGAGTATGGGAAATGGGCATTTGTCGACGGAAAAGGGGCATCCATCAGAAATTGATTTATCAGAGGTGAAAAGGGGCATTTATGAAAAGGGGATAGGTCCCTATATAGAAAGGAAAAGGGGCACGATTCAAAATTAAAGGGCAGTTAGCAAAGGTGAAAATGGGCACCCATCATAGATGAAAAGAGAGGGGAAGGGGTACTTTTCAAGGTAAAATGAGCATCTCTCAGATTCGAATAGGGGCAATTATCGGAGGTGAAGAGCGCACTGAAGTGAAACGAATTAACTTCATATAATATGAAAATGGTCATTTACCAGAGATGAAAAGGGACACTTTTTATTTATGAAGGGCCTCATTTTTCTAAATAGCCCTTATCAGATAGGAAAGGGGGCACATGTGTTGATGAAATGTGCGCTTATCCGAGTTAAAAAGGGGAAGGGGCACTTCTTTACAAAGTAAAAGTGGCCCTTTGGGGGGGGGGTACTTGAAGAGTGGGGCGAACTTTGCCCCCTACCCCTGCCACCCGCCCCATCATCTGAAAATCCAAAATGATGTTGTAGGGGCCGGGCGCGGCTTTATCATGAGTGCTTTTATGTGAACCTCTTTTTTTATAAATATATTATGCTGGATTCTGACCCAGATTGCACACTCTAAAATGATAGTATGATCATCCCCAATACGCTTGTAGTTCACGTATGCACCCCTTCCTCCTAATTCGTCGTTACCGTCACTGCCATTTACGTATGGCCGGCGTATTTTTATTTACACGCTAGCGAGGGGAATTTCTCGATTAATTCCAATGAAACCGCTTAAAATTCCAATTTACATCCAGGAGAAAGTTTTGCTTAACTTTTTCTTGAAACACTTGAACGGTTATGGAAACTGTTTGTGTTTCTAATCTCCAAATATTAATATTATTCTGCATCAAATATTATACAGTTATTGACTGGCAGGGGGTGTAATATAACATTATTTGGACCGCTGAAGGGAGTTATATTTCCCAAGTGGTTATATTTTCCCGAAGCGCGCAGCGCTGAGGGAAAATATGGTCACGAGGGAAAATATAACTCCCTTCAGGTCCAAAGAATGTTATATACCCCCTGCCAGTCAATAACTGTTATATTAGATAGCCTTGGGTTTTTTTTTTTGTGGGGGGGGGGGGGGGTCCATATTTTTTTTAGCCCGAATTTTTTTTTTTTTTTTTTCGGAGACAATCAAAATTACGGAAAAATAATTTGTCGAGATCACCTTTAAAAAAAAAAAAAAAAAATTGGGGTTAAAAAAAAAAAAAAAAAAAAAAATTAGCATTAGCAAAAAAAATAGCATTTTTCGGGAAACAAAAAAAAATTATTAAAAAAAAAAATTTACCCAAAAAAGCATTTTTTGGGGAAAAAAAAAATGTGGAAAAAAAAATTTCTTGGGAAAAAAAAAAATTCATGAAAAAATAAAATGGCCCTCGATAATGGTGTAATGTATGTAGTTGGTGACATACAGTCCTCAAGAGGGCGACATGCATTGATTAAAAATATATTCATTTCACCAGCCGGTAAAATATAACACTGAAAAGTGACCGGCCAGGAAAATATAACAATTGGATCCTCGCAATTGATATCACGTGACGAGCTCTGGACCAATCACATCTCGGTATCTGTCTAAGCTATCTAATATAAAACATTGATTTCTACTGTGATATGTAAAGGCACGAACTTACGTTAATACATACACATATTTTTTTTGTAACCAAGAAGGCGCACCATGGTAATACATTTAACAAACACATCAACATGTTACCTAGACAACTCATCACCATAGCCATTGTAAAACCATATATTAATGATACATGTAAAATATAGATTGAAGCCATTCTCGTCGATTGGCTGTATCCTGAGTGTGATTTATATAATGGATTTTGAGTAACATTTGCATCTACCTGTAGTTGAAGAAAAGATACAGTGTATAACATCAATTAAGTTGGAGTTCAATTGGAAGGAAGTAACGACGAATATTGAAGCAAGGGAGACTGGGAGATGAGGAAAGCAGGAAGTTAGAAATTGAGAGATTACTCGCGTGATAGCCTTGCATTAATGAATCCTTTATATAATGTTGTCTTGAGAGAAAGTAGACGATTTTTTTTTTAAATTGGAGATTAGTGCAAGTATTAGATATATTGGAAATAGAATTAATGAGAAAGTTTTTTTTTTATCGAGATCAATACATGGGGGGGGGGGGGGCACCATCAAAATAGGGCACTTTCTGGAATATAAGGTACACCTACAAAGGGAAACATCAAAATGTAAATCTACCATATTAAGACATTAATAGACGTACGCGTAACGCATGTCACACACAGAAAAATGAGAAGAAAAGAAAGAATATTTTTTTTTAAAAAGAAGATAGAGGAAAAGGAGAGAGACAGAGAGAGGGAGAGAAAGAAAGAAAGAAAGAAAAAAAGGAAGAACATGAAACTTAACTTTACACTTAGGCCTACATATTACATTTCCGACTGAGTTGGCTCGACATGTGCTGAAGTAGTCTACGGACGAAAGTACAACAATACGAAAACAGAAGTTATATGAAATTGTCTTTAAGAGAGAAAGAGAGGTTAAATTCTAAAATGAAATGAAAGGGGTTATGTGACTCTCAAGGAAGAAATTACAATTTCTATCGCTCATGACGACTATTTGGAATTTCCTAATTTTTTTTAAAGTTCAAGAACTTCCTGGGGCTCCGCCCCATGCAAGACTCTCGGCAACAGCAAATTATTTACACAATTTCTTGCTGTCTGCTGCCTCGAGATCACTGGAGCGAAGAAAGGTAACATATAGCAAGAATCCCTATTCAGTGAAGGATTTATCCCTTTTATTATTAAAGACTCCCGACAAAGGCTCTCCCCCTGCAAAATTGGAGAGAGTTTTATGTAGTTTAAGCTTCTAACAACCACGCCCGTGGACCTTTTATTATTTACACAAAGGTAAAAGTGTATAGCAAGAATCCCTATTAAGTGAAGGATTCATCCTTTTTATGCAGATGCTTCTTCTACCATTCTTGACCAGAAGTGCGTTTCAAACTCAATGATATGGGCATCATCCCATTGAATGTTGTGTCCAGTGTTACGGGTTTGTTTTGCTACTTGCTGCCTAATCTGAGGGCTCTGTTGTGCTCTTTAAAAAGAGGACACAATAGGGGCGGCGCAATTTAAATATCAAGGAATGTATTAGAGTTTATTTCTAAAATGAAATGAAAGGGCTATTTGACTCTCAATAAAAACTCTAATCCATCCCTTGAAATTTAAATTGGACTGCCCCCATTCAGTGTGCCATTTTCAAAGAGCCCAAAAAGGCTTCAGATTGAAGATTCCATCTCATAAAATCGTCTATAAGAGAGAAAGAGAGTTTATTTCGAGAGAAAAAAATGAAATGAAAGGGCTACTTGACAAGAGCCCTTTCATTTCATTTTAGAAATAACCTCTTTTTTTCTCCTAAAGACAATTTCTCTCTTGAAAAGGCTCTGCCAGACCCCTCAAGCTCTGCCATGTTGTATGGATCCATTAGAAAGCAAAATAAGCCCACTCAATAATTGATATAAATTATATTAAAACGTCATAGGCATAGCGATTCATCCAAATAAGAAATCCAAGTATGAGGCATTTTGAAAGTTTTAAGAAAATTCTTTCAAATTCCAGGATATTGGGTGTTCTTTTTCAGGAAACTCTATTTAAACGAGTGGAAGCACTGGCGGTTCTGTTTTTTAAACTGTAACAATTCTCCTTGGATCAGATATAGACCAAAAACAAGCCTCATTATCTTCAGTATACAAGTGTCATTTCGGACCTTACAGCTTTCATAGAAATCGCTTCTGGACCGTCAAAGAAAAAGTTTGAGAACCCCTGGTCTACGCATTATACACATCAGGACCAACTTGACAACTTGACAAAAATTTGAGGGGGGTTCGACCCCCCTATAGAGGGGGAGGGGGGGGGGGGACGGGGGAGGGGGGGCATAGCCTGTACCCCCCCGAATATCACAATCACAACACTTACCTCCGAGGTTCCGGCTATATCAATAGCCCATGGAGGCAACATAACAAATATAGAGGTAATAATTGATTGGACCTTTGAAGAAAATAATGAAAACTAAACTTGCGAACAGCTAGATGCATTTTCCTCTATATACAGGTCATGCATTTCCTTTATACCCTATGATCTATATTACCCTTTTCATTTTACTCAAAAGTTAATCGCGGCTGTCTCATATGTCCCTTTATTTGCCTATGGTTATGATTGCTAGATCATCTTCATCAATGGGAAATGAAGGGGGGGGGGGGGGGGGGGTGTTAAGTAAAATTAAAATAAAAAACTACCTGAGGGAGTATGCCAAAAATATTTACTAAAGTAAATTGTATATGATGCGTACGTGTGCGCGTGCGTCATAGAGTCTATATAGGATCTCTATGGCGTGTGTTAGTGCGTACGTGTCCGTAATCAGCTGAAGACGTAAGGTCAAGGGTTATTGCATAATTGCAAATTGCAAAAGCTGAACTTCCTAAAGTTGGCTGTGGCCGATTTTTGATTTTTGTGTGAAATAATTTCGATTTATTTCGTAAAGGTGATGTGAACAGATCAAGGGTGCTTTGAAAATATACTGAGGAGATTTCGGAGTTAATTAAGAGGTGAGTTAGAGGGGCAGTGCAGTGTGAATGATCAAGCGAGCGCGAGTAAAGTTCGGAATCGGAGGGGCGGCTTGCGCTTGAGCCATGGCCTGAGGCTGAGCGAAGCTGAATCGAGAGCGCTGAACTGCTAGCTGAGCTCTGCAGTACTTGTGTAACCGTGTCAGTCAGACAGCAGCGCCCGCCCTATTGAGTTGTTCTGTGCGAATTTTGTGTGAAATTAATATGATTTTGAGTTGGAGGCACTCAATTCTCAAGGAGGCATTTGCCGTTACTCAGCTCTGTGGCGTTACCGTTAGTAACTTTTTGTGTAGGAAAAACTGTTGAATTAGATTCTAAGTCTCAAGACGACCTTGATCAGTATGGCGCTGGCCCAAGAATAACGATCGTCTGCATGAACGAGGATCGTCTTTGTTAACGCGGACTGATGCGTTCTTAAAATACTGATACGTCAGAGCAAAGAGGTATCTCTTTCGTCTTTGGTCAGAGCAAGCAACACATAGACTAATCACCTTCCAAATGTGGAATTCCATGTACCCGAACTGATTTTGCACTAAAAACAATTATGTTTACAGGACCCAGTTACTGGAATGCCCTCCCTTAGAGTTGAAAGTCCTTCCTTATATCCTTTCAAATGTAATCTGAAGGAACTGCTATTTAAAGCATATCGACGTCAATATGTAACCTTTGCGTGCAAGCGCGTTGGGTTTGGCTGTCGTGCTTTTGGAAATACGTCTAAAAAAACACACAATAAAACATCCTTACTTTTATATTCGAGAGTGTAACGGCTGACAAAAAGCGCTTGCTCGCTTCGTTATTCTATTTATGTATGTTATGTAGACTAATATACAAATGTTATCATTTATTATTATTTGTAATGACATGTTCGGGTATGTGTATTTTTGTCTACATTGTAAAATAGGGAGGGAAAATATAAACAGCACCACTGCATGTTTCTTTATTCTTTCCCTTTTTATTTCTATTTTTTGATTCATCTGGATTGGTCACTATTTATATCCGATCTCCATTTATACAGCTTTACAAGCTTGCTTTCATGTAAGTCCCATGATATTTCTCTCAGTTAAATCAGTACTCTATATTGACCACTTTATCTTTATGTTATTTATGATGTATTATTGATTGTTATGTTATCACACAAAAAATAACTTGTACTTTATTTTGAAATGTAGATAGATGAAACATGAGAAATATGAAAATAAATGAAATAAAAAATAAGGATGGTCTGCATTTTTGCAGACGTTTCATATTGTTGATGGGCACGTTGGCGATGCGGAAAACGGATTCTGTGATGATTTTCTTGATGCCTTTTACGTTGACTTTGTACAGGGACTTTCACATTATGAGCGATAAATACTCTTAGCCTCTTTCTAGAGTTTGCGACGTTAGTCCTGGCTGTAATACAAAGAAATGCAGTGTACACAGGGAAAAAAAATGTTTTTGCATTGCCAACTTGGTACTTACTTTACGATGATAGTGATTTTGTTAAGTATAAGAAGGCGTACACAAGGAGTTCGCTGAACTTAGCCAAAAGAAAAGAAAAAAATTGAATAAATACCAATAAAAGAAGAATAATATTGTATTTTTCACCAATATATTTTTTTCAAATTTCCCTTTATCTTCTAGTATAAATGAAGTATCATGTTTCCTGAGGCTGAAGCTAGTGAATCGATAGAAGCTACATCAACCGAAGCCATGGGTGGACCAGCGATTGGTACGCTGGACATCTTTCTCCTCAGTCTGAGTGTAGGAGTGGGGGTCTACTGGTTCTTCTTTAGGAAGAAGGCAGAGAACAAGACAGAGGGACTCGTTAATCCCATTACAAGGTATGGAAGGAGTGAGATATTAATTGATTAATTCATTTCCCTATTGTGTAAGTATTTTTATGCCACTATACTATATTCAAAGTATGACTATCCAATATTACTTAAATAATCTTGTTAATGCCACGTAGGGATATGGATTGACATATTAAAGCCTGTCTGCACTAGTTTGGCCAGATGGGATTAGACATCCCTGCATGGTCACTGACAGGTGGTTATCTTATCATATCAGCTCTTGATTAACATAAGAAAAAGATAAGGCAGATAAGGCATTGTTTGCTATATAGGGGCGCAAGTATCTAAAAGTAGTGCGGTGGTGCTTTAAAATATACAAATCACTAACAAAATATTTTGCCCTATACGCTAACCTGTATTCAAAGTATGTGTTTCCAATATTGCTTACATGTATATAAAGAGATCTACATGTATGCTAAGCTCAAGTTTAGATACAAATTAACACAGAGGGGACTGGAAAGTAGACCACTTGATGCACTTTACATGTTCGCATATGATGCATAGAATAAGCCCTCACTGAAAGCAAGTCCCATGCGCAGGTTAAATGTTTTTTTAAATTTTCTTTTAACTCCTTAACCCATAGAATGTAAGGTAAATTTTGTAAAGGTTATTTGACACATTCTAGCCGTGTATAAATGATTTTTTAGGTGAATTGTACACTTTAGTGACATAATGACATTAATTATGTTTTCAGTATGGTTATTGTTTAGGTTGGGCAGCGTTCTTGCTTATATATACATGTAGTTTGCTGGCACAACTCCTCGTCAGTCATGCATATTTCAGAGTGTCTGAACTCTGAACTGTATATCTCTACTGCTCTCCATAAGCCCTCTAGACACAGCTGATGACTGACAGATTTAGATTAGGCTCAAGGCTTTATGATACCTTTAAAAGTGTCAAATTAAAGTCTGTGTCTTGAGACTAGCCTACATGTGTTCATGTGACAATCATGTGATGAGTGTTGATAAGGTAGTATCATTCATTGACTTACAAATATTTGAATACTGAGCATGTCAAATGGAGCAATATTTGGTTAGCAATATTTAGTTAGCAATATACGGTAAGGGGAAACGAAAATGAAAGTGGCCATGAATACAAACTATGTACTACTTTTAAACTTGTATACACTGTGGGTAAATTTAGAATTGGACATCATCATATGTAAGATTTTACCCAATTGCATATATGGGACCAAGGGGGATGTTTCACAAAGACTAGGAAAGTCTATAAGTTGGACTTAACTATGGCAGGCCGTTCATGTCACTGTTTGCCCTCGCCATTTACTGGCATTGGTTTTTCAAGGGACGTACAAATTATGGTCACAAATCTACAGAATTTACACGTTTTGATAATTCAATATTGAAGGAAAAATGTTATCTACAGATCATAATGGTGAGAGCAAATAGTGGCATGAATGAACTTGAAGTGTTCCCTGTAATATGCCTATATGCCTATATGCCGGAGTGTTGGCTCAGTCAGTAGAGCGTCCGCCTCACAACCGGGAGGTCGTGGGTTCGAACCTTGGCCGCGTCATACCAAAAGACGTTAAAAGATGGGAGTTGTTGCTACCTTGTTTGGCGTTCAACAATAAGGGATAGAGCAACGTCGATCTGGCGCTGCTCAGTGGCTGCCGGGCTCACGATCAATCGGGCAAAAAGAATTTCTGTTTCGGTTTAATAAAATTTGGAGTGGACTTTAAAAGATTATTATTATTATTATAGGAATTCGAGAATTCAGTAGTCAACGGGGTAACACATCTCACACAATGTAGAATATTCAAGTGTTCAAATCATATACAGCACAGGTGTAATTGGGAATTGAAAGATGGAACCCATTTCAAACAACTCAAATCCTCTTGAAAGCTGTGGCATATATTCAGATGTCATGTTTGCAAAATTAAGTTTGAGATACCTTTGGGATTTATTCCTTGTGACCAGCTCGCATTCATTTGTGCTTTCAAAATTATTGAAATAACGACAACCTGTTTACATGGACATACTGTATACAATGTAGGTAACCTTAGAAATAAATATGAATGTGCCTACATGTAATACCATAATAGATAATATGCAGGTGAAGGTGTACATGTGAATTGAAATATTAGAAATGTTTTAGATAAACAATTCAGTTGACTGTTCACCGAGTACATTGTTCTACACATCTGTTTATACATGTACATGTACATGTTGACCTTGTATTTTCATCAGGTCATATTTATTTACATAGACCTCAGGGAATGATCAGCTTTCAGCACCTTAGGCAAGCTGTGTGAATGTGAAGAAAAGAAAAGAGGTCATGAAATGTATTCAGAATCCCAACTGATGACAGACAACTCACATTACTTTCATAAAAGATAAAGCTGAATTCTGGCCATGCAATTGCATTTGATAGAAACTATCTGAACAGTTTAATAGGAAGGTTGATTTTGCAGTACTGGTACTTAATAATTGAAGTACATTTTGCATGTACAGTTAAAGGTACTATGTCCCATTTGCAGGCCAAAAAAAATGAAAAACTTAAATTCCAACTGCATTTGAAAGATAATACTTATTTAGAACTTCCCTAAAAAAGGTGGGGCTTGAAAATGTCTTCAAGTGGGAAAATAATGACTATTAGTTGTCAAATCGACTTTAGGGCTATAGAGCCCAAAAGTAATAGTCTTGATTTTCAGACAATTGTACCGAATGGTCATACGTTTTATGCTGCACAAAGATTTAATCAGTTTAATCTTGGCCATCACAAGAAGTGGGTTATTGATGTAGACACATGCTCATGTACCCTTTACATCTCTTTTCATGTATGTTATTACCAAAGAAGAAAAAAGCCAGTCAGTCACTCAATAGTGTCTGACAGTGAAGTCTAGCAAGTAAACGGGTTTCCTTGCATAATTTGAATATGAGGACACTGCTAACGTTTAAATTTCACAGATAGGACATACATGACATATTCATAATTCCTGCAAAGTTCTACAGAATTTGAGGTTGGCTGCAAAAGGGACATAGTACCTTTAACAAGTAAATTGTTCATACCCTTACCAGGTTTTGTAATTTTTTAAGTATTTGAAAAAAAGATTTGTCACAATTTAGGTTTCTTGAGAATGTGATATTTAATGAAGCCTACATCTACAAGTATTCAACAAAGGCCCTAATTCAACCAATCCACCTTTGATTCTTGAGTTATGAAATACACCACCCCCAAAACCCATTTTGACGAGGAGTATGAATTATTCAGTTATTAGACTGTATGCTGTGAGGATTTTTAATGAACAGAATTTAAAGGTATAGATTTAGTCGTGGGTACATGGGACCACACACAAATGCTTGGTGCAAAGCTGTTCAGCTATTTCTTGTCATGTTTTAAATATGAAGGCATTTGAAGTACAGTCTTTTTCTCAGGGAACAAAATATTTATTTTTCGGGGGCTACTTTTCAAGCTTGCCTGCCTGAAAATAACATTCTAAAATTTGTTTTGCGTTAAACTCTATGTAAATTTATGGGGGCTCTTTTCTGATTTTCGGGGGCTCTTTTGGGCATTTCAGGGGCTATTTCGCCCTGAGACCTCGTGTATTTTTTTCACTGCTTTTTCTTTCAAACTGTCATTCAATAAATGAGAAAACCCACAAATATATATTTTTAATGACCAGAACTAAACAAATCTATTTATTGTTATACAGGTTTTGGTCATGGTCATCGATCTAGTAGAAATGTGTGTCCGGTGTGCATACATTTACACTTACATGTAGATACATTTTTGTATGTTGCCTAAAACCAAAAGGATAATCAAATTTCTTCCATTACCTATAAATGTTAATAAAGTAAAATAATATGAGTTCTGTGAAATAAAGAATTTTATCCATGAAGTATCTACAAGGTATGAGAGATGCACTGCTGCACAAGAAATTTACAAGTGACATGGAGTCTCAAGAATTACATGTACATGAGAGTGAATAGATCACTGATGAAAAGGTCACTGATGTAAAGGTAAATACACTTTTATCATAACATTGATGTCATTGACAGTTTTCTTTTTTCTTTTTTCATATCTTTCAGTTCCTCTATGACAATGAGCTCAAACAGTGGGTCAGGATTTATCACGAAAATGAAGTCATCTGTAAGTTGTAATTTTTATATCAAAGTCCATTAGATGTTGACTTTTATTGACTTCTCACCTGATAAGATTTATGATTTTAAATTATTATTGATAACAAACTTTGATAGTGTACACGGGATGGAAGTCATTCTTGGGTAATGTTTCCATGAGATGTGACATACATGTTCATGTAGGAGCATTTAAGGATATAACATTGACCTATTAGACTTTTAAAGTGTTATGTTCTAGCTCGATATAGCAAATATTGATTCCATGCTCGTATGAATAATAATTTTTGATATCAGTGATGCACTTGATAATTCTTTTATGATATGGACTTCACTGATATAGTAGTTCAAAGGATATATGTACTTTGATGTAAAACAAAAAGTACATAGACCTTCACCTTACAGATTATTACTACTAGGTTAAGATGGGATACACATGAATTTTATGAATGTGAACTTTGGTACAAATATGTTTATTTATTCAATGATGTGGTGTTAGACGAAGTGGTGTTGTCTTATAATTGATAAGTCACCTGAGCATATTGTGCAATGTTCTTATCCCTGTCACTGCACTTTAAAACATCCTTGTTTTGATGCTCATCTACATTTGCCACTCTCCACCCAGGTAAAAACAGAAAAAGTATCTGGCTGTCTGGTATGGACAAAAAAAATGTAATTTTATTCTAGATTTTGTGAATGCAGGAAAACAAAGTTGCATAATACGCCTAATATTGCTGCTACCGTTGCTTGTTTGTTGTTGTTGTTTTTGTTGATCTTCTTCTTTCTCCCTTATTCCTCCTCTTGCCCTATCTTCTCTTCTTCTGCTTCCCCTTCTTCTTCTTCTTCTTCTTCTTCTTCTTCTTCTTCTCCTTCTTCTCCTTCTCCTTTTTCTCCTTCTTCTTCGTCTTCTTCGTCTTCTTCTTCTTCTTATCCTTCTTCTCCTTCTTCTCCTTCTTCTTCTTCTTCTTCTTCTTCTTCTTCTTCTTCTTCTTCTTCTTCTTCTTCTTCTTCTTCTTCTTCTTCTTTCTTCTTCTTCTTCTTCTTCTTCTTTCTTCTTCTTCTTCTTCTTCTTCTTCTTCTTCTTCTTCTTCTTCTTCTTCTTCTTCTTCTTCTTCTTTCTTCTTCTTCTTCTTCTTCTTCTTCTTCTTCTTCTTCTTCTTCTTCTTCTTCTTCTTCTTCTTCTTCTTCTTCTTCTTCTTCTTTCTTCTTCTTCTTCTTCTTCTTCTTCTTCTTCTTCTTCTTCTTCCTCCTCCTCCTCCTCCTCCTCCTCCTCCTCCTTCTTGTATTTTCTTGTTGTTGCTGTTGTTTCCATCATCATTTAATGAATGTTTAATTACTTTACCCAATTTCTCTTTGTTTACAGTCTAGGAACGTGGTAGTGTTCTATGGTTCTCAGACGGGTACAGGGGAAGAGTTTTCAGTTCGGCTGGCCAAGGAAGCCCAGCGTTACGGTCTGAAGGGCATGGTAGCAGACCCCGAGGAAAACGAGATGGTAAGAAAAGCTCCCCATAGTCCCATCAATTCATTCTCAAGCTGAGCTGATAACAGCTGCAAGAGTATCTTAAGGCCATCCATTTGAAAATAATGAGATTTATTAGTTCAAACTTGATAATGGAGAAATATCCAAATACATTAATTATTAAAAGGGCGATATACAAGATTGTAGAGGATGTTATTAACTTTAGAGTCATAAATAACCCACAAGATGAGACAAAAAACATTTCATCTGTAAAACACTCTTAATTATACCTGTAAGCTGAGAAGGTCAATTTAACGAGGCTAAGTGCCTCTGTTTTAGGATGTGTAATCTAACATATGCTTCAGCATCATATGTGCTGGGCTTTATTCCATAAAACATTTGGGATTAAGGTTGCAGTTTTTGTGTTAAAATGTCAAGTATTTATTTCAGGGTTGGATTGAGAAATGTTGAAAAAGTGTAGGCAGACGAGCCATTGTCACAAGAGCATGTGTTATATGACCATGATTTGAAGTAAATATTAAAATATGTCCATTTCCCTCTGTATGTTAAGATATCAAGTGCTTTTGCTAGTATAGTAAAGTAGTAAGTAACATAAATGGTAATCCAAGAGATAATTTCTTTGTTTATGTCATTCAGCAACATATTGTTTAAAACCTTTACTAGTTGTTATAAAATACTTTTTTACGTGTTTAAAAAAAAAAAAAATTGTTTTATTGTTATAATTCTAATCGTATGTGTACAATATGTATTGTGTGTGTTATGTATTAAAGTAATAGGAGGTGCATGGTTAGATATATCAAGCAGCTATTAAATATATATGTCGCATGATAAACTTCATTCTATTTGGTATGTAGGAGGACTTGTCCCAACTAGCTGATATAGAGAACTCACTTGCTATCTTCTGTGTGGCTACGTATGGTGAAGGAGACCCAACAGATAATGCTCAAGAGTTCTACGATTGGTTACAGGACGGCAACGGTGACCTCTCAGGGGTCAAGTACACTGTAAGTTATTCATACAAGAAATGTACACACTTAATAATGCAGTCAAACCTGCTTTAGCAACCACCTGTATGGAAAGACCACCTGTCCTTAAAGACCACATTTTCTGTTTCCCGTGAATAGTGCTTATCATTGAACGTGCACTGAAGGGATCTTGGGCCCGTATTACAAATAGTTGATATCAATCGCAAGTATGTACATAGGAGATTAACAGATAGGAGACTGCAAACTTACGATTGATTGGAGAACTTTCTGGATCAATCGCAACTCTTTGTAATACGGGGCCCAGAGCATGAAGTCCATCTGCTCACAAAGACTGCTTTACTTGTCTCCCTTGAGTGGTCTTTATATACAGGTTTCACTGCATGTGGTTTGGGGATGGAAAATGTAGTTTAAACTTTTTAACCTTCATGTATTGCCGTTTTGATCTGGTTAACATTGATGATTGTTTTTTCAACAAATATTCTACTCATCACTAAATTACTCCTTGGATATAAAAATAACAGTACCAAATATAAATTTATAATGAAGAGTCATTAAAAAGGAAACATTTTAATGTGTTGTAATAGCAGTATCGTCGAACCATTGACCCCTTTCCCTTGTTCACATCTGCTTCACTTTTAGAAAATTATTAATTTGAGATAAAATTTTAATTTTTAGACAAATTGAGAACCTGTTGATTGCTTTGACTGAAACCTATGGAAGAATGTGTTTCAGTCATGAGCAATGTTACTGTCGAGAATGGATATAAGTAAGGAAGGCTTGCAACTGCTTTAATTTCAGTTTGTAAATAATCACAAATGCACACCATCTGTCATGGCTAGAAAATGTAATGCCTTTAAATTTTTTTTTTCCATGAACGGTTCAGTGTAATTGCCATGTACCTCCAATGTACTTTTCCCATCTTATCCTTTCCTTTCACCTGTTCCCCATAGGTGTTTGGCCTTGGCAACAAGACCTATGAACACTATAATGCCATGGGCAAGTATTTGGACAAACGATTAGAAGAGCTTGGCGGAGAGAGGATATTTGAACTTGGATTGGGAGATGATGACCAAAAGTAAGTATTGCTCTTACTTTTGATATAGTTTTATTTTCAGAAAACATACATGTACTTCTCTCCTGTACCGGTAATTTCAAATAGAAAGGTATTTAATTTTTGTTTATATAGCTTGTAATATTTGTTTGCTAGTTTGTTTATTTATTTTTTATTTTTTTATTTTGCTACACAAGGAGAAGAATTATTTTAAATCAGTTAGACGATACATATTTCTGAAAGCATAAAGATTTTTGTCACATTCAGTTTTATTCTTAACATTGAACCTCAATTTAAAGATATGCATGTTATAGAAAGCCATAATCTTTTTCTCTGAAAAATGAAAGAAATGTGATTCAAATTGAAATTGTTATGTGCATTTTCTGATTTTGCCATGAAGTTCAACAAATTTGTATGTCTCCAATGTAGTAGTCCCCTTTTCTCACTTGTTTTTCAAACAAAAATGTTAGGCCTATTGTATGAGTTCAGGACAAAATCAAGATGATTATTAAAAAAAAAAAAACTGCTATGTTTTGTGTTTTAGTATTGAGGAAGATTTTGTGACATGGAAGGATCGTTTCTGGCCTGCAGTCTGTGAATATTATGGATTAGAAGCAACGGGTGATGAATCAAAGTAAGTCCATTGTTAATTCTTTTCAGTTAATGCAGTAAATCCTGCTTGTTTACTTACCGTAAATCTCTGTGTATAAGGCGCACCTGTGTATAAGGCGCACCCCTATCCTTTTGGGTTTGCTTTTTTTCCTCCCGAGTCCAAACCAAATTTAGACAGGCTAGTTTTTGAGTTGTGATTCGATATCCCCCGTGTAAGTGAGCTGCATGATACAGGTGAGTGAGCTGGAGACACGGGAGAGCTTCGGCCGGCAAAGTGCTTTGTGAAGGGGCATAATTTATCGAGACTGAAAAAAAAAAAAAAAAAAACTCTCTTCCCTTCAAATTAGGAACGTTGTTTAACTTCAAATAGTAGATCCTATTCTTTATTTGCATTATGTCATTCATGTTGAGACACAGAGATTTTCGGAAACCACTAAAAAGAAGCATTTTGAGGACTCAAAATATCCTGTACCTGTGTATAAGGCACACCCCCGACTTTCGATTTTTCCCAACAGAAAAAAAGTGCGCCTTATATATACACGGAGATTTACGTTATGTTATTTCAAAACTGCGACACTTGTCTGTGTGATATAAGATACAACAAGAGTGAGACTAACTATGGTTTAAAGCTGCTATGGTATACTGGCATATGAATGAGACTTAAAGCATGTGCCTTTGAACAATCTGTATTACACACACACACACATGTACTGGACATACCAAATCACCAATGACCTTTGGAATGACCTACTTCCAATGTCAATAATCTATCACCATGTTTGTATTGAAGTTTTGCAACTACATGTGCGTAGACAAAGCTATTCCAAGTCTTATCATGAGTAATCCATGAGCTTTATCTTTGAGTATTTGAGGTATAATATGACTCTATGAGTCTAATAGTGGAGCTATGCAGCCATCCATGAATCCTATTATGTGTATGTTGAACGAGTACATTGATTATAGAGGTCTTAAAGCGGGAATGCACTACTTGTAGCTACATGCGCCCTATATATATATATATATATATATATATATATATATATATATATATATAATCCCCTTTTTCTTATGCTAATTGAGAGCCAATTTTATGAGATAACCCCCTTTCAGTGACCATGCAGGGAGGTCTAATCCCTCCTGGCCATCTAGTGCAGATAGACTTTAATATGTGGTAGGAGCTACACTGCATGCATAAAGCCTCATTTTAATATGATACTGTAAATGACATCAAAAAGAAGAAAAAAATACTGCAGCAAAATGAAGTAAGACAGTGTAGAAATGGGCCTTATATTGCTGTATCCTGTGACACACAAATAAATCAGCGGGCATAGGGGTCTTTGTTACATGCAGTTACTTTTTTCCTCTTCCTAACTTGCCAATCGTTTACATTGTATAATATTTTGTACCACTGCGATTTACCTCATCAAGCGTGAACGAGCCTATATAGGAAAGTGAAGTTGAGATTGTATAATTCAATCCAAGTGATCCAACTGACATTTCCAACACTCTTTTTCAAACAACAGTACACTTCTGTATGAAATCAAATGTACCGGTACCTTCCCTTTATTGTGATTCATTGAGGGGTGAAATTAACCCTCAAATTCACCTTTACCCCGCTTTAAAGTGATGAATATTTCTTGAAATGTTGTAAAAAGCCTTCATTGTCAGAAATGTGGTAATGATTATTGATGCATTCAAAGAGAAGAGAGAAGGAGGGCGGGAGGGAGTTTTGCATTTGAGAGATCAGTGACTCAACATAAATTGCATGTGCTTATTAAAAGTACTGTGTACCCTATTATTTGCTGCGAATGGGTAATTGAAATATCAGAATGTCAACACAATTATATTTGCTTGAGATAAATATCGCAAACCTATACCCCTACCTTCTACCCACCCTTACCCAATTATAAGGCATATTACCCAAATATGGATATTGTATGCAAGATAAGTTCATGTCTGTTTATTTTCCACTTAGAATCAGAGTGCAAAGTACATTTCTTATTACCTGGTATATTTGCTTGTGGTGCAATGTTAGATTTGCATCCACATTTATTTTCCCCTTGAATATGTTATGTTAAAGATGAAGTTGAGTTGTGGTCATGCGATTGTATTGTGACAGAGACAGTGTGGAATTGATCAGAACAGGTTGATCATCTAGCATATAAGTATTGGGTGTGTACTGCAAGGTTCTGGAATCATCAAAATGATAAGAAACTTGGCCCAGTCTTGGTTAAGTTACAAGCATGGTACACAGAAAGATGTATATGGGGATACACGAACATGTGGAGTAAAAATCTGTCCCGAGTTTTATGCTGTTACATGACATATTTAGCATATTAAAGAATTTGAAGAGCCATGCTTTTTAGGGAACATGTTTAATCTGATGTTCTTCCACACTTGCATAATAACAATGATAACGCTCACAGATTATTGTTCACCTCTTCCCAGAATTAAACTTTCTCTTTGAATAGGGGGAAAAACATTATCAACATCATCACAGTGCAATACATGTAGATATCACAATCCTAGCTCCATACTCACATTCCTCCCTCCCCCCTCCCAAGGGCCAAGGATTGCCCAGATATGGATACTGCATGAATAATAGCAGTTTATGCACCACTACCTCAATTCAGATTCTAAAGGCAAGAACGTTTTTATTACATTGATGACTTGTGCAATGTAAGACTAAAATATGCCCCTGGTGTGCTGTGTTTGGAAAGAGGACATTGATAACATCATCATATTGGCAGTGAACATCACACCCCTACCTTCCCCCAGGCCCAGTGATTGCTCAGATATAATAATGGCCTTTTCTCCAAAACATTGATTCAGCCTCAGAGGACAACATACATATGTGGCTGATTCCATAAATTAGGGACCCACTGTAAGGATCGACCCACTGTAAGGAACCCACACGTATATTCTAGGTATAAGGATGCAATATTATGCTAAATCACTTTACAATCTCACTCCAGTATTCAAAGGCATCGTTTAGCAATGTTAAATCTGAGAGGCATGGCCCTACGTGTAATCAGTGTCTGCGATATGGTGTATATTGAAGCCCTAAACAAAATTGCGCTTCAGAATGATCATGAAGTGTCTCAAAAAGTAAAAATCTTTGAGTGACCGGTTTAACCATACTCGTTTTCCCCAATAGACTGTAGTTTATTAAAACCGTTAGGAAAACAAAAAATGAAATACTGATTTCCAATCATAAATATTTTGATAATTAGACAGGCGATCGGCTTGTAAAAGTCATGGGATTCCTGAATGACCTAAAGGTTTATAATTATGATTGCAGCAAGAGCTAAATCGTAGATTTTGTTTCAGAATCTGAGGCAATGTTTCCGAGTCACTTTAAGTCTTTACTCAGAGCCACAAATACGTGTGAGTTCCTTATGTAACAGGGACACCAAAAATGTCACATGTTTTAGTCTCTTGCCTAGTACTGGTGCAATATTGAAATTCCAGTCAAATTGTCCCCTATGTATGCATTAGACTATGCCTACATGCAGAATCATTATTTACATACACAAGTTAATGCTGTTTCATTTTGTAAGATATGGATGTCATGAAGGCATAAATCACATATTCTGATCGCAGACATTGGGGCATAGTAAGATATCTAATTTGCCACACTCCACCCAGGTGAAGTAAATGGGTACCTGGTAGGAATTTATTCCTTGAATTGCTAGAGCGCCGTATGGTAGCCGTGCTAAAGCCAAGGTAATAATCAGGAGCGCCAAGAGGGTCAAATCTGACTGACATGAGCGCTATACAAGAACCCACTATTATTATTATTATGTGTAGTCGAGTGCAGTATAACAACTCCCTACTTGTTTAAGGGGGCACGTTTAGGTTTTCTAATATAACAAAAATGAGATTTCTTGGGGAAAACGTTACACATATATTTTATGTTTTTGTCAGAGCTCTCTTACAGCTTTTCAGAGCTAAACCACACACTGCTTTGCAGTATTACCCCCCCCCCCTGCTGACCTTTTGTGTGAATTTGAATGAGATCCAATTTGAAGGCAATGAAATGGGCAAACCGCAATTTTAAAATTGAAGTTTTTGTTGTGTATGTTCCGTGGACCAGCTGCTCTTTCATGAAACCATACATTGTAAATACTTTCTTGTTTGCATTGGGAAGATTTCTCCCTCTTAGAAGTATGGGAAATAATGAATAAGGACTTATTATAATTATTATAAGTAGAAACCTAATCACCCTTTTCTGAACATTTACAGTCCCCTGTCTCTAATGTACATAGTTGGGACTGATATCAATTGGTATGTACATAAAATACAATGTACATGTAGTACCTAAATTAACATTTTGTCTATTATGTGTTTTGAGGTGAAGGTACAGTTGCAAGATGATGTAAATGTTTAACAATGTGCTTTAAAATAAATAATTTTATTATTATTAAGATTGTAAACTTTATGTAGTTGCTGAATATTGCTTTACCTGATTTACCTGATTTACCTGATTACACTAAAGACTCGTTCAGAAATGATACAATAAACCATGCAAAATGTATAAATGAATGGTTACTGCGCAACAAAGGTCCTACACCTATTAACTTACATTGTAGCTCTGTGTTATAAGATTGGAAAGGTGAAGCATATTTATTTATATGTTTGTTAATTTGTACGTTTGTTCATTCGTTTGTTAATTTGTACGTTTGTTCATTCGTTTGTTAATTTGTTTGTTAATTTGTACGTTTGTTCATTCGTTTGTTAATTTGTACGTTTGTTCATTCGTTTGTTAATTTGTACGTTTGTTCATTCGTTTGTTAATTTGTACGTTTGTTCATTCGTTTCTTCATTCAGATTTGATTTCCTAGACTTTGGGTGCTATAGAATACGATTTCCACTGATAGCCTACAGAATGATGAAACCAGTGGTGATGATTTATTGTTATTATTGAAGTTTGAAGTTTATTATCGAAACAAAAAGTACCGGTATATCAATATAACAATCAAATGTGAATATTTAACATTGAAAGGATAAATGGGACCAGAAAATAGCATTAAATGCTAATCGTGTCTGGTACCACTAACACACATTATGTATGATTTGTTTGTTGTGCAGCATACGTCAATATGCCGTGACAGAACACACCGAAGATGTCCCTGAGAAGGTGTTCAGTGGTGAAGTGGCCAGGCTTAATGCATTCAAGAACCAAAAACCGTAAGTATGCATTAGGCACCCTGACCCTTCTACAAATATTGGTCCCGCACTGTCCCGCACAGTGTGCGCCACGTTGTTATTCTTTTTTTTTGGGGGGGGGGGGGGGAGGGGGAGGGGGGGGGGGGGGGCAAAGAGCCAGCTCAGCAATACAGTTTGTACCATGTCCATGGCTATAAGTTTAGTTCATGACATCATGTGTGGTCACGTTACAGTGACACCATGTTTTCTATGTCTATACAAAGATTTGTCTTGAAATAACGAGGTGGAAAGTAGTGCTGTCGTCAAGTACAAATTCCCTTGTTGACACCTTGGGTCAAACATTAGGCCCACAAATTCATGATTGCAATTGTGAATATGATCACACTTAATCCTACATGTTTGAGAAGAAAAACAATCATAGAATAACTCTATTTTGAAAGAAAAATAGACTTTTAAATTACAATCAAACCTGCTTTACTGACCACATGTATAGTAAGACCAACTGTTTATAAACACCACATTTTTTTGTTTTCCTTGAAAGCAATTTCTCATTCAAACATGGATTACTTGTCTTGTCTCCAAGCAGTCTTCAGATACAGGTCTTCAGATACATGTAGTTAGCCAAAAATAGATGGTCCTCAATGAAAGAAAACTAATATCTTTTATTGGAGTATGAATGGTGACATGATAGTTAACCTGGTGTTAATAGTGAGATTCTAGCCATCTTTCTAACCTGCACAAGCCAAGTTTGAGGTACTGAATGTGCAGATTGAATCCAAAATCTTTACTCTTGTCCCACATGTAGAGATTGGTGTATGGTATGGGAGGAAATTAATCCAGTGTCTGATGGTCATGGCAGGGGCCTGGTTTACAAACTAAATTGACTCTGGTCTAGTTGATAATCACAAATACTCCTATACCAAGCGAGGCGCGATGGCTCAGTGGTAGAGCAGTGGTGTCGTAAACAGGAGGTCCCAGGTTCGAAACCAATTTGATGCCCTAGTGCCCTTTGGTAAGGCATTAATCCTCATTACCAAGTCCCCTGGAGAGGCCTTACAGCCATCGGTCCCCTGGTTGCTTACTTACAAGCATACACATGCTTTCTTAACAGTCAGGTACAACAAACAATCCACCCAGACTAAACCATTGTATCTTTGTGTTCATTTTATTACAGACCATACGATGCCAAGAACCCATACCTGTCAGCAATCACAGTCAATCGTGAGCTTCATCAAGGTGGTGACAGGTCCTGTATGCACATTGAGTTTGACATCTCAGGATCAAGAATCAGGTATGTAAGATCCTAGATGATACAGTCAAACCTGCTTTAAAGACATCGTTTAACAATGTTAAATCTGATATGCATGGCCCTACTTGTTATCAGGGTCTTTGATATGGTGTAATATTGAAGCCCTAAAAGAATTGGCTTCAAAATGATCATGAAGTGCCTCAAAAAAGTAAAAATCTTTGAGTGACCGGTTTTACAATACTCATTTTCCCCAATAGACTGTAGTGTTATAAAAACTATTAGGAAAACAAAAAATGATTTTGATTTCCAATCATGAATATCTTGATAACCAGACAGGTGATTGGCTTGTAAAAGTCATGAGATTTCTGACTGACCTAAAGGTTTATACAGTAATTATGATTGCAGCATGATTTCAGGATCTGAGGCAATATTACCGAGTCACTTTAACAACCACCTGTTGAATCATGTACTAAAGGAACATGTACATAAAGACCACCTGCCTATAAAGACCACTTTTCTTGTCTCCCTTGGGTGGTCTTCATAGACAGGTTTCACTGTAGTTTATAGTTATTGTATCAACAAGGAAATTGGCATGAAACCTCTTGCCAGTGACCTTCATTTGACCACTCAACCATTCAACCAACTGGAGCTTTCTCCTCTACTGCTTCCAAACTCTGGAACATGGGGGCGTTTCACAAAAATTGTCATCTGTGACAAATGACAGTTTTTGTTATAATCTACTGAAATCCTTGCTTCTGATTGGTTATCAGCAGATTTGTCACTGAATTTTGTCATTTGTTGTTGAAAAAAGGCTTTGTAAAAACGGGTCTCAGGCTCCCTCTTCAATTGAAATTATCATCAACAGTCGAACAATTTAAAGAGAGTTTGATGACATATCTTTTCTGAAACCATATGCACTCATTGAACTCACACTCCTCACTGCTTGTTATCTTGTATAAATTTGAATTCTAAAATGACTCAGGGATGGCATCTCAATGCACTTTGTATCCAGTGGAAAGGCGGTATATGAAAATTTATAGAAGCGAGGAGTGGGAAGTCCCGGGCTACATTTAATGTAAAAAAATTCATGACACATATTTTCTTGCGATATTTTGACAATTTTTTGTTTAATTCTCACTCCGCTATCTTGCCAGTTTTTATCTGTGAAGCATCATAATGCTATTCCAAACTTAAAAACTGTGGCATCCAATAGGTGGCACATCATATTGTGAATACACTGAATTATAATCATGCTAATAGAATGTGACTGACCTTTAACCTTAGGTATGAGAGTGGTGATCATGTTGCTGTATATCCCACTAATGATCCTGAATTGGTTGCTGCCATCGGTAAAATCCTGGATGCTGATCTGGATACAGTCTTCACCCTGACCAATGTTGATGGTAAGAAACTTCGTTCTCCACATTCAAAGGCATTAAAACATGACAAACTGCAAAATCAGAAAGTTTTGTGTGCTTGGATTGTTCATGAATTTCACGTATGGTTCAGATTCATACAAGTTTCATGCTGTTCAATAATTAAATCACATTTGACACTGCATTTCTGGAAAGTTTCTTTCAATGAAAACAGCAGCCATAACAATTTGTAACAGTTTCATGAATTTAATTCAAACTACAATTTTTGAATTTACAATACGACTAGTTTAACCCTATCTAGCCCGGGGGAGGGGGGGGGGGGGGGGGGCTTTAGAAGCCCAAACTGCAAAATCAGAAAGTTTTGTGTGCTTGGATTGTTCATGAATTTCACGTATGGTTCAGATTCATACAAGTTTCAGGCTTTAGAAGCCCCCCCCCCCTCTCGACATTATTCGCGATAATTTTTTAACGCAAGAAAATCTTACACTGAAATTTTGTGACTTTTTTCTTTCGAGTCTTGCGCATCTTTTGAAAGAAATTTTTTCGAAAATCGGACCTACCATTACAAAGTCACATGTCCTTTTGTCTTTGCATGTCAGCCCGAAAATCGCTCATTTTTGTGATTTGTGTACAAAACATATGGAAATCTCATTTTTCAAATTAAGAGATAAAACATTGGTTATTCGGTCTTGTTTATAGTTTAGGTGTTTATTTTGGAGTCAAAATAGTTGAATTATAGTTGAAAATGAAATAAAACAACAAAAACAATAAAATACATAAGTTAAAAAAACAAAGAAATACATAAGAAATTATCAAAACAGTAGATAACATTAGGAAGAACTTGGCTCTTCCAATTTTTTTGGCTGTATTATTATCCCAAATGGTCTAAATAATATATGTAGTGAAAATTAATGTTTAAATATGAAGAATATATGAAAATATATAAAAATGTGAGTGTTATTACCATATTTGCATAAATTACCATAAATATGCAAATGAGTGAATTTTTCAAAAAAATTAAAATTACCATAGTATTCTATACACTTAACTTGACATGCATGCAATTTTTTTTTTTTTGGGGGGGGGGGGGGGGGGAGGGGGGGGGGGCCTTAGAAGCCCCAACGAACAGAGGAGGCCAGTAAGAAGTAACTGTTCCCTCGTCTGACCAGCTATCAAACAGCTTTCTCCCATTTACCTGGACATCACATCGTGCCCCAGGACCAATGTCCTTGAGCTATTGGTTTACCGGTAATACTGCTCTTCTCATCTCATTCTTTAGAGGAAGCCAGTAAGAAGCACCCATTCCTTTGCCCCAATCGATACCTTAATACTAATGTCCTTAAGTCAGTCTGCAGTCCTGTAAGAGTTAACTAGGCATCGTAACATACGCTGATCTTTTTCCTTGACAGAGGAGGCCAGTAAGAAGCATCCGTTCCCCTGCCCTACCAGCTACCAGACTGCCTTTTCTCATTACCTGGACATCACCTCATGCCCTAGAGCCAACGTCCTGAAGGAGATCTCAGAGTATGCCACCGATCCTGCAGACAAGGAGAAGCTCCTCCTCATGAGTTCAGCTACGCCAGAGGGCAAGGTACTGTAAAAGTAGAAATATTCATGGTACATTAATTTTCACGGATTTTGCGCTAAGATCGGCAAGCGTGAATTTTAGAACTCGCAAAAATATAAGCAGGACTTCTTATGCATGTTTTGAATGGGCTAAATTGTGTGCAACGCGAATTTAAGAACCAGCAAATATGTTTTGGGGTCGTTCAGCGTGGAAAATTAATCACACAAAAATAACAGCTTGTATAGTAAGATAGGGTTTGACAGTTTCATTAGAACTAGGTACAGTAATGCCAAAAGTCACTTTAATTAAAAGATAATCATGGTCTGTTGATATTTGGATGCAGGAAATCTGTTGTGTAAGAAGAGTTCAACAGCAAAAGCCTGGGATCTTATTTTGTAAACTCTTACTTACTAATTTCTGCAGTGTCAAACACAAAACATCAGTTGCTACTATTCAGGCCTTCCTATGTTTAACCATGGGTATCAATTACAACTATGCATTGGTTGAGGGCCAAAAACATTGGGCAATGAACACACGTGCCTATATTGCAACCTGCAACGTAATTGATAAGACATTGTCTGTTGAGAGCAAGAAGTGTAGTAATTTGTGCTACATATCCTACAGTTGATGCCCTTTCGGCTTTCAGCAGAGGACATAGTTTTTTTATATGTCACTTGAATGTGAGATAGAAAGATTTTCAGTTTTTTCTTGACTGTTTGATTACGATCACCATTTTAATCATGTCTTTATCTGTCAATGCCCTTCACAGAAAGAATACAGCGACTGGGTGACCAAATGCCATCGGAACATCGTGGCCATCTTGGAAGACCTTCCTTCTGTCAAGGTTCCTTTGGACCATCTGTGTGAACTGCTTCCTCGTCTCCACGCTAGATACTACTCCATCTCATCGTCTCCAAAGGTAACTAAGGCACATTCTCAGTTCAATATGGGATCTGGAGGGTGTTTCACAAAGATCCTAAGATGAACTTATCTCTAAGTTGGACTTAGCAATTATGGAAAGCCGTTGGCATCTACGAAAATATTTAGTAAAAGTTTTTTAAAAGGCATAAAATGTTGATTCAAATCATTAATATTTTCTATTACCAACAGTGATTTCATGTTCTTGATATGGAATTTATAAAAAGTCTAAAATACTTGAATTTTTGCTTTTGATTAATGCTACAAATGGCTCTCCATAAGTTTTAAGTCTAACTTAGAATCTTTGTGAAACACCCCCCTAGCATTTATTCTAAGCATGTATGGATCAAACTTGATTTTGTATGTGTGGGACCACTTGATGAATATTGTTGTTGAATGTGTGGTGTTTCGGTCTTGTTAAAAAATGGGTCTACTTATGTTAAATGCACATGGATGGGTGGATTCTTTGTTGCAGGCACTTTTCAGTTGATGTGATTCCTTAGAATTGTAGAAACATTTGGAATTATACAATTCAATTTTTACAAATTAATGCATGTCTTAATGCATGGCCTAGGATGAAAACTAGTATAATTTATATCATCTTGTTTATGATAAGATTCACTATCAATTTAAAAAAATAAAAATTGTGCAGTGACTGTTATAATGATATAGATAGTTCAAACATAAGTTGTATGAGTTTAGTAGAAATTGTTGTCCCGGTTCCCTCTTTCATTGGTTCATTATGTTATGTAATCCAAACATGAATGAACATGAACAAAGTCTACCATATATCAAAACCAAGTGAAGAATAATGCCTAAAAAAAAAAATGTTGTATTACCCTTTGCGACCGACCCAAAAATCTTGAAATCAACGGTCGGCGTTTTATTTATTTATTTATTTTTACCGTTTTTTAGAGAAAAAAATATTAAAGAATTAGCAGCCAAAAGAGGGAGGGACAGTGAAGTCTAGCAAGTAAACTGGTTTCCTTGCATAATTTGAAGATTAGGACACTGCTAATGTTTAAATTTTACAGATAGGACGACATATTCATAATTCCTGCAAAGTTCTATAGAATTTGAGGTTGGCTGCAAAAGGGACATAGTATCTTTAAGAGCAATACAACATATTTTTTTAAGGCCTAGTTGTGGCAAAAGAATATCTTAACCTTGAATTATGTTCAGAGCTGTCATACTTAATAAATTTATCCGTAATCCAATCTCATAGGTGAGCCCCGACAGGATATCCATCACTGCTGTCCTCATCCGCTACACCACACCCACCGGAAGGATAGGGAAGGGCGTGGCCACCAACTGGCTCAAAGATAAGATCCCTAACGGGCCCGAGACCACCCCCTTCAGGGTACCCATCTACGTGCGCAAGTCTCAGTTCAGGCTGCCCTTCAAGACCACCACGCCTGTCATCATGGTTGGACCTGGGACCGGTCTGGCTCCATTCAGGGGCTTCATCCAAGAGAGGGACTTCTACAGGAAGGATGAGAGTGAGTTGCAAGAAATGTTTTAAATGTGAAAACTAGAAGCACATCTTTTCATTTAACCTTATGTTGTAGAAGCATATCAGGAGCTCTTGCAGCATAGAATATATTTGCACTTTGTCTGCGCTTTATAAATGTATATTATTATTATTATTATTATTATTTTTAAAAAAATATAAAAAAATAACGCTAGGTGATCAAGCATTTGCTTGTGCAGCCCCAAAACTCTGGGATAACTTACCATTTGAAGGCAGGAAATCACCATCTGTGAATATCTTTAAATCAAAACTGAAAGCACATCTTTTCAATTAGCTGTAAATCTAAGCATATCAGGAGCTCTTGTAGCGGAGTAGAATATATACTTAATGTTGGATGGTTTCTGTGCTCTATAAATGATTATTATTTAAAAAAGTAAGCTTCATGCATTCTGCATATTTTTATGTTTAATGATGCTGTCTATTATACGTTTGAATGTATCTAGTATATTTATCCTTTTATATGTCATTAATTTTATTTCATGTTTACATGTACTATGTTGTATTTTAACCATCATACCTTGTAAATGACCTGCAATTCAGCTTCGGCTGCCAGAACGTCATGTGAATAAAACCTTTATTGAATGTAAATTATTATTGTTATTAGGCAATGTACAAATATTATTTATTATACCTTCTCGAAAATTTCCCACTCCAGCCAAGAAGGTCGGTGACAGCATCCTGTTCTTTGGCTGTCGCAAGAGCACCGAAGACTACATCTACAAGGACGAACTGGACGAGTACCTCAAGAACGGAACCTTGACGAATGTCCATGTGGCCTTTTCCCGAGAGACCGAAGAGAAGCTCTACGTGCAGCACCTGATGAAGAGGTGTCAGAAGCAGATCTGGGGCATGCTGGAGAAAGGCAGTCATATCTATGTCTGTGGGTAAGTAACTGTGGTAAAAATAGAAAGGGAACATGCAGGCCACCATTTTGATTCATGCTTCAACTTTCTAAAAATGTCTTCGTCATAATATACCAATTAAATTATTTTTTATTGACAAATATAATATTTTCTTTTGTTCAAAATACCTCATGCTTCATTTAAAAGCTGATATTTACCTAGAAATCACAACAAATTTCCTTACTCATCGCTACTGCAAGGCAAGTTCGGACTAGTCACGGAAGGTGTACACAATACTTTGTTTGATTTGTCAGATTTGTCAGATAGAAAACAGAAAATTGAAATTGATAACGTTGTCTCTGATGTATTCAATGTGCCTTTTGGCGTTCCTCAAGGGTCGCGATTAGGCCCTCTGTTGTTTACCTTGTATACAAGCAGACTCCTTACAAATATCCATACAGAGTTTCCTAGTATTAGTTGTCACTGCTACGCAGACGACACCCAACTATACCTATCTTTCTGTCCTAACACACCGGCTGAAGATCATTGTATTTCTGAATTAGAATCATGTGTTGTTTATATTAAGATTTGGATGTTGCAAAACAAGTTGATGTTAAATGATAACAAAACAGAACTTTTGGTCATTGGTACTCCACGCCAGGTTTCTAAATTTAGGTCGCGTAGTGTATCAGTTGGTGACTCAACCATAACCCCATCTGATACTGTTAGAAACTTGGGTGTGTCTTTTGATACCCACCTGAATATGGATTCACATATCACTAAAATATGCAAATCAGCCTATTTCATGATTTATAATTTGAGACGCATTCGAAAATACTTTGATCAGGACAGCATGAAAACTATCATGCATGCATGTGTTACTAGTAAACTAGATTACTGTAATAGTTTATTGTATGGATTGCCAGACTCACAAATTTCCAAGTTGCAGCGGGTTCAAAATACATGTGCACGACTAATTTGCAGCCTCCCAAAATTCTCTCGAATAACCCCACTTCTAAAGGAACTACATTGGTTGCCAATTCGCCAGAGAATTACATTTAAAATATTAATGATAGTCTACAAAGCTCTAAATGGTCAAACTCCTAGTTACGTTACTGAATTGTTGCACATCAAGTCTCAAACCCATGGTCGTAACCTTCGTAGTACACAAGACACATTTATGTTGCAAATACCCCCATATAAAACCAAAGTAACCCTCGGGGACCGGTCATTTCTCTGTGCTGCCCCTAGATTATGGAATAAATTACCACTAGAAATAAGGAAAGCCCCATCACTAGATAATTTTAAATCAAAACTGAAAACTCACTTGTTCATATAGTATGTATAGCACAGCATTTACGAGCTCTTGCAGCGCAATAGAATATATCCACATAGTTATTGCGCTTTACAAATGAATATTATTATTATTATTATTTTGATTTACTGACTTGGGTGCATAGGACGGTGTGTCCCCTAGCTCCCCTACGAGAAATCATTCTCCATTCTGATCTGTCCTGAGCTTGTTGCTATGCCTCTTGTGTGGGTAATCCCACATCGCACCGATGCTTCGTATATCCTGATACATTTTCTTTCTTTCTTTACAGTGATGCTCGTTTCATGGCACCCGACGTCCAGCGTACCATCCGTGAGATCATCTGTCAAGAAGGAGGCAAGACGCAGACAGAGGCGGAGGATTACATCAAGAAGATGCAATCAAAGGGACGCTATTCCTGTGATGTCTGGAGCTAGTCTTTAACTGTCTCCAAATCTACTTTCGTAATATTAATTATTTTATATCCCCATACCCAGCTTTGCATTTGATATGTTGCTCTCGTGTTGGAATCATGCTTAGCTCTGTTCACATATGATATAATTTACAGCCTTAAAAAAAGGTGTAGGGGAAATATATGATGTTCTATACCTCATCAGTGTTCTACAGGATTTCAAATACCATTAATTACAAGACTTTTCAAGACTTTTCCTGGTACCCGCTTTTGTAGAAACACACCATTATCGGATTATAATGCTATGGAATCGCGTACCCATCATGAGAGATAGTATTTTCGGGATATGCTTGTTTGATGTCGCATGACACAATGCATTTCTACATGCATTGCCCACCTTGAGACACCAGGGGGGCGTTTCACAAAACTTTTCATCAGTGACAAATGACAATTTTTGTTCTAAGCTAGTGAACTCCTTGCTACTGATTGGTTATCAGCAGATTTGTCACTGATTTTTGTCATTTGTCATGAAAAAAAAGCTTTGTGAAACAGGTCCCTGGTGTATCCCATAAAGTCTGCTAAATCTGTTAACTGCACTTCTCTAGAAAAAGATATTCTGATACTTCTGTTACTTACCAGATCCATTCTGAATATAGCACACCATTACTCTCTGGGTAGCTTACAGAATTATGCTGTATGTTGAGAGCAGTTACTCACCTCCACTTTTTTTGCGGCAGCAGTATGTCTGAGGAGGTTTTCTGCATCGCGTGTGAATGAAACCTAAGTAGCAAATTCTTATCCCCCATAGAATTGAAACCATTGAAAATGATTATGATGATTTATTAAAAAAGAAATATATTTGAAGAATTCTGAAGAAGGGATTGAATCGCGTACCGGTATCATGGGCAGCCCTAAGTGTGACAGACACTAGTTCGGTTCTCGAACCTACTATCAGTCTTCTCTAAGGAGTTGTTCACTGGTAATGGTATCAACTGAAATTAGAGTAATAATCATAAAGATAGAGTTTATGATTAATATAAAGAAGTTAGTTATAGCACAGGGTGTTTGGATTATTAAGTACTTTGACTTTTAAGAATTATTGAGAAAATTATTGTATTTATAGTAGAACTTTAAAAAAAAATCAGATAAATTTAATAGGATGCTACAGTGGATTGTAAATGCAAGGGACATTTGCCAGCTTTACGGAATGAAATCTGAGAATTTCCTATTTCGAATAAAAAATATTATGGAAGCTAATGTCCTCTGGCAAGATATTAATTTTCATTTGTAAATGGTACAAGAGTAGCCCGAGGATCATTCGCGAAATAAACGACTTGTGAAACGTTCTCTGGGGATGAAATTTGCAAAAATATATCTGTACACAAAAATATTTTCTTTAAAAAAGTAGTGTGTTAATGTTCTAGTGGTAGGAGAGATAGCGGTCTGCCATTTTGTTTGGTAAAACTACAATGAGAGAATTAACGGCAGTACATCTAATCTATCTATACTGAATCGAAATGTTTGGATAATTCTAAACTTGGTGGACAAGAAACGAGTTTGCATGAGACTGGGCATTAAACATTGATTGTAAGCTTTGATGTGTATATTTTTCTTGGTACCTATATTTACGGGTCAGACTAGAGTAAACAAATTACCACAGCTATTCGACCTGTCCCAAATCATGCTTTTTATTATGTGCCATTTCGAGTCAGTGTATATTTTGTGTAGTCTAGATTCTTATTACGTCATAGTATTTTCCTTCAAGAAAAATAAATTTAGAATTCAAAGTATTGGAGTATGATGCGGACTTCATCATGCGCTGATTGATTTGATTAAGCATATTACGGTTTCACCTTTAAAAAGAATCAATGAACTGATATATAGTTTGCATTTTTTATTAAATTATTTAGATTTTAATGATCTATGAATGATTTTAATTACATACTTGTGTGTCTTTCTTTTCTTGTTTTCTATCCCTGGGGGGTGTTTCATAAAGAGTTTGTAAAGTTACGCATGACTTTACGAACGACTTGTATATGAAGTGCCAGAGATGATGCCCAAAGTTTTTTCTGTTATTTCCAATAACCTCAATTAAATTATGGCAAAAAATATACTTTGCATTAAAAATGTTTGTTATAATACGAACGTTAATCTACATCTGCACAGTTCAACTTAATAAATAATAATCAAGAATGATTGAGCATCCCATTTGGCTTTTCATATACAAGTCGTTCGTAAAGTCATGCGTAACAGCTTTATAAAACACCCCCCTGTTGTGTTTTATTTTTGGAATGAAACATTCCTCCTAAATGATATGTTCGATGCAGACATAGAGTATGTGTGTGACTTGTAAGGTACCTAGTAAACTAGACATTAGTATTCAAACTTTTCCAATCACCCATGTTTTAAATAAATTCCAGGCAAATCCACATATTATCACAAGGATTTGAGATTTTTGAAGAAGCTTTTTCTTGGTAAGAAATTATAAATTGCATTGCTCTCTGTGTGATTAGGAAAGTGTTCTTTTTATATAGATGAACAAGCAGTACCATTTTGTTACCTTTTATTTTGCATACTTATGAATCATGTACAGAATTGACATTTCTGAAATTAGTATGGAAATAATCAGTATTTTAGATTATATGTTAAGGGTATACCTACTGTATATGTCATGAAATGAACTGAATTCATGAATTAAATCTATCTACTTGTAACAAATGAACATGAATTGCATAAAGTGAATGTAAAAGCTCTCATTAGTCCATTCATGAATGCAGTTTATATGTTTTAGATTATATTGCATTCCATTTTTTAGTTTTGTGATTAATTTTATGAGTAAATACTATCAACTTGATTACCAACGTGATATCTGTTTTTGTTGTTCAGTACCCTCTAAATTGACTACCCGGTACCCATGTATGTGACGATCGAGATACAGATCATGAGAGACACACGAAAGGGGCTATGAGCCATTATGAGTACTAAATTGTTTGTAGGCAAGAATGTATCCGCAAAACCTAGAGTGAAAATATTTCCTACAAGTACAAAAGTTTGTTTGAATTGGTGGAGTTCATGGATTTCAAAGCTTAAAAGATGGGAGTTGTTGCTACCTTGTTTGGCGTTCAACAATAAGGGATAGAGCAACGTCGATCTGGCGCTGCTCAGTGGCTGCCGGGCTCACGATCAATTGGGCAAAAAGAATTTCCGTTTCGGTTTAATAAAATTTGGAGTGGACTATTAGGCTATTATTATTATTATTATTATATTCCTTTTGAAAATACTGGCATTAAAATTTATTATTATATTCCTTTTGAAAATACTGGCATTAAAAAAAAAAAATCCTTTCTACTCATTAGTTGGGGCTCTGAATCAAATATTATTGAGTAAAACCACAAAATGTGAAATAATGGTCTCAAAAGGGTAATTTCAGAGAGGTATGTGAATAGCAAAGATCATATGCAGTGAAATTTGTCTACAAAGGCCACCAAAGAAAATCTGTGAAAAATGGCCACTATAGACAGGTTCTGCAACATAGTTTTCTTTTAAAGCAATACGATATAAGCAACCACTGTAGGCAAGTGAACTCTATCGAGAGGTGGCAACCAAGATATTTTTTAATTGTTTCCCCTGACATGCATTTTATGTTCTGCTATAAATTGACCCAGACAAATATTGCCTTTAGATTACCATTTTTAAGCAAATGCTCTCGAAGGATTTTGATTAGAAAATTTGATATACCGGTGGAGGATTTATATACATGTCTATGACTGAAACTACCTTTAATATCAGACTTGTACATGTATTAGGGGATGAATAGAATCAAGTAGATACTTATACAATATTTGTAGCACCTGATTCGTGACATTACACATTGAACCATCTCCATGATTGAACAAAGTGCTTTACTGCTTTAGGTTTGCTGTTTGAGAAGTATATACATTTTGGAAAACTAGCTTTAATTTTTTTTTTAAAATAAAAATATACAGGCCAAAGAAACATGTACATAGACCATTATGTAAATGAATGGAAGCTTTAGTGCCCAGTATGTATCCTTGTGGAAATACATGTTATCCTTCATTTATGTATGTGTGTTTCTATTTACATGTATATTGGGAAGAATCAGTATTCAGTCTTGCTAGTATAATACTCGATGTGACAGACAGGATTATATTCTGTGAGATGGTTGATAAATGGGGAATAGCAGGGCAGATTAGTTGTATATTGCTTTAAAAAAAATGTCATTCACCGCAGCTGCCCAAATGTCTATCCTTTTATTTTGTTGGTTATTTTAAACATTTGTAGTAGTTACGTGAGGATTCTGGAATGAAGTCTGGTACATGTATGACATTAGAAAACTGGTTATGTGTACTTCACACAAGACAGGAGCATTTGGAAATAAAATATAAAACGATGACAAGTTTTGAAGAGTGAATGTTTCTTGATGATGCTCTTTAGAGATGTTTTTACAATTTTAATCTGTTTATCAAAGATATTCATGAAAGCACAACTACATGTACACGTTTGTTAGAATAGTGCATCAGAACTTCAATGCTTTTCCACATGTCGACCACATGTAGCCTTCTTGGGACAACTTAAAAATTCCTACCTCTCGGCTCCCAATTGCAATTACTAACAAATCTCACAAAGTTATTTACACATGTATGAATTTGTGTTAATGTTATGTAATTCCCTGATATGATCAGCATGAGTTTGTCTGTTTGGAGCCAGAATGGCTTTAACTCGAGGACTGTAAAATGATAGACCTTAAAGAGAAGGTTGAGTTCTGGGAAGAGGTGAAAAATAATTTGTGAGTGTTATATCATTCTTATTATGCAAGTGTGGAAGAACATCAGATGAGACGTACATGTTCCCTGAAAAGCATGGCTCTTCAAATGCCTTCATATTCTAAATATGTCATGTACATCGTAAAACTCGGGGGGTAGGTTTTTTACGCCACATGCTCGTGTAGTCCCATATTATACATCTCTCTGTGTACAGTGTTTGTATAACTTTACCAAGACTTTGCCAATTTCTTATCATTTTGAGGATTCCAGAACCTTGCAATACACACAAATTCTTATATGCTAGATGATCAACCTTTTCTGGACGATTCCACACCGTTTCTTTCACAATGCAATCGCATGACCAGAACTCAACTTCATCTTTACAGCCCTTTTGGCTCCAAACCCACAAGTTAAAGACCCTATCCGATGAAAAAATGAATTGTGGAAAGCCGAATGAACGTATAACGTATACAATATAAAGGAGTTAGAAATATTTTTTATTTCATTATGGCACAAGAGCAGATGAATACCTCATTTTTTGTACCCCTCCAAATTACGGGTCAAATTTGCTGCAGTTATGGTGACCACATAACATGTGGACCCGATCGGCTTGCCTATAATTATAGCCGAGGCAAAGAGCCTTGCTTAATTGATGCAGTCATTGAGAATATGCGTACTCCATATATGATGTTATCAAGTTGATGGCTAGTTTGTAGGTCGACAACTTCCGATTATTCTATTTAATTTTTCACTTCTGACAGCTAGGGTCTTTAATCATTTAAGCAACCCACATGAAAATGCAAGTGAAAGCCTTCTGTGTTAATTTGACATTTGACATGGTGTTACTTGTACTGTAAAATATTCTAGATCGTAAAGATAAGCAAACATATCTTTGTAGTCGGCACATGAGTGTTTTAAACACTTTTATGGTATGTCATCTGTAACGAGAATCCATGTTCTACTATTTGTATCATCATTAAATAGATAAAATAAACATATAGTGGACTGTATTTAATATGTAAATGAAATGAACAGATGTGTGAATATCATTTGTAAAACCAGAGAGTATTTACAACATGGAACTTTTGTGAAATTGAAACATTTGCTGTTGTAAGCCAGTTTACAGATACAATCTGCGCATGGGCAGATGAAGGTCATTTGTACCAAAATGGTAAAACCCACAGAGATGAATACTGGATATGCGCTCATAAAAATGAGGTATGTAACATTATTCATTCATGCACCAACGGTACATTCTAAGATACGTAGGTGAAAGTATTCTTTTCAAGAGGGCAAACAAAAGGTATTCATGAAGCACATCTATGCATGACTTTGGCAGTTATTATTCTAAGATGCTCGAAGTGGAACTTCTCCATGTGTAAAAGATCTGTGGATATTTGTACCATGTGCTATCTGTAAACTCCCTTATTGTGGCAAGTAACTTCTGTACATTTCAAAAATTCATTGTTGTGAAACATTGTTGCTTAAAGTTTTTTCAAATCTGAGCAACCACAGCAATTCAGATATTTGCATTTTGGATGCATCATTTTCTGGTTATATGTGCCATATGAAGAGGGAATTACTTATATATAAGAAGCAATCACAAAATAACAACTACATGTGTACCCGTATATGTAAATTAATAGTTTATGCTCAGCAGCAAGTTTTTATTAGAAACATGCTTTGATATAAATAAAATGAATGTAAAACAGAATTTTTGATATAAATAAAATCAAATTTAAAAGTAAACATCCTGTCATAGAGTTTTACTTCATACCTCGTTATCCTGAATAATGTACAGTGGAACCTCGATATAATGAGGTATCTGTTATAACAAGGTGATTTTGCTGGTCTCAGCTCTTTACCTGTATGTTTTTTTTTTCTTTTTTACCCCGATATAACAAGATTCCTGATACAAGGTAATTTCCTGGTTCCCAAGGACCTTGTTATAACGAGTTTCCACTGTAGTTCATTTTGACTGTATCATAGGAATATATAAACATGAAGTATTTTGATCATCAGAATATCCTCCGACATAAAACTACCCAGTAGATGGAGGAATGAAAGAGGAAGATGACAAGAAATTAAAAACATATGGAGAACAAAAATCAGTAATAGACCAAATGTAAGTTTGCTAGATCAAAGCAACAAAAAGTCATCTAGTACACATTAAAATACAAATAAATAAACAGAAATGATAGAATATGTGATTGAATAAAATCATCAATCATTTTCATTTCACTCAATTATTTTTCCTATTGCCTTTTTTCTATATGAACCTGTATGAATATAGCACAAAGAAAGGGTGTTTTAAAAAAATTATTATAAACAATTTGCCATTACCATTATTGTACTACGTCTGCAGAAGCGCTTTTAGCCTTAGAAATAAGTTGTTTTCAAGCAAAGCAAATTGACTTTAGAAAAATATACAGTGGAACCTTGGTATAATGAGCTCTGATTATAACGAGGTATCTGCTATATAACAAGGTGATTTTGCTGGTCCCATCTCTTTACATTCTTATGTTTTTTTTACCCCGATATGACAAGATTCCTGATATAACCAGGGAGGTGGGTCCTCCCACCTCCCTGATAACAAGGTAATTTCCTTTCCACTGTTCTTACATCCAAGACAGATTGTAAAAAAGATAACGAGTTGCAAGACTAATAGTCAGTGGGAGAAAAGACATTTTAAAGTTAAAGGCGTGTATAGATAAGTACAGAGCATGCTACCCATGGTACTTTTGTCAGTTTGTGTGTACAGCAATATGACTATCTGTCTTTGGTCCAAACAAAAGTACTTGTACATTACCATGATCCCTCAAATCAAAATACAGTATCTCCTACTGTTGAATAATGAAAGAAGAAAAAAAGTTTATATATTTAAAAAAAAATGCTAGCAAATTTGTACATAAATATTTTTGGAGAAAAGTAAAATGGGAGAGCACAGTTTTGATTACATCACAATCACCAAACAAAATTGCCAATTGACATTCCAAAATAAACTTTTGTATGAAACAAGCTGGATTTTGGTTAACACATCAGTCAAAATCCACACAAATTGACCTTACAACAAGTTACGATTAACCATAAATATGAGAGTTAACAGAGATATTAAATCCCTCAATACATAAAGATGAGACACATTAAGATGGTTTTTCTTTAAACATATTCTACATGTACTTGATTTTTGTTCTGGGTATTGAACATAAATCAGACACAATCTTGTTCAACCATAATTCCTTGATTTTTGACTGCGTTTAAAAAAATATCAGACATCTTGGTTAAAATTAGTTATCACTGGTTTCTAATTCACTTACTTTATATAATTGGCACTTACAGACTGGAATTCTTTACCACCATCCATAGTTAATATTAAAAATCCTGACTTACTCAAGGCCCATTTACAACGGCATTTTCAAGAGCATCATTTTCCTACTTTATATGCGCACACATAGTTGGGCTTGCCAGCAATATTGAGCCTTACTAGTTTGAGGGTTCAGTGACACAAAGACGTAACTCCATATTTTGCCAAAATGAGTATTTGATATCAAAATGTTCAGAAAAATGTGGGCTTTCCAGGAAACACAAAGACTGAATTCCACCCAACACCCCTTTGAAGTCATGGCTCGTGAAACATAGACGTAACTCCTTAAGAACCAAGTGCTCAGTGACACATAAACCACTGTTTCTCAAAATGGCCAATGGAGTTACGTCTATGTGTCACTGACCCCTCAATTTCAGACACATCGTCAACTTTTTGAAACAAACTAAATGTACAAAAATCCAAGTACTTAAAGAAAGGTATATATACAAATATAACCAACCAAAAAAGTAGATGTACTAAAATACCTTCAATAAAAACTTTAAATAACAATCTGCAATTTACATGTATATGTAAATTTGAAAAATACTGAATGAAGCACACAACCAATTACCGGTACAGCACAGTTTAATCATTTTTGTTTGTTTTGATTAAGAATTTTTGTTCTCCAAACTGTTCACCAATTGCACATCAAAATATATAATTAAAAATGCAACAGTTACATCAACTAAACTAAACAGTGGAAATTTTTTTTATTTCCTTACATCGAAACTTTCTTTTTCATGATCACCCTTTGAAATGTCCAAGGAAGGCATACTATGGTTACTTAAAAAAAAATCTAGAACTGAGTTTCCAAAGTACTGCGAGGTTTCTGCAAAAGTTTTGGATGAAAACTGTACCCACAGTGCATTTTTGGTTAGTGAGTGGGTGGATTCATTATTCAGGGCTTATAACACATGTATTTTCAATAGGAACATTTTCTTTGGTTTTCAAATTCAAAATGTTTTTTTCCTTTATTATACATGTATTTAAGGAGCTTTTTTCTTTGGTTTTAAAAATCAAAATATTTTTTGCCTTTATTATATTTGTATAAAGGAGCTTTTTCTTTGGTTTTCATAATCAACATATTGTTTTCCTTACAAAAACTGAAGTCACTTAATCAAAAGAATGACTGGCAAGTTAACAGCAATATCTAGAGTTCTAGACACAAAAATCTGTCACAAATTGCTGTGCATAAAGAAACTTTGTACTGTAGTATAGAGCCTCCAATAAAGAACAAACACACTTGGCCTACATGCACAGAATAACAAAAACACAACAAACACAGATACAAAACGAAATTGTGTTATGCAAATTTCAACGTCCTAATATTTTGAAGCTATTTGTAGGCAGAACTGAATAAATCTGATAAGGTACTAAACAATTTTTTTTCTTTACAATTGAGAATGTTCCTCTGATTTCTTTTGTATTGTGGGAGGAAATGAAAGGGAAAACTGCTGTATTTCAACGACATGCATGTGAAAATCTGTATGGTATATGCAAGAATAAGTATCTTCTTGCTGAGTTTCTATACAAGAAACTACATATGGGTTTTGTCAAACAAAAAATCCAAACAGTCCTGTTGCAAAAATCCTATCTTATTAGACAAGGAGAAAATGTGTTAATGATATGAGACTGCATGAGTGCATAACAACAAACGTTTTCTACTCTTAACATCATATACATGTACATTTGACATGCTAATCTGTGATCCTTTACTCAAACTTCAAAGCTTTTCTTATGAGGCGTACTCTTGGAGAGGAGCGTAGTCCAAATCCTTGTCTCAAGTTGACTTTGGAACTTCTTGGACTATCCTTGGTGTCTGATGTTCTTCTGCTAGAATTCTCACCAGTTGATGATGTTGGGACCCCAGAACTTTGAGAATTGTCCTTACTGTCTGTCGTTCTGCTTCCAGAACTGCTACCATCCAAAGACATCTTGACTTCTGACCTCTGAGGATGACCCTTGCCATCTGTTGTTTTACTAACTGAATTACTACCATCCATTGATGTCCTGACTCTCAATCTTCTAGGACTGCCTTTGCCATCTGCTGTTCTGCTGCCTAAACTTCTAACACCCAATGAAGTCATCGACCTATCAGATGGCCCGCCCTGTGGCAGTCTGGGGTCACACTCCTGGGTGTATGGAGGAACAACGCCAATCTGCTTCAAGGAAACTCTGCTCCGTAACACTGCATGCTCTGCAGAGAAACCCGGCATGGAAGCAAAGACTTTGGATGAGGAAGAAGATTGGTCAACTAAGCTATCAGAGAAGGATCTTTTTCTGAGTGACCTGAACTGAGAAAGGGAAGACTCAGATGAAGGTGGACACTTCCCTGAAGAAGCTGTCTGTGCCTTAAGACCAACAAAGGAAGAATCATTTTTAGTCGACACAAATTGTCCTTGCTGTCTTGTTGTGACTCCTTGATCAACATCCCTTTTAAAAGAATGACATCCTTGTGCTACACTTCTCACTGGCTGTCTTATTTTTTCTCTACAGGAAGATCTACTCTCTGGAAATGCTTGATCTGCAGAAGACTGTAATTTGTCTTTAAGATCTCCCCTCCTAGATCTCTGAAGACTTGAAGCAAACGTTGGGCTTTTCTTTGAATAATCTACTGCAGAATGTGAAGAATCAATGAACTCGTATGGATCAACTGATTGATCTGTCATGAATTCTTTGATCCTTGATTCTAGATTGTCTTTCGAATTGCCTTTTCTTGGTGACCTTCTGAGGCGTGTCAGATCTTCAGTACCTGACCTTTGAACCCCTTTGGCAGGGCTAGAGATTACTGATTTGTGTCTATCAGCTGACAGATCTTCCTTGACAACATCCTCTGACTCATCTTGGTAATTGTGTTTCCTAGGTGATCTTCTCGGTCTTGACACTGCTCCAGCACTTGCATACAAACCGTTTTCTGCAGAATCCACAGACATAACAGAAGGTTGACAGTCTACTATGTGTTCTCCCATGAATTTCTTTGGTGAGCTTGTACTTTCAGATTTCTTTCTGTGATTCAACACTCTTGGTGGGCTTCTAGGGCTTAAATCTACATGTGCTTCAATACTTGTATCCAAACCATCTTTTGCAGAATCTATTGAAACCGTAGACTTTGGAGCCTTTATCACTTCCTCTCTCATTAGATATCTCTTGCTGTCCCACTTTTTTAAGGGATCTAGCCTATTTGGTGATCTTCTCATTTGGGTAGCTTCTGTGAGGGCAGGAGATTTTTCTTTTCCAGTCTCTACTTCCTCTGCTACGCCAATAGAACCTCTGTTTCGGTCAATGTGATCAAGCCTAACTTTTATCCCTTCAAAGACTGGCGATACTGCTCGAAAACCACAAGTTCTCTTTGCCGTGCTCTCATGCTTTCCTTGTGGTTTTTCCCTTGATAATTGCACAGTGCTAGCATCAGACATAGATTTCCTGTACCTGCTTCTTGTCATGACACAAGAACTGTTAGATCCTGTGACTGATTTAGATGAATCAGCAGAAGGAAGCAAATTTTTAAAATGTCTGGCCTTTCTCAGAGCCATCCTTTGTTGGAGATGATCTGAACGTTCGGTGTCCGTCTCATATATGATATCAACACTGGCCGTCTCCTCACTGCAAGAGTCAGAGACAACGACACAGTCTTCTGCAGGTTCGTTGATTGTTGGACATTCACTGTTCTTATTTACAGATGTATGGCAGTCAGCTCTCTGTTTCTTCTCATTCTTGTTTAAGCTTGGAGGGATAATAGTGACATCGACTCGCAGTAAATCCTGCTCACAACGTTTGATCAAACTCGAATCTGTGCTAGTATCCATTCCTCTACATTCCAACTGTTTCTCTTCACACCCGTTCTCTTGCACAGTTACAGAGACTTCTTCTGCAAATTCTTCTAGCTTTCCTGCCCTGGGAAGTGTCTTGGGTGTCTTGGACTTCTTTTTAGACTTCCTCTCTGCCTTCTTGCTCACAACTGGTTCATCCGAAGAGGTACTTTCAAAGTGTTTCTCATCCGACTCATTTTCTTGAACAATGACCAAAACTTCTTCTCCTCCTTTTCTTTCATTACTTGTCTGAGGTAGAGTGCTTACTGCCTTGGCCTTCTTTTTAGTGTCTGGAGAGGAATCTTTCTTTTTGTCTTTCTTTTTAGACTTCTTTGCTTTCTTGCTGACAACTGGCACATGTGAAGTGGTACCATTGAATCCTTTATCACTCAACTCGTTTTCTTGAGAAAGTACCAAGACTTCTTCCACACGTTCTCCTTCATCACCTGCCTGAGGTAGTGCCTTTACTGTCTTGGCTTTTGTTTTAGAGTTCTTCCTTGCTTTCTTCCTAACATCTGATATATCTGAAATCGTATCCATTTGACATGGTTCATTCAATGACATTGCATTCTCTGACTGGGCGTGATCAGTTACATCTTCGCAGATTTCATACACAGACCGTTCAGTTGGCTTGCTCGAGTCTGTGCTATCATCTTGATGAACGCTACAGAAGCTGCTCTTTTTGGAGTGATTTCCCGACACTTCTTCCACATCGACCTCATGAGGCTGAAATATAAAGGGAATGACAAGTGTAAGATATATAAATAAAGTAAATAATCATTATTTTATAAGGATGAAAGCAACATTCTATGCTTACGTGTGGAACGTAATCAAAGTAGTATACATGAATGGACATACTGTAGAAGTTGAATAGCAATAATAAAATAAATATCAATAGAAGTTATCAAAGTCCATGCGATATCTAACAGCAGGAGACATTAAGCTTTAAAAAAGTAAAGATAATTGGTTAAAAAAAGACAAATCTACAAAGAGATAAAATCTACAGATCTCCTTTCCATGGTTTTGGGTTTCTGACTTAGCTTTTCTAACATCTCTACATTTCAAACTTTTAAAGTTTCCTATATAAACATCTGGTTCCCTGACAAACTGATGTCTCAACATATGGAAAAAATTATAATTGACTGTACCGCGAATATGATGTTCAACAAAAGATGGCCACCCCTTTTCCAGCCAACATTGCACAGGTATTAAAGCACATGGGCAGATACAATACTGGGGAAGACGATAAAACAAGGTTTCTTACGGCTTCCATACAGCAGTGTCAACTACTTCCTTATTTGACTAAACTAATGTTCAGGTTTCATGAACCTCCCTGATGATTTGATGAGATCTATGAAGGCACCATCATAATCTGTTACATAGATCATTGGTTCCGAAACTACAATTCTGTTGGACTTTCCAGGTCTCAACCCTTTGTATGTGTATGGGAATGGGAAGTGTCTTTGCCAATATACCCATGGCTGGTGCTGCCCTCTATTGCAAAATATCATAGTTGCGGTAGCGAGAATTGGAACTCTAGAATTATCAAGAAACAATCCTAGATAATAATACCTCTGTGTACCTCTAGAATGGCTGCGGAATCCCCAGCTGTATCGATTACACCACTGAAGTCAGCACTCCCTGCTACATCATCCACTCCTCTTTCCAGACTAACTGATCCTGGTCGGCCATACAAAGTCTGCAGGAGAAAATTGGAAGTGTTTCACAAAGATTAAGATCGAATTTAAGTTGGATTTAACTATGGCAGGCAGTTCATGCCACTGCTTGCTCTCACCATTTACTGGTATTGGTCTCTCAAGGGACGTACAAGTCATGGTCACAAATCTGCAGAATTGACATTTTTTAGAATTCGTTATTGAAGGAAAAGTCTAAAGATCATAATTAAGAGACCAATGGTGAGAGCAACCATGGCATGAAACACTCCCCAGACCTATAGGGGACAATCCTATGGAAAATTGATGAAAGTGTTTTGAACTTTATCCATATATGCAATATGTTCTGGATATGTTTCCAAGTTGCAAACGAGCTTTGCTTGCTTTACCAGAATTTTCTTTTTGTTGCAAAGGTGGAAATTCAGCTTGTTATAGAAAAATCTTGCTTGGCTATAAGTCTCATAAGAAGCACAGCCTTTTACAATTAAAAACTATTATATGTGTATCAGTGATATCAGAACTTCTGTATTAGCGAAATATGCATACTCCGATATATGACAGTTCAACAAGCTGGAATATACACTATGAATATGACGGACAAAGAAAGCGGACAAAATAAGCGGACAAACTATACAGTTCCTCAGGTAGACAAAGGACATCCCTTCACTGCTATTATGTAAAAAGGTGAATATGCATGTGACACCTGTTCTACCCATTTTTACATAATAGCAGTGAAGGGATGTTCCTTTGTCTACCTGAGGAACTGTATACTTTGTCCGCTTTCTTTGTCAGTCATATTCATAGTGATACCCCCTCCTGTGTACAAAGACCACATTTTTTGTTTCCCTTGTAAATGGTTTCTCACTGAAACATGTACTAAAGGAACCCGTCTACAAAGACCACTTTTTGTGTTTCCCTTGGGCGCCACTATAGACAGGTTTGACTGTATCATTAAAATCCAAAATTTGGGAAGACAGCGTGACAAAAGGTAAATAATTTGTAGCAACACAATGGAGGGGATGACTTTTCATCAAGGAAAATACTTTGTGGGGACACCAATGAGATAGTTAGAACAGAGAGTATTGAACTATCTTTACAGAAAGACAGACTAACCTGTTGAAGTTCATTGCAGAGGTCAAAGGAGGCTATCTGGAGGAAATAACTGGTCATCTTATGATCGTTAGCATATGTCGATAGTTCAGAGGTCAGATGAGGGCAGTGGTCAGCTAACCAGGTAGTTAGGCCATGAGGAGGCATGAGACTCAGGCTGGACTGCATCATCAGATTAAAGAAAAGAAGAATGGTGTAATCTAAGTATGAAAGTACTTGTAAGTACTTTGTATTTAAGGCACAAACCAGTGCAATCCTACTATGCAATCCAAGAGAAATGCAGAAAATGTCAATGGAAAACAAATTAGAAACCTCATAACCTACAAAGTGATGATACGTAGTACTTATCCTAAAATATCTTACATCACAAGAAAACATCACCATTAATATTAAAATACACTTTCCACTTGTCATTCATGAACCATATCATTTCTCTTTTTTTCTCTTTTTGCAATGCCGTCAATATTAGGCCTTACTTATAAAAATTAAAAAAAACATGATCATTTGAGGGAATGGAAAAGTTTTTTCTTCTAAAAACTTTAAAACTACAATACTGTTTTTTCTGCTTATGAAATCAGTTTTACGGGTTGTTATACATCATACACTCAAACAGATTCTTGACATGGGATTCATGCAGATAAAGAAATTACAATTATTTCAATGTTAACCTGATAATTTTTAGGTATTATCTCTTAGAATACACATCAAGGCTGAAAAGAGGACTTTCTCATTTTTCTAAGGAAACTATGAAACAAAACTTTCATAAAGATAATTCAGTATAATACTGTCTGATACTGTCGAATGCAAACACACTTGACAGAGCATTGGCAGGTTTACAAACCTTAAGTTGTTCTGTTATTTCTGGATACAGGTACTGCGGTAAGATGTATCTGGCCAACCGACATACAAGGATATGTTTGATGTACGAAGGAGGGGTGAATGGGTATGGAGGATGTTTCAACACATGCCTACATACAGCACAGAAAAAGAAAATAGTAGTAAAATGTAACGGCAACAGGCATAAAAGTGTATACCGGTAGAGGGATGTGCATTTGAAGAGGATGACTTTAAAAACATTGGGTAGGATATTGGTCCCATGTTTATTGAGCTGTAGTAAAGTCATATTCTCAGTACACATTCTCCATCACTTTTGTGAGAAGTCAATAACAAAATGAAACTGGTCAATTAACAAGCAATACATTGTAACAATGTCATATATGACCTTGCACCGCTAACCTGTATACTTCAAATGAATGCTAACCATAGGAAACATAAAAATAGAAGGTCAAATGTAAAACAAGCACACAAACAATTTTGTGATGATCTGTCACTATATTAGTCAAGTTTGAAATATTACTGTTGATGTAATTGTAATTGTGCAGGAAGCCAGCCCCTATGTTCTGAAGGTAACACTTTAATAGTAAGAGCTTCATTCAATGATGCTGTATTTTATAGAAAAGTGTTTATCTCAGGACCGCACAAGGTACACCACCAGCCCACCACCAAGACTTATAGTTTAATTCATACTTACATGAGTGTAGGATAGAGATAGGGAGCATCGATAGGTTCTGGTTTCACTGAAAGCTGAAGTATAACATCCATCAGGAGCTCCTTATTGTTCAGCAAAAGACAAGCCTTGAACAGGGTATGCTGAGCCAAGCGAGGACTTCTTCCCGAATCAGACCTGGCAAATCAAAAATTAAGGTTCCAATATTCATATTTGTTTTAAAGTTCACATATTTATAAATAAATTTGCAAACATAATGGAATTTCATGTCTATTCACCTAACAGTGTATTGTGGTTAGCCACCCTCCAGTGGAAGAGTATACAAATAATACACAACAGTGAGGGCATTAGTAAGAATTACCCACACAAGGTACCTTTGGAACAGTCTAACACGCCTGAGGCGATAGCCGAGGGTGTTTGGACTGTCTCAAAGGTAACGAGTGTGGGTAATTTTACTAATGCCCGAACACAATGAGGTGTATTGTTTGTTTTATAAGATGATGTTTTATTTGTTTTATAAAATGATGTTTTTATAACATGATTTTACTCGGACCGGTCATTAGCACTTGATAATGAACGGTCATTATCAAAATTATGTGTTAGGCAAAATGAGTGCCTGGTCACGTGTACGCTCTTAACCAATCATTTGATCAGGATCCACGTCATCATCTTATAAAATGTAATAGTCTTTGGTTGCTCATCATCAGCTTGGATTTCAACAAATAAAAGTTCTACAATACAATGCTTTGGTGCCAATCATTGCTTGACAGTCAATATCTTACACCAACTTCAATCCAAAACCAATCCCTGGACAGAATCCTAATCCTGAACTGATCGTAATCCTGAACTAAACCTAAAATCCAGTTCTATCTCTAGCCCTGACCCCAATCTTTGGTGGAATAAAGCCTGGACTTTATGCCACTGGAAGAAATGTCGGGCCACCAACAGAATTGATCACTTCGCAGCTTAATCCTATGTTTCAAATCTTTCCTGACTTTTGGATGGCAGCGGTGGGATATGTGTCCTGCAGCCTTTTCACACACAGCTAAAATTCATCGTACCTAGATTTGATTAGTATAAACATGTTTAACTCAACAGTTTTAAACACCTTTAAAGAAAATTTTCCCAGTGTGAACATTGTTTATACGATGTTCAGATAGATATGAAGTCGCGATTCATACGCCCCTCAAAGCAGGCTGCAGATACAAAGTTTGTATCTAGAGAGCTTGACATTTTGTGTGTGAACGGTTTAAACGTGTTTAAACTGGATGGAGCGTGTGCTTTGTTTGATATGACCTGACCTTCAATGCGCAATGGCACTACTGCGCATTTTAAGAGCAGTAGTTAATCACGAAACGATTAACGATCGCACCAAAATTTCTGTGTGTGAATGATGTCGTATGTACAGCTGATTAGTTTAAAGGTAAAGACCAGTATTGGCAACGCCCCAATTTCAAAAAATGAAATGGAAGCTCTCATTACCAATCATGTGAAAGAATATGTTTTGACTAATACATGATGATAAAAAATTTGCCGGGAAACTGCCTACTAATTCATATATTTGGTAAATTTATCTCTCTCATGGTCTGGTGAGAGAGATAGGGTAGTCCCATATACATCTTTCTGTGTATAGTGCTTGTAACTTTACGAAGAATGGGCCAAATTTCTTATCATTTTGATGATTCCAGAACCTTGCAGATGCTAGATGCTAGATGATCAACCTTTTCTGATCGATTCCACAACGTTTCTTTCACAATGCAATCGCATGGCCATTACTGGTCTTTACCTTTAAAGCCCTTTAAACTAATCATGTTTATAGAATTTTAGCTGTGTGAGAAAAGGCTGCACGCCATCGATATGACTGGTGCCTCTAACAGCAACATTAAAGGCTGTCTGTACTAGTTTGGCTAGGAGGGATTAGACCACCCAGGAAGGTCACTGACAGGTGGCTATCTCATTAACTCTGCTCTCAATCAACACAAGAAAAAGAGGATCATGGGGGATCAATGGTCACCGATTAGGCATTGTTTTCTATATAGAGGGAGCAAGTAGCTACAAGTAGTAAAGTGGGTCTTTAGAAGTTTAGATACCGCGTCAGATTTTCTACTCTGCTCATACATGATTGTACGACATGTTCTTCTGTGAAAATGGCTCCAGGGTCCATTTTATACACTAACCACATTCTCAATTTCAACCCCGGAAGAAACATTTTACCAAACCCTAACCTAATGTTTTGACAACATAAATGCGGAAAAATTGCTGCCAGGTCACCTATTTTTGCAGGTTGCATTGGAATATCTAATATCTCTGTCCACGCCTTCCCTCTGGGAGAATATACCCTTGATGCCGAGCACTAAGCTTGATATAGGCACCAATGGTGTGATACAGCACCTGTGAGAACCCTTCACAGTTACATAGTGTACGTATACACTCTTATACTGAAAGTATAATATCAAACAACAATACAATCTCATAAAACTATAGCTCACATTATGACTACACCTTCTTCATAAATTGATTCACCATTGAACTAATCTACATATTATCTTCACGACCAGGTTTGGTGAATTACCTTGTAATGAGCATATCAAGACTGGAGTAAAGAGATAACATAGAAGTCATAAGCCGTTTGTAGGCAGATTCCTTACATAAGGGTACCTGAAACACAAAATATATTGAAACGTAATCCTCATTAAAATAACCTCTCTGCATATATTTTATACCAAAAGAAATTATTCTGAAACAAGATAATTTGATTAAGACTACCAAGCATTACAACGTTAAGAATCAAAATGCAACCATATTATTGAAAGACTGACTAGATTTTTAAAAGAAAGAATATCTTTACATAATATACTGCTATAGTAATATGTATAATATTCATATTATGTTATATATATATTATGTATATTCACATTCAAAATGTCAATGCTAATCTCACGGAAAAGGAATTGAGTTATAACTGACGTAATGAATAAATTACATCTTTACATTTTCTAAGAATTAAAGAATGACACTGGTAAGAAATTTTACCTTCTTTTTATCAGTATGTAAAATGTCACACTTGAAGTGGAAATACAACATCACACTATGCAAGCGGCTTTGAACATCAGAAGCTCTGTGAAAAGGATGGGAAGAAAAGGTTACAGAAATTGCTCAGCTGATTGCAAAGAGAGAATAAATGAAAATTAGGGGAAATGATGGAAACTGCAATGGAGAGTGAAAGTGGTGGAGGCTAGTAAGATACTGCACAGTAATCTTTGATGCCTTTCTCAATAAACTTGTGCAAGCTAGGAAGCTTCCCAAATATTCTTATAATGTCATTCTAGAGCCACATGTTCCCGAAAAGAAATTAACATTCTGGAAAGAACTTTCTGACCCTAACCCTGTTAATTGGGACAAGATTCATATTGATAATTTCAAATGAACTATAAGCACTCGCATTCGTTCATTTTATTTCAAACTCTTTCATAAAGCCATAGCACTAAATAACTTTCTGTTCAAAATTAAATGAAAGAATTCTCCTAATTGTTCATCTTGCGAAAATAAACCCGAGACTTACCTACATCTTTTCATCGAATGTCAGACTGTAAAACCCATTTGGGATGATACCATTAAAATTATTAATCAGAAGATTAATAAAGTAGTGAATTTTTCAATATTTGAAAGAATGTTTGGCTATGAAAAGGATATGTTTTTGACATATTTATTTCTTATGCTTAAATACTACATTTATTTATGCAAATTTCAAAGTAAAATACCCAATTTTCAGGGTTTCAGAACTTACATTGACTATCATAAAGATCTTGAATATCATATTGCAAAAAAGAAAAACAAGCTGCCCTTGCAAAAAAAAAAAAAAAAAAAAAAAAAAAAGATACTGCACAGTAAGGAGAAACCAAGAGAGCGAGAGAGAGAGAGAGAGAGAGAGGTCTAAAAGAAGAAGAGATAAATAAAAGATCTATTTTGATTGATGATTCAGAGAAAGAAAGTGTGTGTGTGTGTGAGATAGAGAGAGAGAGAGAGAGAGAGGTCTAAAAGAAGAAGAGATGAATAAAATATCTATTTTTATTGATATTTCGGAGAAAGAGAAAGAAGATGAGAGAGAGAGAGAAAGAGAAAGAGAGAAGTCTAAAAGAAGAAAAGATGAATAAAAAATATATTATTATTGATATTTCAGAGAAAGAGGAAGATAGAGAGAGACAAAAAAGGGTTAGTTTTAACATTTGTTACATGCTGATAGAATTTGGGGTAATGAAAGGATGCATGCATGCAACATTGTACATCATGAAAATTCTAAAGACATTGTTTTTCAAAAACCCAGTGCTGGCACTCACATCTATAGGTGACAGGTCTACCCATACAAATCATAAATCTTAAAATATTGACTAATGCTTACTCATGAACAAAAGTTGGTGACAAATTATGCGACTTGGTTAGAAACAAAGCTGATGAAATGATTCTCTTATTTAAAAGATATCAGTATATTATCTGATTGAGAAAATTAAAATGTCAAATAAAACGTTTGCAATTACCTTGTAGCGTTCTTTGACTTGACAGTATCAGCCACTTCTAGAGAGAAAAGCCTAAATGGAATGAAAGACAGCGTGGAAATATTTGTTCAAGTAAATTCAAACAGAGCCCTTAATTGTGTCAGGCAATCTATAAATATCCTGTGACATGAGAATAAGAAAAATATTCAATATTTCATGACTATGCATCTTTTCAAAGTTTGATTACATCGTAAGCCTACATTGCAGGGATTATGAACTTGTTGTGTAGGGTATTAATTCTTGATACAGAAAGCCTCGCACATCACATGTGATAATTTAGTAGGATGAAACATGATTTTAGAACATAGGAAGATGAAATAGATATAGACCAAACCAAAAAATAATAATAAAATAAAGAAGAAAAAAAAAGAAAAAAGATGAATTCGATAGTAAAATCAGTATATCTCTGCCTAGATTCAGAGTTATTGTCGGAACAATTTGCTACAACTTGTTTCCCAGTTTCAATCAAGAGCAAAAGGAAGAATGTTAAACCTGAGAAAAAACATCTCATTACCACATTGTTTTTCGACCTAAGTGACTTGTGACCAACCAATACAAACAAATAATAAGACTATCTTCCACAACTAGCAAGTCTGAGGTTCATGACTCGAATAGGTTTTTGAGTCATAATAATGACTAAAAATAAACTGACTTTCAACATACTTGTAGACATTGTGGAATTGAAAAAATAAAATAAAACAAAACAAACAAGCGGCAACCCAGAAGAGGTGAACAAAAAGAGTAGGAAGGATCATATGAGGTTAATAAAGGGAAGGTTCTTACCTTACAGCATGGTTCATCCTCTTGGTTAGGGAGGCATTGTCACATTGATGATACAAGACGGTTAACTCTCTACTCAGCTCATTCACATTCTTTGAATTTCTAACCTACAAAATAAATCAATCAGAAAACTACGATTTAGAAGAAGAAAAAAATTGGTCGAGGGAATTATTTGCTGGTGGTATCCTACATAGACATATATATCAAAGTAGAGGCTTATAATGCTTACAATATAACTAAATGTGATATACCGTAATAAAAAAAAGGTCACAGACCAAGCCACATATTTGAGGTAACAATTGCTCTGCCTGCAGTCAATTCTTAAGACTCTTACTCATACTTCTGTCTTCAAGACATGACCTGACAATATTCCTAACCACCCTAAACTAAAAACCAATAATAATAATAATAATAATAATAATAGATCACATTTATAATGCGCCTAATACTTGTTTCTAGGCGCAGTAATTATTATTACCCTGGTCATCAGATTCAGGCTGAACCATACACAATGTATGCACATTCTCCACTCCCTAGGGAGCGATAGCATCCCCAACCTTTGAATATATCTGTAATAAAATAAAGCCCAGAGCAAATGCCACTGGAGCACTGAAATTTTACATCACCATGATGATCAATAAGACTGTACTCACACAGGTATCCTTCAACTTTGTCGAATCAGGTTTCTTCCGAGAATGAAACGATTCTGATGAATGACTAGATACAGACAGCTCCTTGCGAGAACAAGCTCTGTTAAACTGATCATCTTTGGGTTGTATCACTTCTTTTATTTCCTTGGAATAGCATGGCCTCTCCTTGGGTTGTACTGGCAGCAAAGGAATCATCCCTCTAGCTTTACCTTGTCCTGTGCATAAACAAAATATCAATCATCATCAAATTATAAATGTTGGCAATAATAAATTGGTATTCTCACAAAAATCTTTTACAAGATTCTGTGTTTCTTATTCTTCATCCTTCAGAACAGCCTCATTTGACAATGACACCACAGTGTAAAAGATAAGGAATATGCAGATCTAGAGTGTCCAAAAGATAACCCTTGGATATGGCAGTGGTACGGATGACCTATACTTTGTAGTGAGAACATCTCTTGGTCAGAAGAGGGGGAGAGAGAGAGAGAGAGAGAAAGAGAGAGAGGAGAGAGAGCGCAAGAGGAAAGAGCAAGAGGAGAGAGAGAGAGAGATAGAGAAGAGAGAGAGAGAAGAAAGAGAGAGAGAAGAAAGAGAGAGAGAAGAAAGAGAGAGAGGGAGAGATCTATTGATATATGTGTAGAAAGAGAGGGAGAGAGAGAGAGGTAGGGAGGGAGAGGTAGGGATGGAGGGAGATGTAGGGAGGGAGGGAGGGAGAGAGAGAGAGAGAGAGAGGAGGAGAGAGAGGGAGTGAGAGATAAGAGTACTGAGCCTTTCAAAGATCCATTTGCCCATCCTCACCCCCCAAAATAGTGTGATAACTGCATGACTTCCACCCAGCTTTACCTTGTTTTCCATCTTCCATCCCAGAGGATCGTTGGTCAGCTGGTACAGTAGGAGCATCTTCAGAGTTCCGAAAAGCTCGTCCATCATGACCGATGCTCGTTTCTTGAGAAGCAGCCAACCTTTGCTTCAGATTAATGCATCTGGGAAATTAATGTCATTGGAAAATCATTGGAAAATCATAGCAAAACATTCATTTTTATTTCAATAATGATCTTTCAAGTAATGTCATAGTAAGTTTAAACAATGTAAAATGATTAATCAATCATACATACCTTAATCAGACAACTGAGATGTATATGATTTAAGGGTCACTTAAATGAATAATGAATGAAATGAATACCGGTAGTGTTATTTTCCAAATATTTACATGTCAAAGAGGCAGCAAATACTATACTGAAAATCATAATTGTCTCATTTCTTGAACTAATGTTTTGTTAATTTCAACCAACATAAAGCTATACTCACATATGCTGAGCAAATCATTGTTCTAAATATTGAAAAATTAAAATATTAAAATATACTAACACTGTTTATAGCTCTACTTTAAAAATAATCACATTCAATCATGCAATAAAGAGATTTTGTACAGCTTTATATTAAAGCAGCATACATTTCCATCATTAGCACTGAGCTTAACTGTCATATTTTGCTTCTCAAGTTTGAAACTACTGCTGCCGGTATAAGGTCCTGTATTTTAAAAACTCCTTACCGTTTGAATCTCTTACAGTACAAAGGACTGTATTTACACAACTCTCTCCTTAATTTTCCTTGAGTCATCGAATATATGGACCTCTTGAAATGACATTTTAGATCCTTTGCAGAAACCACCACTCCTGTTAAATGAAAACGAAAAAAGTTTTGAAGATTTAAAAGCTGCAAATTTTCAAGAAATATTAGCTATTGGATCCCTCATAGCAGTTTTCAAAATGATCGCTTTCCAGATGTTCATACTTTGTTCATATATAACAATAAACTAGACCAATTTGACCTCTGACCTACTTACATTACACTCTAATGAGTTCATATATATTTTTAAGTGATACATATATCTGCCAAATGCCATCAAGTTTGAAGATCGTGCCACAAAGAGATAAATTTTCAGACAAATTGACCTCTGATCTAATTACCCCCAACTAGAACAGTTAAAAAAAAAAAAAAAAAAAAAAAAAAAAAAAATAAATTGCAAATAGACTGACCTATGTGCCCTTTGACCTAATTACCAATATCTCATGAGATCTCTCTATGAATACACACCCATAACAACTATGAAGTTCATAACTCAAAGAATTAATCAAAGAAATTAATCCATGAGTCTGAAAACCAAAATCTATTTATTGCATTTCATTTCTCTATGATGGGGCTACACATGCAGTACTTCAGCAGTAGGCTATGGAGTAATAGTTTGAAGCTCCTAGACCTACATGTACCTCAAAAGTATGCCTTTTTTAAAACATTTTGTATAGATATTGTGATGAATTAAAATTGAGGATGAATGGATGGATATATATATATATATATATATATATATATATATATGTATATCAATAACTAATAACAAATAATGATGGATGTAAGACTTTATAAGTGTAGGCCCTGTCAATATATATACAATCTCTTTTCTTTTTTGAAAATCATTTTTTCTTATTTAAAATATTATTTAATTGAAACAAAAATTGATAAAGACAATAACAAAAATCAAGGGTTTACAATTATTTTCATCTCCTGATTCAAGTAACATTCAAAACAATTAAATTAGCCTTGGATAAGTTGAATTGCAAGTCACCTAAAAATATAAGGAAGTACAATCACAATCACAATGTCTCATCGTCGACTGCTTACATGTAGGCAATATTATAAGATTTGATTCTGGGCCTTAATTCTTGCAGTAACTTTAATTAAAAATCATTAAAAACAACTAAAGAAATCAAACACAAGTTCTATACATACTAAGTGGCTGAAAGATGTATTTCTATATTTTGAGTAAAGATGGGAAATTGGGAAAAGGTTCACAATTTTAAAAGGCCCTTGTATAAATGACGTTATAACTATGGGATATTAAAGTCCAGCCTATAGTTGCTGTCTAGCAATTTACCATGTTTTCCTTTGAACAATTCATCTGCAAGTTCCTCCACATAGTGTATGGCTCTCCGCCTCCGGTCCAGTGGCATGATGCCTTCTCTCTGCATCCTGCCAAAAAAAAAGAAAGAAGAAAATTGCAATAAATCATAACCATGCGATCTTGATGATGCAAGAAGCATACACAAATCTTGACCAATGTGCTGGTGTGCACGTGCATGCATGTGGAAAGAAGGTTGTTCACTAACTTCACTTCACTTATCTGCTTATAGCTCCTCCGTTCAACTCTCCCCCAGACCGCCATTGAACTTCAACATGCAGTTCAAGGACAATTAAGGCACATACAATTATCAATTAATTTGTCCCTCAATCTAAAGAAAAAAAAAAATGAATGGCTCGATCATGTCAATTCATCATAGAAAAAAAATAAACTCATGTCACCAAAGTCCAATTATTACATGCCAGATCAATTAAAGCCCACGAGGCCATGAACCCCAATTAGGCCGAGTATACGGCATCTGCAAGAATCTTCAGTATTGAAGGAGGCAGATTATCTTGAAGAAGAAGAAGAAGATGCCACTGCCATCGACATTGTCAATATGATAAGCCAATAGTACTGCTTGTACAATGAGAGACGTAATGAAATGATAGACAAATTTAATTACCATCAATTCCAATTTCTATACGACTGCTAAGACAAAGTCAAGTCATGCAAAACATGGTGAACAATTTCAGAAAACTCTATTCGTTACAGATTTTTATCTTCTAGCCTAGACCGAAAGCTTCAGTCTCTGATAATATCGATCGTTGTTCCGCTGAGATTGCATCTGGCTCCTCTGACCGCCTCAACAAATGTCAGTTTTATTAAAGAAATGACCCATATCAGACGGTTATATTTCTGTCTACTTCTAGCCGTGCCCTAAATAATCCCCAGCTGCTACTGTATGCAATGCTATCACTACCAAACGACCCTGGGTTGAAGGGGAGACAACCTGCACCTGTTGTGGGGTGCACATGGAGCATCACTAATTAATTTTGTCTCAAAAATAGGACACAGAAACCACGACCGAAAGTGTATAAATATCGTCCAGTGTGCCTGGGATCTCGACTGCCTTTAATTACAAACGAACTAACATTTAACAAGTTGCATTTACCATCTACAGCCCAAAGAGATAATAAACTCAACAAAAAATACCAGCAAAGGATGATTGAACTCTTAGGGAGCGAATGTGATTCCCCTTTTTTCTGTAGTCTAATTAAAGATGACTTGATTAAAAGGAGGTTTATCAAGTATTTTAGAATTTTTTTGTTCCTACCAATTTGTAATAAATTGAGTATTAAGATATCATTTTTTATTCAAATATTTAATTCAGGGAAATTTACTGCTCATCTTATGCTTTAAAATGTAAAGATTCCAACAGTAAATAAGAAGTTTCCTTGTAAAAATCTAATTTTACTACTATGCGCACAGCATTATGGGTAAAGAGCTAGGTTGTTAATGTTCACCATTCGTTTTGTACACGAATAATACAAGGGAGACGATGTTTTGGTTCACAAGCAAGCGGAGAAGATGACGGCAAAATGAGACCTCTTCATAAGTTAGTTTCTCTACTTTCGCAGCCCGAAAGCTGCAGTAAATCTTCATCTTGTGTATTCTAGTTTAAAAGGCAGATGTCCTTTTGTCGCGAAGCTCTGTCGAAGGTCGCAACTTTCGTTTCTGAAGCTGGCCTGGGCCCCGGGATTGCAGTAAATTGAGGCGGTCACACTGAATTGACATTGTTTGTTTCATCAAAACGCGTGTGTAGAGGTAAAATGACAATGTTTTTTATGAGATTCGGACATTTAAACACTTAAAAAACATGTGTACATGAGATGTTGATAATAAAAGCTAACACTGTCATCAAGTTTCATTGTTTGTGTCTTTATTTCATGCATTTAATTCAATTGATTCAAGATTGAGTGAAAGCGGTTTTCACAAATTTGAAACCTAGAAATTAGATTTTTGTTAAATGTAATCTAATTTAACTTGACTCGACAAATTTGTGTTATACAATTTGAAAATATTGATCTTGTTAACACTTTTCTTGGTACATATTACCTAGGAGTATTGGAAGAACCCCAAATTTTGAATTATAAAAATTCTCCTGCTACAGTCCCACATACTGAAATTGGTGATGTATATTTGAACTTTGTATTTTGGCACATTTTGTATTGGATAGGGATTGTCACCTTGTCCTTGAGGGAAGTTTTAGGCATAGTCATAGAATTAGCTTTCATTAGATCAGAATATTAAACATATCATGTAGTCTGTATCTAGATTACATTTGATTCTTTAAAAAAATGAAAAATGAAAAGGGAGGCAGGAAAATGTTTAAAATTGGACAGAGCAGTCTGCAAATTCTCTAACAGTTTTTTTATGAGGTTTTTTTTAGTGAATAGAATTACAAAAGGTATGTTAAATTAAAACTGCTAGAGATCTAGTCTGATGGTATACATGTGTATACATGTATATGTTATGCATGTAGTAAGTATGTTACCTAATTTTCATAAACTACTTTTTTTTCCCTCCTGTACAGAGCCAGAGGTTAACGATGGATGTGAACGGAATGACACCTTCCATCCTTGGTCAACCAGGGAAGAAGTGCACCAGTTACAAGCTACTGGTCGATCCAAACATCAAGAAGAATTGCCAAAAGTTAATCAGATATGATGGCATCGTTCCAGGACAAATGGTACATGATCTATCCTCTTTTACTATAATTTATAGTTTCTGCTGGGAGGCTAAATGGTTTTAAAGGGGAAGTCCACCCCGATAATATAAGTGTGTTTTAAACTTTTAATACAAGGAGAAAAATGAGAAGAACAGATCAGTGAAGGTTTGAGAAAAATGTTCTATTTCATGAATGAAAGAATGACTGAATGAATGTAGCTTTATAAATATGATTGTGGGAAAGAGAACATTTTCATGAGATAATTCTGTTTGGTTAAATTCTTTAAAAATGATGGCATCTTGCCACTGATCACCAATTGAAAAGTGATTGATTGATTTGATTTATTTGCACACTCCATAAAAAGAAAATAATAATACACGATACATAATAATTAATAATATAATAAACAGAACAAATCTAACAATAAAAAAGCAGAAATACTAAATAATATTTGAGAACAAACAAATTCATGTCAATGTGGGGGAATATAAATAGTCATGGACTTCTAGCAAAACCCCATACTTATATTAATAAATGTATAATTTATATTGAGAAAGAAGGCGAAAGGAACAAATTAATAAATAATGATAACAATGCAGTCGAGGTAAATGAATTGTGTAGAAGGTACTTTTTAGGTTTGGATTTGAATATATTAAAGGATTGAGAATGAATTCCTAATAATTTCAGGTAAATTATACCAGAATACAGGAGCATCGGGAATTTTTTTTTTTTTTTCTAGATAAGGGGGATTTTCCACATAAGATAAAATAAAGAATATTAATTTATATAATGCGATAAATAGAATAATCTAATCACACTACTTTGTAGTCTTCGTTGTGTTTTGTTTTCTTAAATGAATACATTGTACATTTCAATGTTCAAACTATCTATCTTTTTATCTATTTTTGTTAACAGGGTCAAGCGCTTTCTGTGAAGTTTGTGAAGGATCCTCGCTCCAGATTAACAAGACTATGGAGGGACACAGAGATTGCAGATTTGCCCATTCCAAAAATGAAGGTATTCTAGAAATATTTCATTTGCTTTTATTTGAATTCGTAATCATGTTTATGTCAGAATAAAACATATAGCATACAAGTAAGTTACAGATAAATTTCCCCAAAAATGAAGATATTCTAGAAATATTTCATTTGCTTTTATTTGAATTAATAATCATTTTTTTCGATCGATCATGTTTATGTGTCAGAATAAAACATATAGCATATGAGTAAGTTACAGATAAATTTTGCCATCAAAATCTGGCATAGTAATGTCTGGTGTCTCAAATTTCTAAAACCGGAAGAGCAATTCCTGAAGTTTCAAATTTGTAATTTTAATTAGTGTTTGAAAAGGAGAGACTCAAGCAATTTTTTTTTTCTCTCTCTCTCTCTCTTCTCTCTTTTCCTCTCTTTCTCTGTCACTCTTTATTGTCTTTTTACAGAGATTACTTGATATTTAAGTAATATTTACTGCCTTCTGGGCAATACGACATATATCGCCCGAACCGAAGGTGAGGGTGATATATGACAAGTCGTATTGCCCTGAATTAGGCAGTCAATATTACTATTATTAACCACATCAGACATCTAGAGCAAACAAGAAACTCTTACTATCTTATACTCTTAAATTATGTAGGCTACACATGGTTTCCTAGCATTAGAAGTTGCAAAAACATTGTCAAACCAGCACTGTTCATCCAGTGTTTGACAGATTTTCGATACACTGCAAACAGTTTGCCTAGGGTGTGATTGTTACGTCACAATAGAGTTCGCGCAAAGTGCGCATTTTCTTATACACGATGCGCGATGTAAATTACAATAGCTGATGCGCGATGTAAATTACAACTGGCACTATATTATTGCTCACTAGTTTAACACGCATTTTGCCATTGACTTTTCTGAGCGGGCTAAAATATTTGTCCATTGGTTTACTGTATAACCTATATTGCCCGCCAAATTACACACAAATCCCATTGACTCTTCTGAGCGGGCTAAAATATTTGCGCATTGGTTTACTGTATAACCTATATTGCCCGCCAAATTACACACAAAATCCCATTGACTTTTCTGAGCGGACTAACTTATTGTAATTTTGTTGACTTATCCATCAAACCTTGAGGGCAATAACATTTAAAAATTGCCCTGCTCAGATGTCTGATACGGTTAATAATTAGAATTATGACACATTTATTTTTTTATTTCCAGTTTGATGAATACTTTGTTGGTGAGCTTCCTCCGAAGCAAATCACTTTCACCAACCTCAATGACAACGTTCGCGAGCCTTTCCTGCGCAGCATGGCTGAGAAGCACGGCAAGGTGGAAGACATCACGATCTACAGGCATCCAAAGACCTCCAAACATCTGGGCCTTGCATCAGTGACCTACACAAGCACCAGGTTCGCCAGGCAGGCAGCATTGGAGATGAACCGTACATCTGTTATGGGGAAGATCATCATTGTGCAGATTGATGCTGGTGGTAAGTTTTTTTAATGAAAAAAAATAAATATCAATCACAATAAAATTGATGTGGAGAGCTATGTAAGAAAGTCAGTGACTGTATTTAAGTAGGACCAAACTATCATACCTTTTGAATCTGATTTTACTGACGCAGAAACATTTCAGTTTTCAATTACAGTAGATACAATTACTTTGAATGGGTATGTAAAATAATGTTGTGAAATAGTGAGCATGTATCTTTTCATTCGAGATTGAAAGCAATGCTGTGCTATTCTCGTTATATTTCTCATATTGTCTTATTACTGCAGGAAAGGAATGCCAAAGAATTTTTGACTGTCTAGTTGCCGACAAGCCAAGCACACCAAGTAGCGTCGGTTCTACACCACGCGTTGATCCTCGAAATGGGACTCCGCTGTCTGGTCCAGACACTCCTCAAAAAAATAATGATCCAAGGCGCTTGTCTCTGGAGAAACAATCTTCTGTAGTAACGGACACACCAGCTTCATCCATTTCATCTTCGACTCCGGGATTCATGCCTCCAGAAAGCCAAGGGAGCTTTCCTGCTTTTGCGGAACAACCTGTGCAACAGTTCCAAGGAATGCCAGCCCCGAACGATCCGCAGTTCCAGATGCCCGAACAACCTTCCCAACAGGACATACTTATGCACAGCATGAATTCTGTAACGTTGCAAGGATACGAACACATGCAGAATGTATACGCTGCCCAGCAAGCCGCCCAGCTCGCCGCACAACAGGCACAGCAGGCTGGTTATGCCCAGCAACACGTTGAACAAATACCACGTACCACAGCAGCAGCAGGGATGTATGCTCAACAAACTCCAGTGCAGCAGGTACAAGATGGGTTTACAATGCCACAGACACCCTCTGTTCCTCCTGTGCCTGATCAACATATGCTCTATGGACACCAGCAACATCCTGCTATTTCGCAGGATCCGTCTGCAGTCAATTTCCAAGCCACCCAGCCTTACCAAACTCAACCTATGAACGTTCAAGGTTACAGTGCCCACGAACTCCCAATTCAAAATCAGACTGAAATGCCAGGATATTCCTCGAGCGGTGCAGTCGATAATTCAAAACAGTATCAAAAGGTGGATCATGCACAGTCCAGTATGAAACAGAACTACATGGCACGCGGTGAGTCGCATCATGCACATTCAGAGGAAAGCCAAGAATCTTTCCACAGTCGTTCGTACCAGTCACATTCAGGAAGGGGCCAGAGACACTCTAATCAGTCTGGTTCAAAGCGATATGATGAAGACAGAGGTTCGAAGCGATTTGACGATGATAGAGGTTCGAAGCGATTTGACGATGATAGAGGATCAAAGCGATTTGACGATGATAGAGGTTCAAAGCGATATGATGATGATCGAGGTTCAAAGCGATATGATGATCGATCAAAAAAGTGGGATCGAAGGGATAGACAGGACTATCATTCAAACAAACGCAATGAAAGGCAACGGTATCGTAGTCAGGATAACAGTGAAGAGAATGATGAAGATGGGGGCAGTAATCGCCAGAAAGACCATCGACGTGGCAACTTTCGGTCGAGAGACTCAAGTGACAGACATCGCTTTGATGACTCATATCATAAAAAGTCTTTCCATAAGAAAGATGATGAGGAAGATGAACATGAAAGTAGTCGAAGTCACAGAGCCGGTTCTAAATCTAGGGGGTATGATAACAAGTATTCTGATTCTAGGACTTACAGAGATGATCACAGAGACAAAAAGAAGACCAGAGAATTTGATAAAGAAGAGAGTGGGGATCATTTTGCAAAGTGGCGCTGTCCCACACTGAAAGACCAAGAAGTGAAGCCGAAAGAGGAATCCTACAAGTTTGATAAATGGGAAATCCCCAAAGGAAAGTCACTACCTCCAGCACCGGTTAGAGAAACAAACAAGTTTGATCAATGTCATCCACCTGGAGAAGAGCCACCGTCAACTTCTCCTGAAGATGTCTCGCCCTTTGAAGAGTGGCAGTGTCCACCTGGTGAGGAACCACCTCCTGGCACCATGCCATTGGTCTTACCATCCCAACCATTCCCACCCGGTGTTCAGGAAGCCCCTCTCCCCAGCGTGGAAGCAGACAAGGTATCACAATCTGAGGGAGAAGACACTGACAGTTTTGCCCTAAGCTTGGACACCAGGATTGAAAAATTGTTGAAGAGTTCCCAAGGTCCCATGGCTGGTTTTCCAGGAATCCAGCTTGAAGACTCCGGCAATGCAGGTAAGAATAGCAGTACTACTACGACGTTACCACCCCCTGGCACTGAGGAACCAACATTCTCACAGAGTGAAGAGTCTGTCAGGACATCTGATCCCGAAACCAATACAAATTACATGAAACCGGAAGAACAGTGGGGTAGGTACAGACAGGAACAGCATCCTAGAACTGATCATCAGGTGGAGCAGCATCAGTGGGCTCCTGGACACTTGCCCCATTCCCACGTCCCTGATCCAGTCCATCATCCACGTCTGGACCACCTGAAACCAAGTGCTAACGGCAATGATGCCTTTGCACGGCCTCATTCCACCCCAACACCACCGGGTAGACAGTCTGCTTCGGCCACCCCTCCCCCAGGGAAAATGTCCCAAGGAGTTGAACTCTTGATTAGCAAGCAGTTACAGAATCTACGGAACTACGACCAGCAGACTGCAAGTAGAGATACCTCACCCATCTCAGATGTAATGAGAGACAGAAGTCAAACATCAACACCTGGCATTGAAGATTACCATATGCATAGGGTAAAGAAATATATGTTCCGTTTTCATCTTATGTAGCATTAAGGTATAGTGAGGTTTTTAAATTTTGGTTATGGTTTTTAATATTCAAACAAATGAGTAGTTACAAGAGTGGAATTAAAGACATATTTTAATAAATTCTCTCAATCAGTGATCATTTTATAACTGGATAACATCCATGTGAATAATTTAAACATTGAATACTGTCTCTTTGATATTTGATTTGAATATAACTTTGATCAGGACAAGGAGATAGTGATGCACAGTGTTCAGAAATGATACAATTGCTCAATTCAAGAAAGTTCTTCTGCTTTAAAGAAAGGTGCCTTTGTCTTTAGAAATATTCCATTTTTCACTAAAACTAGATAGTTGTATTTTTTTTCTTTACTATGCTATAATGTGCCCTCTTTCTCAGAAATGGTGTTTCATAAAGTAAACAAAGTCTTTTTGATTTGTCACTTTGAAGGGACCAATGCAGTATACACCAATGGACACAGCTGCAGATGATGATGATGATAAGATGAGTTTGTCTTCACTAAGCAGTGGAGATGACACAAAGATTGTTGTGAATGTGCCAATACCCGAGAAGAAACCTCAGGCTCCTGGAATGAACTCAATGGCGTATGCCACATCTCAGGCCTCCTGGACTACGAACTTGAACCAGCGTAGCACGAACGTTGTGAATGCGTGGGCGGCACAGATGATGCCTCCGAGTAGCGCAGGAAATGCCGCCCAGATGAACCTTCAGGGTAGTCAAAACCAGACTTCGGGTTACAGACCGAACCCGATGTTCCCACGTGGTCCGCCCCCGTCGCTTCACGGGATGCGTCCTCAGGCATCCATGGAGGCATTCCTAGAAAGCATGCAGCCTCCGTCCTCCTCAAGTAGCCTTGATGAAATTCCTACAAATGCTCAGATGATGCAGATGATGCAGACGATGGCCAGCTTGGGCATGCCTCCGCCGTCTATCGGCCCCGATGGATTGCCAGATTTCAAGCCGGAACAGCTGGCCAACCTCAACTTCCCTGGGCAGCTCAACCCCTTCAACTCTCCGGACATGCTGCCGTTCAACATGCCTCCCGGGTTCCCCAGCGCGAGCGCACCTCCCTGGATGGCTGCACCATTCATGCCTCCCATCCCAGAGTCCCTGCTACCCTCCTCTTTAGACAAACCTCACCGTGACCCGGAGAAAGAACTTGTCAATGAGGTGCTCAAGACTGTCATTCAGGAGATGAAGATAATTATGAAGAAAGACTTGAATCGCAAGATGGTCGAGTCCAAAGCCTTTAAATCCTTTGAAACTTGGTGGGATACATGTCAGATAATGGCTAAAGCAAAGGTGAGTCCAGTTTTTGTTTGGAAGTTTGTTTTATGAGGACAAAATGCTATATATATCAATGTTTATCCTGTGTAGATACTATTCCAATTTCTAACTACAAAGTTTCCTCAAGTTGTCACTGTACCTTGTAATATATTATTTATACCTCGGCTCTTTTCCGATTTATTTTGCCCCCATCTTCTTGTCTCACTTTTTATGAGAGGATGGAAGTTCTCATGAAAACACGTAATTGGATGTAAAGAAAACCATAACTGTATACAATATCATTATAATAGATCAAAGATTTTTAAAAACCTGATTTTAGCTATTTGAATTAATTTCTAGTATAACCTGATACAAGTACGTACACCCATATGAAAATTGATAATACTCCATGTAAGTGAAAACTTGGATTGAAGTGTTGAGTTTATTGTAATATTTTTCTAACTAAACAAAAAAAAGATCTTGAATTGCGCTTTAAGCGGCAAAACATGGGTCGGTCGTTTGGAAATTCTTTTTTTTTGTTCTCCCTCTTTTGGCTGGTATTTCTCAGTGTTGAATGCTTTAATCCATTTTATTCTCTAAGAAACGGTAAACAAAAACAAAAACTGTTTTTAAAAGCTGACTGTAGATTTCAAGATTTTGGGGTCGGTTGCAAAGGGCAAGACAACATCTTTGTTTTTTCTAACTTATATGATGTATACTTATAACACTTCTTCTTTTTCATCTTTTTAAAGCAAATGATGAAGCCCAAGGAGGAGGAGAAGGTACCTAAGAAACCACCCCCTGCCATACCCAGCATGCTAGAATCATCCTTCTCAGCATTTGGTATGGAAGGCTTAGGGCTAGGACTCCGAGCAAATATGCCAAGGATGCCCTCGTTCAAGGTATAGGCACAATTCTTTGCTTATAGTTGCTTCATCAAACATAGTCTGTTAAAAGCTTATTGTCTTGTAATTTATTTATTTTTTAATTTTTGGATGTGCTGAAAGCGTCTAGGATGATGATGATTTTATTTTATTTGTTCACCAATGTTGATTACCAGTTCAGATATAGATAGAGAGAGAGAGATAGAATGAGTGCAATAGTTTTTACATAGGAAAGAAGAAAGCTCTTAGAGACATTTGTATTAAGCGCTATATAAAAACTTAATATTATTATTATTGGGTGAATTAGAATATATAATTTGGCATTATTGTTTTGCAAGAATACAAATTATTTAAAGTGTAAAACGGTAATCACAAAATGAAGAGAGGAAGTGAGAAGCAAAAAATTATTAAAAAGTCTGATTATGTCAAACAATACTTAAAATAATATTTTGGAATTTTGTTTTCTAAAGAATTTTGAAGAAAAAAAACAAGCAGAATTTTAATAATATGCTTCAATATCAGCCATATTATCAGAAACATTCCCTTTTCAATATTCTACATGTAGTCATGTATGTATATTTTTTTCTCGAATTTTTGATAAATTTGCTTATTTTGACTATTGCTAACAAATTCTTATCTATACAATGTCATTGTGGTGCACCTAGGTCAAGAGGAAAGCAGCATCACCATCCCCTAACGATGAGGTTGATGATGTAGATGATGATGTCAAAGCAGTGGATAAGAAGAGACCCTTCACTCCTCCTGTCATCGATGAGGATTCTGATGATATGTCAGGTAAGACCTTTGATGACGATGCATCTTGTAATATTAGAGAAAGCATTGTAAATAAGAGAGAGAGAGAGAGTGAGAGTGAGAAAGAGAAAGAAAGAAGAGAAAAAGGAAAGAGCACGTAAAGTTGATTAAATTTGGTAAATCAATCAAATTTTACCAGCTGTATGAGAAAGTCTCCATGTATTTATTCATTATGTGCCACTGCACAATAATCAATCAATGGAAAATATACTTAAGACCAATGAATTAAAGGTAATACAAAGTTTTGGTATCGGGTCATGAATTTGGTTCAAATGAACATATTGGAAGCATATGCGATCGTACAATATTCATTGATCTTTGTCGTGGTTGAAATCGAGTCTAAAGTTATGATGTTAATAATAATAATAATAATAATGTTTCTTGACTTAAATCGACCAATTAGCTATTCCCGTTTGGAAATTAGATATCACAACTACATATTCTGAGATTTTCATGGTCGCAGCTACCATTGTACGGCCGTAGGCGCTAATTGAAATGTATCAAAATTTACCAGGAGCACCGGTAAATTTGTATATTCTATTTTTCTCAAAAGCAGAAGTGTTTTAGGGGCTAAATTTTCTAGTGCTTATAATACATCCACAGAGGCATCCAAATATATCAAAATTTGAAAGAATCACTATCCACCCAATTTTCAAAATTTTCCAAAACTTTATATTACCTTTAAGAAGATAAAGCAAACTTCTTTGTCTATCAATTATCATAGTCCTATTTGCAGCTGTGTTTTATTGTGATAAATTCAAATACTTATATTCCATTTATGTTATGCTATGAAACTCAGATTATCATCATGCATTGTATTTATGATGTTGTTTCACCATTTACGCTTTTGCTACGAATCCAGACACGGAGCAAGACGAAATCACCGAAATCTCCAGCCAGACTTCGGAACCCCAGGTCCTGGACCGGCGGGAACGGGCAAAGAGAGCCAGGGAATTCATCTACTCATCCAGTAGCGACGACGACGAAGAGGATGACGACAAAGAAGATGCAGAGCTGGAGAAAGAACTGGAGGAGGAAGATGAGGACGAGGATGAGGAGGAAGAGGATGATGACGAGGAAGAAGAGGATGAGGAAGAAGATGAAGATGAAGAGGAAGAAGATGAAGAGTTGGAGGTCATTATGAAGGAGGTGGCCAAGAAGAAGCTGGAGAAGGCTCCATCACGGAAGGACGAAGTTACGGCCGATGATTTGGACAAAGAAGAGGAGAGTCAGGACACACAGGAGTCCGAGACACCAAGCAAAGTAACTCTAGGTACGTCTCATGGTTTAAAGCCCCACTGCACTACTTATAGCTACTTGCGCCCTCTATATAGCAAACAATGCCTAATCGGTGACCGTTGGTCCTCCATGGTCCCCTTTTGCTTATGTTTATTAAGAGTTGATTTGGTGAGATAACCACCTGTCAGTGACCATGCAGGGAGGTCTAATCCCTCCCGGCCAAACTAGTGCATATACGCAAAATTCAGACGAAAGATAGTAATGGTGTAAACTTTAATCTCACATGATTTAGCACATCCTGCAGTATATTCGTGAATGAAAAGAAAATTAACCTGTTTGATAATAAACCCAGGATAAACCAGAATGAAACTCATTGAGGATTGAGTTACATGCCAGTCAAATCCAAGGGGTTAATGTGATATCATATGAAGAGATATGCTGCATATACTGTGATTACAGAGTCACCAGAGAAATATACTCAACTTCGGCAGCATTTCATTCTTATTTATTGGCCAATGTAATTTAAATTTGTCAGGTTCATGAATATAAGTGATAGACAAACTGTGATTAGAATAAATGAAAGTACCTGGTTCTGTTCTATCTTCATGTAACGACTCTTGATTATCTTCTCGTGTTGTAGACAAGCCAAGCCTCTCTGATGCATCTGATATCGAATCTGACGAGGATTGGACCGAGAGTAGCTCCAGCTCTGAGACGGAATCCTCCAGTTCCGAATCGGACTCTGAATCGTCTGATTCAGATGAAGACGACGTAGAAGGGTGAGCTAGATCAAAAAGTTTGTCTTTTCTGTGTACTTGTAACTATACTCTGGATTCTCAGCAGAGAAGTGTTAAAGCATTTAGAAGTGGGCTCTCATGGGGAATTTGACACCGTTTGGGTGTTTACCCAATCACCAGGATTAGCCTTCAGTTTTATGACCAACAGGCTTTATGTCATGCTCTGTCATTTTCCCTTATGGTAAAGTCATTATCTGACATTTGCATCATTAGCTGATTTGGGTGTTTAACTCTTACCAAGTGTGGTGAGGTACTGTAAAGAGTGACAGTCACGCAGATTGTATAGATGCATTACCAATTTTATAGTTATCCAATATTCCATGTATTTTACAGGAAATCATCTCTGCCCAAAACACTCTTTGCGTCTGTAGATTTAGTACCACTCTTAGTTGAAATCAAATATCTTATTGCATTTTACAGGAAAGCACCATCCACCAAGGAGAGCGCTGCAGAAGACAAGGAGGATCGGCTTGGTGCCTTTGAGATCCTTGTGGAGATGGCCACCAAGGCCAAGGACAAGCTTGACCAGTCGTCATCGGACACTGACAAGGGTGTCCTTGGTGATGTGGACATGGAGATGTCGGACATCCAAGCGGCCCAGTCTCTCACGGCCCTTCGCCATGCCAGCGAGACCTCGGAGGTCGGCGAGATGTCGGCCTTCATTGGAGATACTTCCGCCACCATGGACGACTCCTCAGAGAAGACCATGTCAGGATCGGAAGGAGACGTGGATGTAGGAGATTACAAGACACTTCTGACGGTGAGTTGTGCTTGTGTTGTTTGTCATGATAGGGAAAGTCCCGGAAGTAACAGAGTTGTAAGTGTATACATATTGTACTTGCCATGAATATTCATGTCTTTTGGGAGGCTTTCATGCTTTATGGTAGTATGAAAGGTGAGTCACTCAAATGTTTGCAAAGATGGATATGTGATTGATGATTTATTTGGTAGTACAATTAACTTTGCCCAAGTTGAATCTGTTGGGACCACAATAAATCATCTGGCTTATTCAAAATAAGACGTGTTTTTCGTAGTTCGGTAGAGAAAAAAATTAATTCAACTTAGGGAAACAGACATAGTGATAATTACGTTGATATAAAGTTCTATATGATGAAAGGGTTTAAGTATAGATAGGAATGTTCATACCCTCTATCCATTATCAGTGACCGTGTTTCGTCTCTTTTATCTAGTATGTGATGTATTAAAGCTGAAAAAATGGTAGGCTTTTCTCCTGGTGCCTACTAGCTTCTCATTGGTTACAAGAAATTTTTCCTGATGATAATGTTATCTGAAAACTGAAGAGGAAGGGAGTTGCCCAGAAGTATTTGATGATGATAATTGCATGTGGTATGATGCTTACCTTACACAGAAACAACTCAAGATTGTCCTGGAGCCTTTGGCCATCGTTGACCACACCTACTGCCAGAAGCCTACACCGTCCCCCGACAAGGTAGAGCCTGCTCCTGCCGCCGAAGAACTCAAGAAACAGGAGGTCCTCACCGAGAAGATCAACAACCTCATCCCGGAGGTCAAATACGTGACCCTCGACAAAGAGAAGGACAAGGAGGAGAAGCAGAGGCAGAAGGTGGAGAAGGCCGAGAAGAAGAAGGCGCGGAAGCGGAAGAACGAGCTGGCTAAGATCCTGGAGGAAGAGATCGTCATCGTCCCGGAGCCGAAGGTGAAGGAGTTCAAGCTCAGGAACTACTACGAGGAGTGGACGCTGCTCTATGAGTTCCTCAGGAGTGGTATCACTCACGAGGATGCATACTTGATCAGGAAGAGTTATGAGACCCTCCTGGAAGCTGGCAACTTCCCCTGGCTAAGCTACACCCATTGGATGGCACATCCACATATCCTTTACAATTTTACCTTGATATCATTGTACAGTTTCACAAAACTTGTCATCAGTGAAAAATGACAGTTGTTGTTATAAGCTACTGAAATCCTTGCTTCTGATTGGTTATCAACAGATTTGTTACTGATATTTGTCATTTGTCATTGAAAAAAAGCTTTGTGAAACGGGTACCAGGTTTTACAAACCTGCCCTGAAGAGTAGATTCTTAATGGGTTTCTTTGAAGTCATTGTGTCCCTTTTGCTTAAAAAAAATATCAGGAGTTGTCAAAAAATACTTAAAAGGGGAAGCCCACCCTGATATAAGTTGGTTTTGATAGAAGCAGAACAATGAGAGGAACAACAGACCTGCCAACCAGTACGATTTAGTCGTATTTAGTACGATTTTTAGAAGCAAATACGATTTTCCTCAATAAAATACGATTTTCAACAACAAAAAAAAAACGATTTTTTTTTTTTAATTTTTTTTTTATAATTAAAAAAAAAAAAAAAAATTTGTTGTTGTTGTTGGTATTTTGTGTGTGCCATTTTCAATGGCAAAATGCCCATTCTGTCCTATAAAGCATCTCACATCGGCAATTTGGGGATGTTCATTGGTTCATCGAACACACCAGTCGTGACAAAATCATGCATATATTCAACCAATGATCCATAAAAAAAATTCTTCCTGTATGTAGGAACTGTAAGAGGCATTGATCCGCGTAACAGTCCGTGTTTATTTTTAAGAATACAACTTTTGTCAGCAAAATACAACTTTTGGTATTAAAGAATACAGTTTTTGAACTCCAGAGGTTGGCAGGTCTGAAACAAGTCAGTGGAAGTTTGAGTAGAATCGGGTCGAAAATAAGAAAGTTATGAAATGTTAAAGTTATCGTCAGTGAAACACAAATTGGAAACACTGCGTCGTATCTTGCGAGGCCCTCTCCAATTGACTGGTACAAAAATTAAATGTTATTTTCTTAGTTATTGATGACAAAATAGATTTCTTCATACAGGGGACGTATAGAAAAATATTTACAATAATTGTATTTAGGGTCCATGTGTAAAATCAAATTCTCTTTAGGATCAGCAGTTTATGAAGTACCTATGAAATATTAGGCCAATTGAAGCAGTATATAAGAGGAGCAATTATTTGATTTGCATTCTGGTTGAAGCCTCCTTCACATATACCTCGATAAACCGCCTGGGCAAAATCAGCCTAGTTTCACAGAAAAATAAACTGCTATGGTTTACTTGCATCAAACCCAAACAAGCCTTGAGTGAGTGTGTGTTTGTGTAATGGGTTTTTTACAGACGTGTATCAATCAGATATGATTTTTTACGTCTGGGGACCGACCTTTAACGCCACCATCCAAAAGACGTGACTCAGTTTCGTACCTGCGTCTTCGGCTGAATCAGTTTGTAATTTCCATTGTAAGCTGGATTACAGGCGCACGCCACAACGCCCCGATCCCCGGTGTTTCATGACCCTTTCACATATCGCTCTGACCTTTCCTTAACTCCATCCATACTGACGGCATGTCCAGACCCGCCGCAACCCAAGAGGAAGAAGCTTGATGAAGAGAGCAGGGTGCACCTCTCAGGGTCATCCAGGACGGAAGGCTACTACAAGATCTCCAACAAGGAGAAGGTCAAGTACCTGACCAAGGCTCGGACCTACGTCCAGGAGAGCGTGACGGACAGCAGCGCCTTGGATGTAAGTCAAGATTTTCTTACCCCTCATGTCACAGGCATGATAATTCCCTGATTGAAATCAGTTTCCTGATTTAAAAAAAAAAATGGTGTGAACTCAAAAGACCCGAATTACACATGTTTTAGGTGGTCAATATGATTCAATATGATTCAATTCAATTCAAATGTAAACTCAAATTCAAATTCAGTTCAATTCAATTTTATTTCTGTTTCCAACAAAACATTACAAATCAATAAAAAAAAAAGTAAAAAAATCATTTACAACAATTAAGGAATACATATCGGAAACAGAGGGGTCCACTAAAAAGCAATGCTTGTACAATTGTGGACCCCTTGGGAATGACGAGTAATTAAATAAACAAATTCATTGATAATAATAATGATATTTAAGATTTATATAGCGCTGGTATACACATACAGTTTCTAAGTGCTTACAAAACAAATTAAATGAAAATAATGTTTAATCTAGATATGTAATAAGCATCAACTAGAAACGTGAAATGAACATTGTGCTTAATTTAGATAATGCAATAATGTCATTGCTTTTATTCTGCAGGAATCCACAACCAAGAAGAGAATAGAGGTGTCGAGGGATGCTCGATCTGACCAACGTCGGTTCATCGCTGTCCTCCAACAACAAGAAGAACAAGTGTCCAATCTGTTCAAGTTTAACCAGCTACAGGTAGGTGTTCTTTGCATAATTGTTCGACAACACATACTTCAGCAACAATAGGCCCTCTTCGTAATTTTAAATTCATGCATTTGCCTTTTGAAGCGGCTTGATGCTAATTATTTAATTCACTTGTTTGAAATAAATGTATGTCAATATTCAGGATTCAAATTATATACATCAGTTGTTGGTAGGAAGCTTAGACAATATGGCTTGCCCTACCTAACAACATATAATATATATGCAATTTGCATTCTGGCTATGAAATACGTGTAATTGAAGTACGTATAAATTGTAATAGGTGAATGAAATTGTTTTTATCAGGGCACTTAAAAATAATTTTGGTTTCATTATGAAGTGGCCTATTGCTTTGCAGTCCATATCCTACACCTAGAGAATTTCAGACTCCAACCCCAGGCAACACTTTACCTAAACTTAACCTTAAAACCCAACTGCAGACCAGTCCCCAACCCTTTAACTTTGATGAAATACAGCCTACAGCAATTGTCTTTGGAGCAAATGTTTGGTCAACCCGCATGACCTGTATTGAGGTAGTGTTCAGTATGTTTGGTTATTGTTGTCCTTCGCATTCTGATGAATTAAGAAAGTATTTGTTAATGAAGAAATAGAAATAGAAACCTTGAGAGAAACAAAAGTATTTTGCTCATTACTGCTTTCTGTATTTCCTCTCTAGGTTAGAATCATTAAAATTACCCATTCTATTTATTTCAGTCATGACCAAATTTATGACGCAATGGATGTGGTTGGGACATAAAAAGACTAGTTTGAATCATACATCTTCCTGACAACCTTTTTCAAATTCAATATTTGTATTTAAATCTCTTTAAAAGGACAGAAAACTAAAAGCACAGCCCACTTGCTAATCCTGTCTGTTCACCATAGTTTCTACTGAAATATGGTGAAAATCACAAATGTTTTGTTGATGATATTAGTCAAAGTAAATTACAATATTGTTTTAGATTCCAGCTGGGCCCCGTCTTACAAAGAGTTACGATTGATCCAAATCAATCGCAAGTCCTCCAATCAATCGCAAGTGTGCAGTCTCCTATCTCTTATGTTCATGGTTGCGATTGATATCAATCGCAAACAATTTGTGATTGATATCAACTCTTTGTAATACGGGGCCTAGGAGGATAATAACTGTGCACTAAAAGCATTCCATTGCATTCGAGTACAACCTAAGGAATACGTCATTATTAACCAAACAATCTTAACCTTTCACCCGGCAGTTCCGTAAGAAGGACATCAAGTTCTGCAAGAGTTCCATTCATGGCTGGGGTCTGTATGCCATGGAACCCATCGCTGCCGATGAGATGGTGATCGAGTACGTCGGCGAATCCGTCCGTCAGAGCATCGCGGACAGCAGGGAGAAAGCCTATGAGCGTATGGGCATCGGCAGCAGCTATCTCTTCAGAATCGATGCCGTCACGATCATCGATGCAACCAAGTCTGGTAACCTGGCAAGATTCATCAACCATAGCTGCAATGTAAGTATTTTTTTACACCAAGTACGTCATTAATTTCTTTTATCCCCAAAAAACTTGTCATGGTAAACCAGAGAAAAGAGCTACAGTTGTTTAGCAATAGCTACTGTATTCCTTTCTTTCTTCAGTTTCATTCATTTATTGTGAACGTTCATAAGTCTAGTTTTGGTGAGTGTATCCAGATTTGATGTTGATTCATTGCTCTTGAGTTATGTGCTTCTACAGGCAGTTGTCCATTATCAATATGCACACTTGTACTTGGTCCGAAATGTTTTGTATGCTTAAGATGATTTGTTTAATTATGTATGAGACGTAAGGACCTTAAAGCCTTCTGCACTAGTTTGGCCAGTAGGGATTGGACCTCCCTGCGTGGTCACTGACACTCTGACAGGTGGTTATCTCATCAAATCAGCTCTCAATTAACATAAGAAAAAGGGGACCATGGGGTCTAACTGGTACCGCGTAGATATTGTTTGCTTTATAGAAGGCGCAAGTAGCTACTAGTAGTGCAGTCCTGCTTTAAACTCTCTTATAAATGTATTTCTATTGTGTATTGCATTGTACTCAAAAATCTTTATAAAGGTGTTCATAACTACATGTTTCTATTTGAAGTTAATGTAAAATAAACCTTTCCATCTCTGACTCTTTCCGTCTCAGCCCAACTGCTACGCCAAGATCATCACGGTGGAATCAGAGAAGAAGATTGTCATCTATTCCAAGCAGACCATCAACGTAGGAGACGAGATCACATACGATTATAAGTTCCCTATTGAAGATGAAAAGATTTCTTGTCTTTGTGGTGCTGCCCAGTGTCGTGGAACACTCAATTAACACTGGCCCAGCAAGCACTCAACACCTACATTGCCTGTGGTTAAGATGATATTCTTTGACTGGGTGCTGCGATCCAGTGTCGTGGAACACTCAATTAGCACTGGCCCAGCAAGCACTCAACACCCATGTTGCCTGTGATTAAGATAACACTCTTTGCCTGCGTGCTGCTATCCAGTGTTGTGTGACACTCAACTCACACCAGAGTTCAGCAAGCACCAGATACCTCCAGATAACATATGATAACAAGATGATTCTTTTTTCTTTGAGATGCTGTCCAGCGTTATAAAACACTCTATTAACACCAGAACTTGGCAAACACTGGACACCTCTACATGACCCATGATTACAAGAATAGTCTTGTCTCTTTGGTGCTGCCCAGGTGTCATGGAACACTTGGCTAATACCAACCTCACAAGTATTTGATACATGTACCTCCAATTTGTATAACTGGTTAAGTGTATATTTGGTGTTTCAACTCCATCCACATTAGACACCAACACAGGAAGCATGCAATATCATCTAATTGCCCGTTTGGAGCCAGAAGGGTGTTAACTCATATCATTTTCCATTCACCATTGTGTTTCCAAACAGACGGAATGGTTTCTTATAATTAGAGTTCTGCTGGGAGATATGTCAAATGTTTTCCATTATATCTTTTGTTTCTTACAGCTGCATGTGAACGTTGTCAAATTGCACTTAACAGTATTCAAATACTTGCAGTGGCGCGGTTACTTGAAATAATGATGTTGAGCTTGCAATGTGAATCTCTAATTCACTTTCAATCGGTCAATAATCAATATTTCTGTGAAGCACATTTGCAGTGGTGCAGTTGTTACAGCATTTGGCTTTTATTGAGTGGTTACAAAATGACAGCACATCAACAAAAGAGTTTGCTTTGCATAGCAGTGTACCTGTGTTTCTAAATGAGCTCTAAATAGTTTTGAATGGAGTATAGTCATGTGAAGGCTGTAGCTGTATAGTTGAATAAGAATCGTTGATAGATCATTTGGCTTTTATAGATTTTCATTACAAAAAAGATTGTGGCATGCCGCAAATCTGTTTTGCATTAGAAGTGTACTTGCATTTGGGAATTGAGATTCAAGTAGTTTCGGATTGAATTATGTAACCATGAATATGAGTGAGAACACACCTAGGCAGATACCATGCAGGCATGGCCTCTGTAATGTGTTTCTCAGTCTCAGTTATGCAGCATGTTCCCACTGCTAAATGTATTCATAGATGTTGGGGAAAGCAGTGCTAGGTTTTATTGAGCACAAGACTAGACTAGAACTCCTATTTGAGGAAATGCATAGACCTGTGTAATGTGGAAATCAATTAATTTGAAATGTGATCGGCATTTTTTTTTTTTTACAGCATCGGGAGATGTTCTTGAATTACAAAATATTGGAGGGAACTGGTTAACGTGTCTTCTCATCGTCATGTTTGGTTGTACAACCTTTGTGAATCTGTCTTTTATTTTTGGTGTGCCAACAATGTAAGTCCATTCTTTGTAAAGCATAGAAATACACATCTAGAAATAACCTTGTGTACAAAATGAAGTTTGTGCTCGAGGCTAGTTCAAATAGATTTTACAATTAGTACAGAGTTGAATAAATGAAGTCCTGTCCACAATTCTTCCAAAATTATATTCTTATTTTGGTTGTTTATTTGTTGTCTAGTTTAAACATTTTGCAGTATATTTTGTTATGCGCAGTACGTTATATTTTCATTGTCTGAAGACTTGCTTGTAATTCAAACTGTAGTTTATAATTTGCATTTCAATTATTCACAAACTTTTCTGAAGAGTTCTCTGTTACAATACTTTGTAAGTTGTGTTATTTTTTCAGTATTAAACTAAAGTAAGTCCTTCAGTATTGTTCACTATTTGACTGAAATAGGAGGTTTCCACTTAGTGGAGTGGAGGTATTGTGATTTTTGCAAGAGTTATGACTCTGCATCATTGTTCTTGGGTAGAAATTTTTTGGTACACCCTTTAGCTTCAAAGTAGCGTTGTGATGTGCACGCTCTTAGCTTGTGACTTGTGGTCACAAAATAATCAGAGGCCTAGCTTGATGTATGCAAACTTTGACTTGAACAAAGATGTTCATGTGTGGGTATATAGTCGTTCGTCAAGTAGGCAACTTGGCGATCACTACATAACACTGAGTCAACAGGTATTACGCTCCTGTCCATGTGCTGCCCTCTATATACCAGCGCATGAGCAACTTTCTCCTGGAGTGAGTGTAGGGGATATGTTCAACATTGTCCACTTGCTAGTTGCTACACAGTCGACAGGGCTTGAAGTTTGGAAATTTGACATTGATGTCCATTTCCAATTGATGTTTATTACTTGTTTTTTAAATACAGCATTGTTGAGATAACATTGTATTCCTCTGAATGTTATTTCTTGGTTTCGTCCTGGATTGAGCTTCCGGAAAAAATTAATTACAAAATTTTCAATCAATACATTATCATGTATCTTGAATGGTATACTTGAAACTCCCAACTTGAGTTCCATCTGGACATTTTTGCATATTTTTGCAATCACATGTGACCCATAAAGACATTTTACGGGATAATGTATCTCGTGTCGTTTATATGTTGTCGGTTTACATGAAATGTGTATGCTAATGATGTGTGTGCAGCTATATGTTAAGTTGCATATATCTTGTATGTGAAAGGCATGCATCTGGTTTTTAAATTCATTCAGTATGTTGTACTTGGATTTTTTGCAGCTACAAAAAACTTTGCTGCACCAAGCGAGGTAGTTAAATGTATGTGTATTATATTTTGTTTAAGAGTTCAATTATCATTGGCATGTATATATATAGAACAATTTGATCATGTTTGAGCTGTTTTTGGAGAATAGATTAATGAGGATCAACTTCTTGCAGGGTTGTCCCTGAAAGTTATTTTCTAGTCCCAACAGGACTAATTGAAATATGAGGCGCACAAACAATAATTGCTTATTTCTACTCTATTCATGTGTACATTTTTTCTGTATTATTTTATTGATTTCATTTTGTATAAAGGTTCATGTAGGTTCTTGTTCTAATGATGCGTGATAAAAGTACAAAGTTTTGCTGATGTGTGTATGTACATGTACTCTGTTTTCAATTTGTATTGTAAATACACAGAAATATAGCTTACATTTTCCCTTTGAAATCAAACTTGAGAATGTACAGAATATAAAATGCAAAATGTTTGTATCTCATTTTGATCCTGTTTTCTTGTGGTTCCTGTTTATTACCTTACATGAAAGTGAATGAGTGGGAATGTAGTGAGTGATGGGAATGGGTAATTGCACTGTATACCAGTAGATGTATTCACAAATGCAGCTGGAAATGCACTACTTTTTTATGTGTCACTGAATGGCAAGAGTGGGTGAAAAAGGTAGCTGCAAGCGACCGTCTTTGTCCAAGGCCCAATGCATACTTGCTTTAATATCTAGTTGTAGTTGTAAGATGAAGAAATCTGACCCTCATTACGCTTATGTCAATGAGACCCCCTCCCCCCAAAAAAAAAAAAATTAAAATTTTTTTAAAAAATGCTATGGTTTAATAACGGGTCATATGTGAACATGCCTGTATAGTCCTAGAGAAGAAAAGGAAGGCCACAGCCAGCAGAGTGAGCAAGGGCTTGTGTCAGACAAGCAGAGAGAGAGATGGAGACGAACAGACAGACAAAGAGAGAGACGGACGAGTTTGTCGAGGGTGTCGAAGATGATCTTTTATAAAGTGGTGTTTTATAACATGATTTTACTAATGGCCAGTCATTAGTATTTTCTAATGACCGGTCATTAGTAAAATGACGTGTTGGGCAAAATAAATGCCTGGTAAGGTGTACGCTCGCAACCAATCATTTGATTAGGATCCATGTCATCATCTTATAACACTCCATAAATAACCACCATAGGACATACAGTGCATACACAATATACCCAGATGATACATATATGTACATTCACAACTCCTTTTATTGCCATAGAAATACATGATCGCCACAGTACTCGTTCACAAAAATAGACGACTATGTTGAACTGGTACATGTAAATAGACTACCTCTATGAGTAAAACATGTGTACAAGGTTTCTGGAAATATAGCGATTTCAGGAAAATAGATGAAGGCTATATATTTTTTTTTTTCAAACACTAAACATGAATACTTCCAATTATTGCATAGATGCACTGCCACTATTTCAGCCTCTATTTACTGTCTAATACAGTATAATATATATAAAATATTCCACGTTTATATAGCGCTTGATTCATCGACGATGTCTCTATAGAGCGCTGTACAGATAAATTATAACCCCTGTCATCGGATTAAGATTTGAACCCCTTACCTTGTTTTCTACAGTCCGGCGACTTATCTACCAGACCACAACACCTCTCTATATATATGCATAGGTAGAACTATCTAATTTCTAAGAGTAAGTTAAACTAAATGACAATTTTGTGTTAAATATTTATCTACTACTATTCAAATTCAATTGTACACCAGTATTTGGATCAGACTGAAAGAACATTGTAGAATTACACTATAACTGACCAGTACATAATGGCAGGATTACTGCATTGCCTAGTTCCAGTATACAAATGTAATGGCAAGTCACAATATATCAGGGCACAGTTACACAACACCGTCCTTCAGATAGGACGTTAAATGGAGGCCCCGTGTACAGGAGAGTCACCACCCTTGCATGTTAAGAACCCACTGCACTATTCTCATAAGAGTAGGGGGAAACCCCAGTGTAGTGGTCTACCTGCACACCCCATCGGGCAGAGTATATACAGCATCTGCAAGAAACTTCAGTATTGAAGGAGGCAGATTTTCTTGAAGAAGAAGAAGAACACTGATTATACCCAGCCACGTGGTCAGACCGACCTCTAAATGATCGCTAAGTAATAAAGTCTTTATCATTAATTTTTTTTTTTTTTTAAATTCAATCAATTGTCGACCATGTGTAATAATAATTTATTGAATACTTTTCTAGAGCTCATCTGCAAGGTGATCAAAGGTCTCCAATAATCCCTCAGCTCTGGCTAGGCTACTGACTTTGCCGCTCATAGCATTCAAGGAATTCCTTCTTTCTGATACCAATTTAACACCTGGGTTGAGAGTGGCAAATACAAATCAATGTCTTACTATAGGACACTGCATGTAGCGCCAGGCCGAGGTTTGAACCCACGACCTTTGCTTTTGCAGTAATAATGCTTAAAACCACTTGACTATAACTATCACATTGGCATGACTGGGGTAGAACAAGTTGAAATCTGGGGGGCGTTTCATCAAACATTAGTCTGTGGTTTTCACCGACTAATATCATTTTCACCGACAATTCTTTTGTCACCGACTATTTTCCAGGACTGTGATTGGTCAAATTTAGTCAGTGCTGACTAAATTGTCGGTGAACATGATAATAGTCGGTGAAAATCACCGACTAGTTGTTTCATGAAACGCCCCCCTGGTCCTACTCCTATTTTTTAAAAGACAAGCTTTGATAGAAATATTAAAGAGAAATATAAAATATTAGTTTAAGAACAACCATGCATAAAATTAGGATTATTTCAATGTTGAGTAAACATCACAAGGTCGGAGTGACAAGATAAAATTCCATTAAAATACTAGCACCGTTTACAAAGACCAAACTAACATGCATCGAGTACAATGCCTACACAATATAAATATAATTAAATCAAACTAAACATTTTTGAGAAATCAAAAATGGCAATTTTGGTTGGATCTAGTAAGTACATACATGAAGAGCAGGCAATATGCATAATGAACGAGGTATTACAGTGAACACGGAAACTTTTGAGTGCATGAAAAATATTTGAATTTGGTGAGTGGTTGAGATTTGAGTTTCATGCCGCGGAATAACTGGAGCGCAGCTGACACAACCTCCAATTTTCTAATTTGCGACAGTTTCATGTTGCGAAAGAATCTAGTTTTACATTAATCCCAAGAACACATATTTTATAAGTCTTTAGGAAACACGTGTACATCCTTGTCTTCATATACCCTATCATAGTTCATCATGAGATGCATTCTTCAGATCTTCATCAGCTTTTAGAAACCAGTCGCTATAAACCTGATCGGGGTTGACATTCCAGTGCTTGTGGAAGGAGACGGGTGTCTGATGAGCCAGGAGACCTTTGGCATAGTCCGATGGCCTTGCCTGACAAGGCAGAGTGAGCAAAGAAAAGAAAAGTACTGTCCATTAAGTTCAGTACCGGTACAATTAAATTCACTTTATTTTTAAGATGTAACACTGGGATCGATTGTGACAGAAATGGATGCACAGTTTCATATTAGTCTTGAGTTGCAACTTACATGAAGTGAATTAATGTGTATTGTCAAACCTTGGCACTCATCAAAAGTTTTTTGAACTACAACTGTAGTTTCTGGAACCACTTTACTACATTCCCCCCCCCCCATACCATTTTCAAGATTGGAAAAGAATGATATCTCTTTTGTAATTTTCTCGTTCTTTTCAATTTTTCCATCGTCTCCTTTCTCTTTCAGATTCTATTATTCACTTCACTTCCAATACCACCATCACCACTACCACTACCACTACCATTGCTACCACTACCATCACTACCCCTACCCCTTTGAGTACAACTGCTACCACTATCACTACCACCATTACCTCCACCACTACCATTGCTACCACCACAACTACCACCAACACTACAACTGCTACAACTACCACCATTTCTACAACTATCGCTACCACCACTACCACTGCTACTACCAACCCTACCATTGCTACCACTACCACTACTCACTACCATTAACATCACTACCACCACTACCCTTTCAACTGCTACCACTACTACCACTATCACAACCACCACTAGCATTGCTACTACCAACCCCTACCATTGCTCCCACTACCACTACTCACTACCATTAACATCACTACCACCACTACCCTTTCATCTGCTACTACTACCACTATCACTACCACCACTACCACTGCTACTACCACCCCTACCATTGCTATCTGTACCACTACTCACTACCATTAACATCACTACCACCACTACCCTTTCATCTGCTACTACTACCACTATCACTACCACAACTACCATTGCTACAACCATCACTACCACAACCATCCCAACCACTACCACTATCACTACTACAATGACTGTCTAACATACCTGATGAAATAAAGGTGAGTTGGCTAGAGGTATTCTATATCGCTTGGCACACATCCCAATGATCATATCATCTGGATCATCGTTCTTGCTGCATCGGCACCCATTGGAGATGATATCATCGACAGCAGGGCGGCTAAAGATCATTCTAAGACAAAGAGCACATAGGAGTATCATTAAAGGCATCGTTTAACAATGTTAAATCTGACATGCACGGCCCTATGTGTTATCAGTGTCTGTGATACGGTGGAATATTAAAGCCCTAAAAAAATTGCGCTTCAAAATGATCAAGAAGTGCCTCAAAAGAGTAAAAATCTTTGAGTGACCGGTTTTACCATACCCCGTAAATCTCTGTGTATAAGGCGCACTTTTTAGCTGCCGAAAAAAATTGAAAGTCGGGGGTGCGTCTTATACACAGGTACAGAATTTTTGTTTGTTTTGATTTATGATGCTATGCCTGGCAATGTGTCCCAGCTCAGTAATCAGTGTGTTGACTCACCACTCGGAAACTACAACAACACTCAAATTTGTCTGCCATCTTGGTTTGAAAGTAATCTTTCTAATAGATCTCAATATGTAGTTTATAGTAATAATTCCTCAATTTTTTTTTCTATAACAAATGGTGTACCACAAGGCTCTATCCTAGGTACTCTATTGTTTTTAATGGTAATGATATTACACATTTTTCTAAAAACAACATTGTTACTATTATTTGTGTAAAGTTCACAAGCACAAATCAGCGCCTTCAACTGCACCTCGATGTAAAATGAAGGTCCTTCCCTGCGTGTGTCTATGGCAACAAAAACAAAAAACAAACAAAAAAACAATTTTTTTTTCTTTTTTTTTCCCCCTCCAAAATAGGGGTGCGCCTTATACACGGAGATTTACAGTACTCATTTCCCCAATAGACTGTAGTGTTATAAAAACCATTGGAAAAATGAATTTTAAAATTTTGATTTCCAATCATGAATATTTCGATAATCAGACAGGTGATCGGCTTGTAAAAGTCATGGGGTTCCTGACTGACCAAAAGGTTTATAATTATCATTGCAGCATGAGCTAAATCCAGGATTTCGTTTCAGAATCTGAGACAAAGTTACACAATCGCTTTAATGAAAGGCAGTCCATTCATAGCACAATAGCTTGTCATGACTTGGTTAATAATTTCCATTGGCATGCATTGTCAAAAAAGATGAACTATCATCAATATATCATTTCCTTGATTCTAGCACAACTAATTTCTGGGCTACCATCAATGTTACAACTCCTTGGACAAAAAGCCTCCATAGGACAATTTATCTCCTAAGTAGATTACCAGGGCATGAAACTGTCATACATGTAATTACAAGTTTGCCTGCATGTTGATTTTAACAAGAGTTTCAATGGAATCTACTAATGACAGTTTGTGAAATGCTTCCCTGAGGATAACATTAAAGTAATTCAAGTAATTATCTATGGGTAGGCTGCAATAATTGTGTGTGTGTGTGGGGGGGGGGGGGAGCATTGTAATTGTCATGGATGAGGGAGTAGAATACATGGTGAATTATAAAATGCAGACCAAATGGAACACTAGCAAGGATAACATTTTATTTGTAACATTATTCTCTTTGTTTGGATCAATGCTTTTTCCAATATTTTGCAAAAGCTTCATTTCTATTGCTTCAAGACAGTTCCAATGCTACTAGAAGAGTTCTGGTGGGCTACTGCATAAACTCCTCAGCTGGGATATAACATGCAGGCGCAGTCGGCTGAGCAGAGCACTTAATTTCTAAAGTGGGATCTAGCAATTATTTCACCCATGTTGAGCTTTTGTAAGTTATCTTTAAAGGCTCCAAGGGTGGGGGTATTTCTAACATGGGTCGAGAGAAAGTTCCATTCGGGGAATGTCCTAGGATATAGAGAGTGTTTATAACAGTCCTTAAAAGCAGATAACTTCTTGAATAACTTCTTGAATGATACTGAATAGCACAGTGAAAAGCGTTTACTATAATTGAAACATTCACTGCGCCTGATTTGGATATATAATTATGCGTTGTTATTACTACTACATGTACTTACCCTCCTCCTCCAGTGATGTAGTCATACCCAAGACCTTTGACCTGCCCGTAACCATAGCGTTCACCAAGCATGACTGGTTTGGTGGCATCGTAACACGATAAAAGACGCTGTAATCTTGAAACGCTGTCATACGTGGAAAGTGTGGGGTTAATTGAGTGTAAAGAGAATCAACATGAATAGGAGAGTCTATACATAAAATGTAATACGCATACTGAAGGAACCAGACATCAGATTTATAATCCATCAAAAAATAAAAGTTGATTAACACATAATAAGTGTTGTGAAACAAAGAATACAAGAGTTTGCAATAGCTGAATAAAATATCTGGTCACTCTATGTATAGAAGAAATATCAATTAATTTGGATGCAATAAACAAATTCTATATCTAGGTCACTTCAGTTAGGGTTACAGATGTCAATGTTTATATTGTAGAGTTAGTTTTTTTTCTTCTTTAAATGGCCAATAATTCACAGCTTAACATAATTATAAACTGGTTTTACCTACCTCACATGTTCTCACAATATACACCAAAATTACCCCCCCCCCCCCTCCCAACAAAGAAAAGGAAAAAAAACATTACAGAGTGAGAAAAAAGAGAGGAATAGAGAGAAAGACAAACAGAGAAAGAAAGAGAGACTGTGAGAGAAAGAGAGAGAGAGACTTCATACCTAATGATAGTGTCATCATCTGTTATTGCTAGCCATGGGAACGTCCTATATTCTGGATTGTTGAGGAACTGATCAAATATTGCAAATGTTTTTCCACAGTGCCCTGTAAATAAATCATGCATTCAGATCAAACACATGTTAAAGAAGAAATACAACATCACTACAGGCTCATTTCTAAATTTATCAAAGCTATTAGGAAATTAGCAAAACTTGAAAACAGAAATTTTTCCTAAATAATGATTGTTTTATGTCCACTATGATCCTGTTACCCAAATTTTGTCCACGACTGACACAAATCATCCAAAATACATGAAAAATCAACAATTGAAGCAATAGTTAAATGCAATATGCAAAGATCTCCTTCACTTCCTAGAAACTACATGTATGATATTGTATATTCAGAGCCAGAAAGCTGTTCACTCTGTGTTAAAGTATATATGCTAATGCCCTTCTGGCTCCAGACAGGCTATATTAACTGTATGACATACCTACAATAAATACACTCCATCTAGGTGAAGTAAATGGGTACCTGGTAGGAATTTGTTCCTTGAAACGCAGCGCGCGTGACAGCTGCACCGCTATAGTTACGGTAATTATGCTGCATTATTGTAGAGTGCTTTATAGACACTTCTGATAAAGTAAGTGTTAGGCGCTATATAAGCAAATATAATTTAATAACATGTTGATGGTGACCAAGATATATTGTGCTAGCGTCTAATATTTGTTACATCAACATTCAATCATATTCAACAATTAAAGATAGTCTTGAGACTAGTATTAATATGGGAAACGTATGTCAAGAGAACATTGATATAATTCATTCTGGATTGTTTATCCTGCAGTAGATTGATTTTTTAACCAGTAAAATAAAAACAAACTCACAAAAATTTGCTGGAAATCATCTTCAATAATAACCGCAACTCTCATTTGCACATAGTGACCTGTTTATAGTGTCTGGCCTACTTGTCTTGATTTACTTATCTTTCTATGCTCATTACCCATATACATTTTATATCAAAATCATTTGGCACATGTCATTTATTTGTAATCTTTAAAATTTAGCAGAAGTTTTGTTGGCCGCTTCTGTGGGAATTTATTTTCTATCATTACCGGAATTGAAGCTGTTCTTGAAAGAGTACATTGTATTCATTTCCCTGCAGGAAAAGCGATAAATAGGATAAGAGTTTATACCAAAAAAATTCATGAATGAATAACGGTACCTCTTTCAGTGTTGGGAACACCAAGATCCACAGTAGGTATAGATATATCTGCCTTGTTACTGAAGTACACCATGTGCTCTGCAAATCTTCCCCACGTTCGCTGCACTACCGGCACTGTAAAGGAAAAAATAAAAATGCCATAGTATTTTTAACAGTGAGAATGCATTAAACATAAAACTGAAACGTTTCTTTGATATTCACATGGGTATAAATCTGATCACAAAATGTGACTTTTCATGAAATTACTGGAATATCTTTCTTCAAAGAAATAATATACTCATCAATAATAACATGAATTCCTAATTACAGAAATATTATACCGGTATCATACCTATAAAATCTATACTTATATATTAGAAATCCTATGTATATTACTGTACTAACTGTTTTATGCTCTATATTCATACAGGGTCATTGGAGGAATTGGGGAAAAATATCCTCAAACTTTCATGATGATTTATGGTAATCAAACAATGTTACTTTATTGTTTGTACAAGAAAATTTGATACAATTATAATGATTCCATCTAAATTTTAATGACATTGTGTTGAAAGGAAAAAAGGGTCTTTGTAGCTAAAACATTACAAACAAACAAAAACAAAAAAACATTCCTATGGATAAAATTGTTTTGTCTTACCTCTTTCACTATGGAATTTTTCACATGTCTTAACTGCGAAGAATACATTCTTTCCTGGCACTGGTGGGCCCTGCAAACAGTGGTACAGTTACAAAGAGTAATGCATATGACAAGACAATGAGACAATTTAAAAGATAATATTGTCATGTGTTCAGTAAGGGGCATGTTTAATAGCAAGAGGCATGTTTAATAGCAAGAGGCATTCTTAGTACCATAATTAACGGTGTATTAACCGCACTCTTTTGCCGTAAAAAAAACAACAAAGTCGTGGGTGCGTCTTATACACGGTACACAAAAAAAAAAAAAAAAAAATTAGATTTATGCCCCTCCACCTGGCGCTATGCCTGGCAATGTCTCCCAGCTCAGTAATCGGTGTGTTGACTCACCACTCGGAAACTAGAACAACACTTAAATTTGTCTGTCATCTTGGTTCGAAAGTAATCTTTCTGATAGATCCCAATATGTAGTTTATAATAATAATTCCTCCAATTTTTCTTCTACTACATGGCGTACCACAAGGTTCTATCCTAGGTCCTCTACTGTTTTTTAATTTACATTAATGATCTTACACATTTAGCTGCACCTCGCAGTTAAATGAAAGGCTTTTTTTTAGGGCGAAAAAGAGGGGTGCGGTTACTATACAAGGGCAGTTTATACACCGTTAATTACGGTAGTCAAAGGGAGATGTTCATGTGTATATAGTGAAACTGCTTTCTAACAAAAATTATTTGCAGGCTGATTTAACAAAACTGAGATACCTATTGTTCAATAGTTATTATTCATTACATCATTTTTATCAGTTATTTAAAACAATACACAACATTTTCAACTCTAATTCCACAATTCACAATCAACATTTTCTCCAGTGTATCTGACAACATATTATATTTGAACATATTTTTGTTCAATCACAAAAGACACAATGGGCCCACTGACATATTAACAGCAACAGATATTCAAACAAAAATATCTACTGAACGTAACAGAATGTTAAACATTTTGGATAATTATTAACCAGTTGAATACTAAGCTTACAATAGCGTGGGCCGGAGTCTGAGGAGAATAACTTCAACATCAAATTAAAATCATATCCTTAAACAAAAAGCATTTTTCTTACGCATTCTGGGAGTGCCTTGGGAGAAGCCGTGACACAGATGGATCCAGATTTGGTAGGATTGGCCTTGCTAGACTGTATCTTCTGCATTGCCTGTTCATCGGTCAAGGGTGAAAGGTCACTGGGGTCAATGTTACCTGCACACAGCTGAGGTAAGCCTGTCATGTGTAATCCACTTTCTTCATTCCAGATGTAATGAGCAAGCTGCAATTACAAATATTTATATAAATTATCATATTAAGAGAAGGAGAAATTTTAAAAATGCAATCATAAATTATTACGATTATGAAATACAAAGCTGCCACAGAATATTGTATTTGCTCAATGCATTTATTCCAAGGTATGAATCCTAGATCGTGACTTAAACAAATGTTGTCCGATATATTTCCCACCATTCTATTGTAATATGTTTTGAACTGCACACGAAATGCAAATACCATTCACATTACAAAGAATCCACTCCCCAGGCAGAGGCACTTCGCACTTAGCCTTAACCTAAAAATAGATCAAGAAGTTTTGGCTGAAAGCATGGAGAAGAGATGCTGATACCGATCACATTATTATATGATAATAATGTTTCTTTCAAAACTCATCTCAAAACATTTCTTTTCAAGTCTTGATCTTTTTTCCTGTTTACACGCGCCTTGAGCACTCCACAGAGTGGATTTGGCGCGATATAAGTTACATTATTATTATTATTATTATTATATTTTGGGACACAACCCTCTTCCGTACTAAATATAAAAGGGTACATGTATATATAGTTCATCAATTTCACAAAATCATCTTTATTCAATGCAAACAAGGTTCCAAACATCCGAACAGGTTCTGGAAATCAAAATATAAAATACATTTGGAATAAAAGCAAATAAGGAGTATCATCCTTGGTGCCTTACCTCATGTTTGACATCGATGCTGAAATCAATCTTGGGTTTCTCTTTATCTAACCTTGAAACCATGCTGTAAAGGTAGAAAGAAAAGAAAATAAATCCATTCCAACTCAACTAAGCCTAGTCTGTATGATATCATGTATAGGAGTCTAGGAGATGTTCTTTTGTTTATCCACTCAAGAAATGGCTATGAATGGTGTGAAACTTGGTAGGGGACTGGGTAATTGCTTCATCAAACACTAAGCTATTAATATAGTCATTGAAATTCTAAATGTACAGCCACATGAATTTAAAGCAAACTGTTGAAAATGATGTACATGTAATGGTCAACTCTTACACTATTTCAATGAACACATTGAAATTATATACAAACATCAGTCAGTAGAAAAAAGAGGTCTTTACAGACAGAGTATCTGTATATGTACAACTTCCTGTAATGCATATTTAAATGGGAAACAATGCAGGTGGTCTTTATATACAGGTGGTCCTTATATGCAGGTGGTTGCTATATGCAGGGGGGTCCTTATATACAGGTGGTTGCTATAGCAGAAGTGGCATGTAGAGAAGTATGATGACTTCAACCTTAGCATTTGATTTCGAGACTCCAAGGAGCATAATGCTATTTGTGCATGAAATTTGTTTGATGGTTTATGAAACACCTAGCTTTCACAGTAAAATGGCGCCCATGTCAATATGATTTGAGCGGCAGTGCAAGCAGTGACGCAACAATACATGCGCATCTGAAAAACATCGATGACGCAATGTTTAGTCGCAAATTAAAATGGCCGCCTTAACTGTGAAGAGGTGTATTCAATATGGTTGTCTTTTGTAATTGTCAGGGGTGATAGTGAGCACTAAAAAAAAAAAAAGTTTTTTTGTTTTCCCCTCAACCACGCCCCCTCGAGTAAAAAAAGAAAGAAGAGGATTCGCGGGGAAAAAATGGCATCTAACAACATTCCCCCATTCAATTAAGAAAATTGGGACAAAATTGGGAAAATTGTGAAAAAAATAGGGCAAAATAGGGAAGAATAGAGAAAATAAGAGGGAAATCGGGAAAATAAGGATAAAATATGGAAGAAGAAGAAGAAAAAAATTGGGAAAAAATCAGGAAAAATAAAAAAAAATCTGAAAAAACGATTTAAATCGGGTTTTTATCAGGCCTGAATTGTTTACCTTTTCATGACTGCTTCACTTAGGATCCAACCCGCATCAAAGTCAGGGAAGATGAATTCAGAGAGCGAGTCATGGAAACGGAAATGATGAATTATCGTAGCCTCCTGGTCAAATAAGCTCTTACCCAGAAACCAGTCCTGTTAACGACATTCAGAAGTTGGAAATGAAATCAACTGGTAGAAGTTTAACAAGAAGCTCCCAGATTCATCACTTTAAAAAACCAACCATTAAACCAAGCACAACTATATTAATTTCTATTTCTAAAATCTATGTTACAGATCTAAAGCATAATTGAACAGTACAAGGCCTTGACTTGAAGGGGTAATGGCGAGGCGAGTTGGCTCAGTCGGTAAAGCGTCTGCCTGTCGAACCAAAGATCCCGGGTTCGACTCCTACCCAGGTGGATGACTGAAGTCTGCGTTGTGTGTTAACGTGCCCCTTCCCTTGTTCATAGATGCAGGTTATGTCAAGTGGAAAACACTCCGTCCCTCGGATAGGACGTTAAATGGAGGCCCCGTGTACAGGAGAGTAACAACCCTTGCTCGTTAAAAACCCATTGCACGATTCGTATAAGAGTAGGGGGAAACCCCGGTGTAATGGTCCACATGCATACCCCAACCAGGCCGAGTATACGGCATCTGCAAGAATCTTCAGTATTGAAGGAGGCAGATTATCTTGAAGAAGAAGAATGCTATCACGTGAGCTTTGAGCGTATTACACTTCTAAAAAGACGTGCAATTTTCTAATAAAGAGCGAGCATGATTTATCCTTTGGTCACCATACCACGCTCTTACATATTCTGTAATTAATTTTACTTTTCACACAAATTAATTTCATGAATAAAAGGAATAAAAGATAAAGAACTTCGAGATGGTGAAGAAAATTAAATGTTCAACTGATTCATACATGATGTACATTTATCTGTTTCTGTTCAAATTTTTAACAGTATGGTGAGATGCAATATATAGATATTCAATTCTTGTTGTAAAAGAATGATGATTATCTACATTTGTACTACTTTACTTGACATTTGTAGTGATAAGCCTGGTGAGTTCAGATGATCTATTTCATTAATACATACCTCCCCTGAGCTGAATCTACTCAGCAATGCTATTAGACCTTGCACATTCACCCTTGTGTCCTCCTCACAGAAAAAGAACCATTTCTTCTGCTCAAATTCGTTATATATCCTGGAAGAAATAGTCACAATAAGAAAAATTCATATACGTTTATTACAAAATTTCATGCTTTTAGTCTTCATATTGCTGGCACACTTCCACAAGACAAAGAGTTGAGATATAAAATGTCACGATCAAGTATGAAATATGATATTCTTTTTATAGTTTAATGTCAAACAAATCCCTGATACTACATAAATTACTTGGAGTAATATTTAAATCAAACACTTGATTAGTCTGTCTACCAATATTAAAATAACTTGACGTGGCACATTAATGGTAATACAAAGTTTTGGTAAATTTTGAAAATTGGGTGGATAGTGATTCTTTACAATTTTGATATATTTTGATGCCCCTGTGTATGTATTATAAGCACTAGAAAATTTAGCCCCTAAAACACTTCTGCTTTCGAGAAAAATTGAATCTAAAAATTTACCGGTGCTCCCGGTAAATTTTGATAAATTTCAAATAGCGCCTACGGCTGTACAATGGTAGCTGCGACCATGAAAATCTCAGAATATGTAGTTGTGATATATTATTTTCAAACGGGAATAGCTAATCGGTCGATTTTAGTCAAAAAACATTGTTTTATAGCTTAATTAATATCTTGACCTTGAGAGGGAGCTATACAACATAAAGAGTTTATTATTTACAATTTCATAACTTTAGACTGGATTTCGATCGCAACAACGTTCACTTAATATTGTAGGATTGCATATGCTTCCAATATTTCCATTTGAACCAAAACCATGACCCCATACCAACACTTTGTATTACCTTTAAATACAGAGAGCATGCAACCCCAGATAAAAACCCTCATATCAAAGAGTATTTTAATTGTTGTCCCTCACATATATTATAGTTATCACTGAAGTACATGTGCCTGTGCATGACAGATGAAATCATCACATGGAGGAAGGTCATTGACCCTACCGCAAATACATGGACAATATTTGAAAGTAGGTGGCGACCTTCCTTCCTCCGACACTGCGCAGGTCAGCAAAAGCACAGATACCATAATGGGGAAGACGGTAAGACAAGGTTTGTTCCAGCTTCCACAGAGAATATACAGCAGAGTCAACTAATTCCATATTTTGCTACACTGTTGTTCCGGTTCCATGATCTCTCCCGATGACTTGATGAGATGTAGGCAAACATCATAATATGTTACTTATAATGTATTTCTACCGAAACTATAATTTCTAACAGACTTTCCAGTTCTCAACCCATTGTATGTGTATGAAAGTCGAGGTGCCTTCGCAAAAAAAAACCCTGGCTGGTGCTGCCCTCTATGGACAAATACCATAGTTGCGGTAGCGAGAATTCAATGATAACTTACTTTGGAAGAGCAGGTAATAAAGTCCAATGACCAGAGTAAGGTCCTCCATATCTCTCATGTAATAACACAACATCTGGATGATCCTGGAAAAACAAAGCAGAAAAGCATTACAAAAATAATTTATAAATACCTCTGTTCATATTGTTTGAAAAAAAGTGAGATAAAAAGGATACATATCTGTTGCCTGCCCCTATCCCTTCTTTTGTGTGAAGGGAGAAATTTAAATATAAGTTAAAACTAGTGATATGAGGAGGCTGTGAGGCATAAAATAAGGATGGTTGCATATTACTTTTGTTATCATTCATGAAATAGAACTTAGACATCATAGGTGAATGTTTTATAAAAGACCCTGACCCTGTCTGAAGTGAAAAATGAAATAGGTCAATTATGAATCAACCTAAAGCTTATAAGTTATGGATTACAATAATACCAATTAAATGCTATTTTAGTATCTGGCAGAGGAATAACGGCTCTCTGAAACTCAAAATCTAGAGCTTTGACAATCAGAAGTTGATGAAATCATCTTATGCAGAGTATGCATATTCACAATGACTTTGCATTCATTAAGCAAGGCTCATCACCTCAGCTATATAGCTGATCGGGTCGGAATGTTATGTCCTCACCGTAACTGCTGCAAATTTGACCCCTGTTGACCCAGAATTTGGAGGGGTGCGGAAAATGAGGTTTTATTTTGCTTTTGTGCAATACTGAAAGGGAAAATATGTTTTATTTTGTTGTATTTGTATTCTACATTCATTCAGCTTTCCATTGATACAAAGTTGTACTTTCATCGGGTAGGGTCTTTAATGAGGCGACATGTACTAACCAGATTGTGTAGTCTGCACTGCTGAGCAATGTCATCTTTGATGCGCCTAGCCCTCTCTACGTGGGGTGATGGAGCCTGACTTCTGATCACAAAGACTACATCTTCTAGACCTACTTCATGGGCCCCCTGAATAAATTATAGAACCAAACATATGATCACACATTTGATAAAGTATGACAGTGGGTTGTGTGTCAGGATACTTAAAGGGCAAGTCCACTCAAAAAAATATAAGTTGCTTTCAATAGAAGCAGAAAAATCAGACAAACCAATCAGAAAAAGTTTGAGCAAAATCGCATAACTAATAAGAAAGTTATGAATTCTTAATGACATGAAAAACTTTGAAAATCACAAGACAAATTTGCAACTCACACACGAGTCTGTGACATCATTGCTTCACTATCCACTAATTATTTTCTTTATATTGATAATACAAATTTCCAATTTCCCCCCTAAAAGTCTTATTTCTTCACACCAGCATCCAAGTTATATTGATAGTAATGTCTTTTTGTGTGGGTGCACATTATAAGAGTAATTTTTTTTCCAGTTACATCATAAAATATGTAAATTTTGACAACCTATTTACATAAAAATTAATTTTTATGATGAATATACAATATTCAGAAAATAGTATAAATTCTTCAAAGTTCATAAAAGATTTTGTGAAATCTCATGCACGCAATATCATACAAATGTGAATAATCATGCGTAGAGCGCTGTTCGCTCAAAAATGCTGAATATGCACAACTCGAAGGTCCCTCGGCCCTTCATTTTCGAGCAATGGCGCTTTATAGTATGAATATTTGCTTTGCCACTACCGCCCATGCATACTTTCTCTTCGCCATGTTGAATCGACTATACAACATGGATAACTCGGTTTAGGACGAGGAATCACCCCTTTTCCCATCAAAGACTTCTTCAAATTATAATTACAAGTGTGCCTTGGGATGCCCAGAGCAGTCGAAAACACTGTAAGTCAAAATTTGTAATTACTACCGTTTCACATTTTGGAAAAAATGTTGCCACAACCCGCTGTTTGATTCATGTTTCAGGATTCTTCTCTTCTTCTTTCTTCTTCTTCAAGATAATCTGCCTCCTTCACTGCTGAAGATTCTTGCAGATGTGTGAGAGTGCATGTGTGTGGCGACATAGGGATGCCCAGCAGGGAAAAAAATACACGGGGGCTTGGGGCGAATTAGCACCCTAAATGCCCAAAAGAGCCCCCGAAAGTAAAAAAAGAGCCCCCAAAATTTGCATTGAGTTCAATGAAAAACAAATTAAAGAGTGTTATTTTCATGCTAGCAAGCCTGAAAAATAGCCCCCAAATTTGTTGTATTAATTTTTTCCCTGATGCCCAGGTGTGCAGGTGAAAGGTGTATATATACAAAGTGCCAGTACAAATTTTGCCGGAATTTACTTCCTGGTCTGGAGCTCCGACGCCTTTGGATTTATCTTAAATCATAAATGTTTTTTTTAAGTATAACCAAAAAAAAAATACATTATCATATGCATGTTGACATTGCTCACCTTCAATCTTTCTGATACATCTTGGTATGGGTTGAATGCTACAGCATATGTTCCTAAAAATATATGGAAAATAACAAATTTTCTTTTTAAACAACTATTGCTGAATGTGAAGAATTAACTCATTGAAAAATGAATAGGCTAGAAAATAAATGATATAACAAATTGTTCAAGGCTGAGGACATAGATAATCAGACATTATTGCAAAGTCAATATTTATATCTGATTGATAAAAGTCTGTAAAAACCCAATTACACAAACACTAAAACTAGAACAACAGAATAAAAACAAATAGATAGATCTAGAGCCATATACTGCCTATTGCCACTCCAACAAAGCATTATAGAGTCATAGACAAAAATAACCGCCATATAGGGTCTACTGCCTATCGCCCCTCCAGCAAAGCATAGAGTCAATGCTAATGCGTATTGACCTCTAGCACTGCACTACCAGACCAAAAGCTTCAGTCTCTCTATATCGTCGGTTGTTCCACTGAGACTACGTCTGGCTCCACTAGACCTCCGATTATAGAGACTTAAGTTTGTCCTATGGGGACTGTACGGAACAAATGGTTCGGTTCGGCAGGACCGCGATGAATGAGATATATGCAACAAGATTTTCACTCTTTACATCCTCATAAATGCTGCAATATTACAATAATAAGAGTCTATTAAAAATAACAAATATATAGCTTATTTGACTCACGATAGCTTGCTCATTTAGATCCTAAATTAATGATTAATCCGAGAAAGTCTCATAGTCGACATTGATTCGTTGCCAGCCATCTTTTATTTATTCATTTTTTCTTTTCGAACGTCCAATAGCTACCATAGCTGCGTACGAGTCAGCCCGGCTTGACCCATGAAACGAGTGCTCTGATTGGCCATTGGCTATGTTTTGGTAGGTTGACCCGGAAATATATCGGCCGCCGGGTCATTGTTCGAATGCATGAACGTACTGTTTCATGGTTCTGAGATACAAATTGGATAAATCATATAAGTCCGTAAATTTCGCATTTTAGAATAGGTTATCAAATTTTGATAACTGTAATTTGAACAAAATATATACCAACCTATTTTATATCTGATTAAGATATCAGAAAATTAGATCTAAATAAAGAAAATCGGGGGAGAAAATGTCGGGAGCCCACATTACAAAAAGATGTCCGAAATTGCTATAGATTACCCCCATGGTACGAGATCTCTGGTGTACCATCTGTATATGGGGAATGTCAACAAATGTCAGTTTTATTAAAGAAATGACCCATATCAGACAGCATTTGAATACATGAATAGTCAATACACTCATAACACACAGATGCACACAATCATGCCGATGCGGCTGATCGGCAAGTTTGAAAGTGGACTCACAATTTGAATTTTAAATTATTCTTTCTAACATCAGAAAGTTGAAAAAAATGTATTTTACTGCTGCTAGTTAGGTGTCATCAATCGTCACAAATTAAAGTAACGATTTTGAGTAAAATCAGTTGAGTTTTGTACAGTGGTGTTTGAAATGTTGAGAATCAATAGCACAGCTTTTAATACACAGCCAGGATAGTAATGCACCTATGTGTGTCTATCGCCTACTCCCGAGCGCTGCGATCTGCGAAGCGGATATTGGATTCTTCCGACACTCGACCGTCTCTAGCCAGCCCCGACAGCGAGGGGGAGCATAGACGATCTTGCCCCGTTCGACCTGACCTTACCAGCCAAGAGTCGTAGCTGAAAAGAAAGTGACGGCTGCAGGCTGTTAAAAAATGAATTTCTCATTAAGACAGTTAATAAGTGGTGTCATAAAGATAAATTTAACATACCTATCATCAACATAGCAAATATTATTGTGAATCTAGGCATACTGGAACTTGATGCTGAAATAACGATAAAAGATAATTCGAGTTCACAACTTTAGGAGCCACTTCGAGAGTTCGACATCGCAAATCACGGCCATTCACTTGTATAGTCTACGGAATGCTAACTGTAAAGCGCCTTAATTGTGTCTTTGTGATTTTTGATTAAATATTTTGAATATTCTTACTTTAATCTAATTTTTAATATATTGCAGATTTATTTAATTGCTAAGGTAGCTCTTTGGCTTCTTCTTCATGCTGTAAATCATGGAGATAAAATAATTGCAAAGCCAGGATATTTTACTCTCTTCAATCCGTTAATTTGCTTTCCATACACAAGTCTTTGGTAGTTTTTCGTAACTACGAACGCCTTCAAGTTCAAGCAAGATGCAGACCCTAATTTCACAGCAAAATTAGGGGATAAACGGGGGATTAACCAGTGTTAACTGTAAACAGTTAAAATGTATGAATACTGTGGACAAGTTTGTTGACTTTAATGGTCAAGTACGGTTAGGAGAATCATGATGTCAACTTCGGCGGCAGAATCTTATCCAAAGTGGTTGTCAGATTGTAAAAGTGAACTCTCACACTCGCAGGTAAATCAATGCATTACAAATCCTATTCCCTATGTCTCCTGGAAGCGCAGAGTTAAGAACTCAATCTCTGCTGCAGTCGAGGATGCTACACAGGAAGGAGCTGCCACCAAGTCGTCCCTCGCATTCTGGCATGGCAAATCCATCAACCCAAGGAACCTCTACCCCAAGGACCCACCATCAACAATAATCAGACAGGCACTGACCATAAGAGCACAGCTTCTCACATCAACCTACCTCACCCGAACCCGTCTTACCAAGATTAAGAAAGCAACCAACACAAAGTGTCCTCTCTGCAATCTTGAGGAGGATACCGTAGTTCACGTTGTGGCTTCCTGCTCGACTACTGTCAACCTTCTGGAAGACCTTATCGACAGAGCCAGTAGACTCCTGCATAATGTCCTCGACTCTGCACCAAATACACCACTGCTCAACACCCAGGACCCTTCCCATCTGACTTGCGCTATTCTCTTGCCATATGATCCATACCTTCCCTCCACTGTCAATGATTCTATTTTAAAGATGACACTTCACTATCTTTACAAAATTCATGCCCATCGCCTGCACTCCATACCCTCCAACTAAGGATTTTATAACATATTTACAGCAGCCTACTACTTCGAATGCGTTATATTCGCTGATCTCCGAAAAGCGGAGGGACAACAACAGAGAGGGTACAGTTACAGTGCAATGTCAATGCAAATTGGCTGCTGATTGTTTTGTATAGAGCGCGACTAGATCTACGTAGGTCTAGAATATAGTGAATGAATAAAACACCTGCTTTATTATGACGTGCTTATTTTTGATGACTGTGACTTACAATTCTTTTGTAAATTGTATAGTTACTTGCATTGTCCTTTGCATTGTCCTGTGCATAACTATTTATCTTTCAGGGGATTTTTTTCTGTTTTTATGTTGTTTTATTGAGATCTTCTTCTTCTTGTCTTGATTTGATTTTGTTTGGCAATCAGTCACAGTTGACTATTTTTGCCACACACTATTTTATGAATTATTTATATAGGTCTATGTACAATTTCGTGTCATAAATGACTATTTTTAGGATTCTTTCTCTTTCTATCCCCTTTCCTTCCGCTTATTTTCTTTTTAGACCCCAGGTCTAGACCTATAGATCTAGTCTAGAATCTATATTCTTTTTTTTTCTTTTTTTTTTAGAGAAAATTCAATAAAATAATAAATTTGGAAAGAGATGGCCTAGCCTAGCAAGTTGTACGTAGTTTATGCGCACGTATGTGTGCGTTCACATACAACCTCTGTATGCACATGTGTACTTCGCACTCACCCCCACCCTTTTCAAAATGCCATCTTGCCAGTCTTTGAGGTACCTTTCGCAGACTTTTGGTTTTAACCTAGGTCACTCCGGCATAGGTGAGGGGGTCCCAGCTGGCATGTGATGTTGGAGGCGATCACCGAATTGTTAGAAAAACTAAATGGTCAAATTAGTTACAAGTATTGTGGGCTTATTGATGCAAGAAAAAGAAAAAGAGAAGATTTAAGAAGAAAAAAAATTCAATTTAATGGTTTTGATACAGCCGCTTTGTTCTTAAAACGAAGCAAACTATTGCTTTTTGTTTAATTAGTTCTGAAATTTTAAGTAGTGACATGATTTCCTGTGGATGTGATAAATCAGTTTCTACGAGTAACATAGCTCTTTCTGTGATGTACTTTGGGCATTCAAAGAGAAAGTGGTTTACAGTTTCAGTACGTCCTATGCAGTTATTGCAATGGCCTGTTGAGTGTATATTCAATCTGAAGAGATCTAAGTTCAAACCTATCACTCCTATTCTTAATCTATGGAGAATACTTTCTTCAAATCTGTTCAACTTACATTCATATGGTTGATTTACTGTAGGCAGTATCTGTCTAAGAAAACTTTCAGAATTATTCCATCTGTCTTGCCAGAGTTGTATATACTTGCTGGTAATAATACTCTTTATTTCAGAAAAGGATAATTTATTACAAATTTCAATGTTATTTTGTAAAGCAGATTTTGTAAAGCAGATCAGTTCAGTAGATCCTAGACTCTACTTCAGAAAAATTATCCAATGTCTTGGCTCTTAATACAATTCTAAATCATATTTCTTTTTACTGTTATAAACTTGTATGTTATTTCAAAACTTGGATTATTTGGATATTAGGTCTATCTAGTAAATATAGACTCTAATCTAGGTTGTGGCTAGATCTCATAAGACAAATGTTGAAATTTAATGATATATTTGTGTAGTCTACACATTTATCTGCAGTAGATCCTTTTTAAAACTATTTTTAAATCAACAGGAATGGCAGGATCTAAGAGAAGAGTTGGAATCCGCGATTGAGCAGCAGCTGACTGAGAGTCATGTCGATCAGTTTGCCAATCTATCTATTGCCGAGAGAAAGATGTTTTTAGAAAGGGCTCTGAGAGCAGTGAAAAATGGTATGTTCACTTTCATTCCTTATTGCTTCATACTTTTCGCCATTTTCTGTCTTCGTCTTGGAACAGTAATTCTCACAATTTTTTTGTCCTCTTTTCGTCTTTATCTTTCTACTGTTCATCTTTTTTTCAACCCATTTTTTTAACAATTCAGTTCTAGGTCTTTGATTTTATCTGTTTTTTCCTTCTTATTTCTATTTCTCTTCTTGTTATAGACTAAATTTGACCATTTATTTTTTAGGGGATTTTTTCTGTTTTTACTGTTGTTTGATACTGTACGTCTCCTTTGATTTCTATCATGATTTATTCATCATTTAACCATTCATTGATTCATCTCTCCATTTATGCCTTCATTCATTCATTCATTTACGTTTATATATTTATTTATTTTGTATCACTTGATACATTTATTAATCTATTTGTTTGTTTGTTTATTCATTGAATAATTCATTCAATCATTCAATATTTAAATCTTTCATTCATCCATCTGTTTATATCTTTCTTTCTATCTTTTTTTCCTCCTACCTTCCCTCCCTCATTCATTCATCTATTGATCTAACCATTCCTTCCCTTGTTTATTGATATCCAGGAGATCAGTGTGGAAAGTTCAATGACACCCTCAACCAATCCATCAACAAGCACGTCAATTCACATGTAGCACATCAGCTGCTGGATAAGAGTGGGTTTAAGCCCGTAGCAACCAAATCAGATCTGATCTTAGACCAGTCTAATGAAGCTTCTATGGCACTGCTGGCAAGATGGCCAGAGCTCAAGACCAAACTACACAGGTAGGGGGCTTTAACTGACTATTAGGCAGGATTGAAGGGGGGAGGGGGGCAGGAATATTGCAACATAATTATTATTGTTCTTATCTTCTTCCTCTTCATCTTCTTCTTCATCTTCTTCTTCTTCCTCCTCTTCATATTCTTCTTCTTCTTCTTCTTCTTCTTCTTCTTCTTCTTCTTCTTCTTCTTCTTCTTCCTCCTCTTCATATTCTTCTTCTTCTTCTTCTTCTTCTTCTTCTTCTTCTTCTTCTTCTTCTTCTTCTTCTTCTTATTCTTCTTCTTCTTTTTTCTTGTTATTATTATTGTTATTATTAATTAATTAATTTTTTTTTTCTTGTTATTATTATTATTATTGTTATATATTTGTTTTCTTTATTTCTTTCTCTTTCTTTATTTTTGTTACAGATGTTTCAACAAGGTGCTACCATCTGGTCTAAGACAGCTCACATGGAAGTTATATCTCTCAAACCCTACAGGTAAATTCATAGTATGTAAATGATCTTTGGATTCTTTATCTTATAAACAAGTCTGAAAAGATCAGGATCCTTAAGTATATATTTTTTTATTACTTTAGAAATGTGATACATTTTGTATATCCCATTATTTCATCATTAGATATAATTTCATCGTGAATATACATTTTTGTATAGTTTACATTTGATTCCAGTCTCATATAACAAAGCCCTTTTAGTTTGATTGCATTTACGTTTGTACATAGTGATTAGGAAATAGAGTGGTAGTTTTAAGAGTTTTGCCTGAGTTCATGTTCCTTCATGCTTTAAGAAATAATGATTAATTGATAATTTGATCATTAGATATTAGCTTGCACTTTCAATTTTCCATTTCAAAACTTTTCTTATTATATATTTTTCTGTCATGTTATTGATTAATTAAAAAAAAAGACATTAATGAGTCTAACTTATTTTTCTACTTTATCCCAAGAAGTCTAGATGTGTGTGATATTGTAGATTTATAACAGACTAACAGTTGAATATCTGTTTTTGATTTGTTCAGTGAGGTCTAGATACCTGACTAGACTAGAAAGGGATCCACAGAGTACCATGTCAGTCCTGGACCTGGACGTGGTCAAGAAATGTGAAGCCCTCCTGCAGTCTGAACCAACCTTTAAACTACTGGCTTTTAATACAGGTTCGTATCCAGAAGCACTCCTTGATTTACAGTATGATTCTCTTCGGGATGATCATGTTATTTAAAGGAAGAACTGAACCTCACTTGGTTTCTTTTATTGCAATTGGCTTTATAACCAACTACAGTCCTTCAGCAAGTTTGCATGATCATCTAGGTCTTATCTTAAACATGCATACCAGTGTGGATAAAATATAGTTAGGTTGATAGATAATAGATTAGAGAGGTAAAGAGATAGATATATAGTTAGAGATAGTTGGTAAGAGAGATTTCTAGGTAGGTAGATAGATAGATAGATTAAGAGAGAGAGAGAGAGAGGGGGAGGGCATATAGACTTTTAGATGAAGAAATGGAGAGATATAATTAGGGGAATATGAAGAGGTAGATAGATAAAGAGATAGCTAAGGTCAGATAGATAAAGATAAAGCTGGGGGGGGGGGGGGAGAAGGTAGGAAAAGAAGATAATCTATACATTTTACTGGAACAGGAGATCGAAGCTATTTTATTTCTAAATGATTTCAGGTATTAAACATAGTTAAAGTTATGTGAGAGTGCATGGCAGCGCTTCACTTGAAGTAAAATTAAGTGACATAACAACAAAAGTCAATCCTATTTTAATATTAAAAACACAAATTTAATATGGTACCAGCAGGGGTGATAGTGAGCACTTTTTCCTCAACCGACCTCCCCCCCCCCCCCCCCCCCCCCCTTGAGTAAAAAAAAAAAAAAAGATTTCAAAACAATGGTATCTAACAACATTCCCCGCCGTTTGAGTACAAAAAATTGGGAAAAAATAGGGAAAATAAGGGAAAAATGAGGAATATAGGCGTAAAATCATGAAGAAAATAAATAATTCAGGAAACCGATTTAAATCGGGTATCAGGCAATATCACGATTGCCAAATGCTACTACATCTTTCTCCATCCCAGACATCCTGCACGCGATGAAGGCAGTCCTGTCCTACCACCATGCGTGTAAGCAGACCAGGACTCCTCTCCTGGACACTGACTACCTCCTGGTCGTACCGTTCCTGGTCAACGCCTTGATGGTCCAGGGACAGGGTCACAGGATCCCCGGAGAGTCTGGAACCCTCACTGGACCAGGAACCGATCATCTCATCTCCAGGGAGAGTCTAGGGACGCTGGTGGAACAGTATTCTACCCTGATGGCGGCTAGGCCTGCCTACATGAAGGAGTCCTATAATCAGGTCAGTATGCTATTTGAAGGTGGAAAAACTATATTTTTGCTTCCTAAGGGAATTGTAAAAACATGAATAGCAGTGAGCATGAGGAACTTCGGTTGTTTTATGCAACTTTAGATGATATTTACAACAAATGCAGGGATGCTACGTATTGAACTATATGTTCTATCTGTCTCTCTTTCTGCCATCCCCCTCTTTCTCTCTCTCTCTCTTTCTTACTTTCTCTCTTTTTCTCTCTTGCCTTCTCTTTTCTCTTATTCTCTTTTCTCTTCCCCCCCCCTCTCTCTCTCTTGCCCTCTCTTTTCTCTTATTCTCTTTTCTCTTCCCCTCTCTCTCTCTCTCTTGCCTTCTTTTCTCTTATTATGATTATACAACAAGAGGGACAGAACTATATGTCATTTTTTGTCTCAAATTAAACGTGTTATTTTCTTCACTTTTTTCTTCCTTACACTTTCTTCTCTTCATCATCCCATTATTCAATTTTCTCCTCCTTTTCCTAGGATTTCAAGGAAGGCCTGAGGCAGTGTTTGGCCAAGGTATCTGGTACCTTGGAAGTATTAGATAGTGGATTAGCTGACCATCTTCGTAAAGCACTCAATAAAGAAGGTATATTAATCCATCCATTTTTTAATCTCATCTCTAATACACAGACTTCATTATTATCGAGGAGAGTTTTTTTTTCTTGATTGAGCAGGTACTTTTTTTTTATCTATCTCATTTTTCTGTAATTGTTATTCACAATCTCAGTTTAGGAGCTTTTTCATGATTTAAAGCCCTAGCTGTCTCCTTTCTGTTTCAGCTAGCTTTTCCAATATTCATATTGCCTAGAATATATGATTCTCAATCACTCTTAAGACGTCTCTATTTTAAGACAAAGACATTTGTTTATTAAAGTGTATCTCCCTTGTAAATTTGATGCTTTTTTTGTTGTTGTAACTCATGAAAGAAAGGTGGATTGGTTGAATAGGGGCCTTTGATGAATACTTTTAGATGTAAGCTTTAATACGTCACCTCCTCAAGAAACATAAATCAGGACAAATCAATCATTTACACACTTAAAAATTACAAAACTTGATAAGGGTATGAATAATTGTAATATTTAACTGTATATATCTCTTTTTCTGCTTCCAGCCAAGAAACTCCCTCTTTCAGAGAGCATAAAGCAGGTCACCAGACCAATGATCAGAGCCATGTTTGTTGGTAAGCTACATCTCTAAGACATTCTATGCACATTTCTTAGTTATTTGTCAATCATTTATAAGATCCAGATTAAATGTAACATCAAAGTGGGAAGTTTGAAGACCTTGAGTGTTCATAGTGATAGTATACAAATGATAAATAGGAATATTAAAGTTCATTGTAGGATCTATCGGCATTCAATTAGTTAAATTTGTTAGCATCTATAGTACGAAGCCTGACAGCTTTGTACAATAGTTGTACAAATAGCCTTAAAGAGAGTGCATATATAGTAATTCATTTCAAGATTGCTTAATTGTGTCACGTTCTCTGACATTTAAACCCCAAGTTTAGTAGGCTTACTTAATTACCACGCACACAGAGATATGGGTTTGCATGGGTTACTGAATTATTGTAGGTTATATGTTTGAAAATCTACTTTTCTATAAGCAATGAGCTGATATTTGTTGTCACTAATATTTATATTTTGTAGAAAAGCACTTTAAAATGGTGTAGGTATAAAGTCTACTTCCTACTTTACTTACTTGATCACTAAACCAACTTGCTCTTTACCTATAGTCATCTGCTGGTGATACGTGTATCTCTCGTAGGTTATCTCTCCTTGGGCCCCATTTCACAAAACTTGTCATCAGTGACAAATGAAATCCTTGCTTCTGATTAGTTATCAGGAGATTTGTTACTGATTTTTGTCATTTGTCATAGAAAAAAGACTTTGTGAAACAGGTTCCAGGACACCATTATGTACATGTATAAGCTCCTGAGTTTGACATCATACAAACCATCAGTACTAGCTGTACTCATCTTTTCATGAGCCGTAAATACTTACTATCATATACTGTACGTCTCCCATAGGTTATCTCTCCCTGGACACCATTATGTATGTATGGGACCAGCATATGATCGGATTGGATGCTCCTGAGTTTGACATTACACCAGCCATTACTGTTCTCATCTTCATCTATCTCAAGAAGCAACTCATGTCTTGCAACACGGTATGACACTTGCTGAGCTCTTAAAAACTTTCCAAGCTAGCTAGAGAGGACTTGTAATTTGTTATATTTTTGTGGACTCTGTCAATATATATCAAAATAAGGAGATACCAATGAATTACTTGTAGTTTCAACCCTCACATTATTACCAATAGCTCTTATAGACATCATTGTTATAATGAAGAGGTTCTTGGGGCCATGGAAATTACTTGAATGATGATTTCTTTAAATTGCATAGGAGTTTCTTTTTGGCAGTAAGCATATTAAACTTCAGGAATCTTGTTATATCAGGGTAAAACACAAAGGAATATATAGAGCCAGGACCAGCAAAATCACCTTCTTAAAAGAAATCATGTTATATCAGAGGTCTTTTAATATTGAGGTTCCACTGTATTCTGTCTTTGGTATATATATAGACAGTGTTAAAATACTTTTGAGTGAGTAAAAGATGATAGGGTATAGTAACTAAGCACTACATGGATATATCATTTTCAATTTCTATACATTTAGTGGTACTAATTATACACAATACCAGTTGCTCAAATGTATTTTGTTAAAGCTTAGAAAATGAATTACATTGCACAATTTAAGAAATAAGATCTTAGATTGACTAGCGGTTTGATCAACATGTTGTATGCCCCATGGCAAGCAGATAGTTTTGCCACCTTAGAACAGTCAAATGGTGACATATAATCTTGCATAATATTTGAGCAAATTATCATTGGTGTATAGATTTTTGTATACCGTATATCTACCATGCTTATAATTCTGCTCTATCATCTAGCATTTGCATTGTCTTCTTTTTTTTAAACTTTAAAAGACAAGTATCCATTCTAAAGTTGTGTTATTCCACTTACAGGTATCTGAAGTATCAGCCATATTGAAATCAGAGGCTGTCAAACTTAAGAGAGAACAATTTATGCACGGGGTAAGCACATATCTCTAATTATTTACATTAAGTGATTTGATTTGAATTATTAATTTACATATCATATTTTCAAGCATACATATTCATGCATATTGATGCAACAAATAAACACTTTGATGTATAGCAAATTATCTAACCAGTAGTACATCTGTACTTGGAGCAGAGGATCAGAGTTTAGGACTCTTTTGCTTAGTCCAGGAATATAGTGGATGCATTTTTATAAATTAAAAATATATTGTGAAAATTTAAGATATTTATCATCATTTCCGATCATTAGACTACTCTTTCGACCCATGCAGTGCCTAGAAAATGAGATGGTAAAACCTGATTCCGCTTATTTTAGAGTTTGATTTTTAAAATCAGAACTGAGATGCACTGATACATGATGTATATTATTAAAAAGTAATTGATTGAATTATCAATCATAAAAAATGTTATTCTAAAACTTTAAAATCAAGAAGTTTCAAGTGTCCCATTAGATCAAAGTTTTCCCTTTTTTGATGATAAAAAGTTCAAAGTCAATATCAAGAGGCAGTCAGGATAATGTTTGTCAATCAACTTATTTTGACCGCTAAATGAGAATAGATATATACTGATATGTAGTATTAAAAAAGTATATGGTTAAATTTTCAATTGCAAAAATGTCATTTAAAGAAATTTTGAATCAGGAATTTCAATTTCAAGTGTCCCATTAGAACATAGCTAGTTTTCCCTTTTTTTATAAGAACAGATTCAAAGACTATATCAAAAGGCAGTCATGATAATGTTTGTCAATTGGACTAGTTGATTGATTGATCTCTATGATTCATGTTTTGTTATTGTATATCTCTCACTCTCAGATCAATAAACTCTTTCACAAGGAGTTGTATAGTTTGCTGATTAAAGATTCCGGGATGCCGGTCCTAGACCCAACACAAAGTAAGTCTAACCTTTAAAAGTCTTCTTTTTTTTTTTAGATCAGATGCACAACACATGTAGGATTTCTTTTGTCTATTCTCGCCCATTTTTTCTAAGTGGGAATAGAGATTTTGTGTAGCTCCTGTGTTTGGGGAGAGGTATGGATGTAATCAGCAAGGCAAGCAATGACATTCTTATTAGCAAGATTGAGCAATTTACATTGTGTAAACCAATGATTCTTTTCTTTGTTCTTTGTAAATTCATGATTATAATAACCTGTTTATAGTATAGAAATGAATGTTCAAGAAATCAAATGACTCTTTTAAGAACTATTATTGTTTCGAAACATCTTGCATGAAGGTTTTTATCAAAATATTGATCTTTTATTATTAAATTTATTATAAATAATATAATTATTATGATGATGATTATTATTATTGTGATAAGTAGCAGTAGCAGTAGTATTATTATTATTATTATTATTATCATTGTTATTATTATTATCTTTAGAAGTAGTAGTAGTAGTAGTATTGGTATTGTTAGTAGTATTAGTAGTATCATATGTTTGGTTTTATTCCTGACAGTGCCCATGCCATGGCAAGATTGGCACAGAGATGACCTGCCTCCTGTCATCAGAGCTGAAGACAGACAGATCTCAAGACAGCGAAGAAGAGAAGAAGAACTAAGGTCAGCAAGAAATAGATTCTTTCAAAGTCATTGAAGTGTGAGACATTTTGAGACAAAACACAATATTTACATTGTATCACCAGGTACTTTTTGGTGCACCACAATACAACCGAATTGCAATTGATGCAGCACTACATTTTTGCAAACCGCGAATGTTTCTTGCAATAAAAATGGCAGTCTTCAACAGTTTGAGAAAGTTTCTGGTTTTGCATTAAAATGTAGTCTAACCTCCTTTAGCATCCATTTTTAGAAAGACCACTTATTTCATTGACTTACACAGGGTTTCCAATCAACTGAGGCAACCTGTACATATAAAGACCACCTGCCCATAAGGACTGTTTTTCTTGTCTCTTTTGAGCAGTCTTCTTTCACTGTATTATACAAGATTCTACTCTATATTTCATTGTTCCAACTTTTTGTTACGTCATTCATACAGGCCAATGACCAAACTTAAGCCTTCCAGTTTTCTGGTAAATCTTTCTGTATTTCATCACAATCATTTGCAAGAGAATAAAATATATACTGAGACTTACCATCACGCTAATTTTCATTTGGGGCAATTTGTACAAGTACTAGAAAAACACAATTAGTAAAGATTTTATGGTAAAGCTTTGCTTGATATGAATCTGGATATAGAGAGATGAATCTGAAGAAGGAACTTCATGATCAGAGACTACTTGATGAAGACCTGAGGAAGCAACAAGCTAGAGTCCGTTGGCAGCAGCAGCTGACTGACGCTGAGAAGGCCTACTCATCCAGAGAGGTCGAGCTCATCAAGCTATTGGAAGAAGTGAGTAATCGATCATTCTTCTCTCTCTCTCTCTCTCTCTCTCTCTTTCTCTTTCTCTCTCCCTCTTACTCTGTCGATCTCTCTCTCTCTCCATCTTTCTCTCCATCTCTCTCTCTCCATCTCTCTCTCTCTTACTCTCTCTCTTACTCTCTCTCTCTCTCTCTCTTACTCTCTCTCTCTCTCTTACTCTCTCTCTTACTCTCTCTCTCTCTCTCTCTCTCTTAGTCTCTCTCTCTCTCTCTCTCTTACTCTCTCTCTCCATCTCTCTCTATCTCTCTCTTTCTCCATCTCTCTCTCTCTCTCTCTCCATCTCTCTCTCTCCATCTCTCTCTCTCTCTCTGTCTCTCTCCATCTCTCTCTCTCTTTCTCCATCTCTCTCTCTCTCTCCCTCTCTCTCTCTCTCTCTTTCTACTAATCTGTCATCCAGATACCATCCATCATTATTCAGTTCTTATGATGATCAAGTATGCATTAATTCATTCATCATCAGAAAAGAAAAAATGAAATATGATCCCCTGAATTTGGACAACGCAATGTTTTTTGTTGTGGAATTGGCAGTAGCAATTATCAATTAATGGCTGTTGCATCGATTCATGTCTTCCTATTTTGTTCACCACCCTCCTCTCTTCCTTATACCCTCTCAATACTCTGAGTATATTCCCCAACTTCTCATACTTGCATTAAGAATACAACTTTTTTTGCTATTTTACCAACCCTCTACTTTAGTAAAGGAATCCAACTTGCTTGCTCATTTTTCTGAATGATGATTTTTTAAGACTGTATTATATGCTAGTGAAATAGAAGTATCATTTTTGCCACAGGCCTTTTAAAACTTTAATTGCGTTGCTTGGTTTGAAATCTATTCATATAAATGCTGAATTTGGTGTTAAACATATTCTATGGTTCATGCAAAGGTCTATACATCTAGTGAGATCTATGAATAAGGTTTGTGTTTTTTCTGTTCAAACACTTACCAATAATTTTATTGTCTTAACCTGATTTTATTGCATTATTTATCTACATTGTATTTCCTACCTTTTTTCCATCTTTTTTAGGAAAAGAAGAAGCGAGTAGAAGCCTCTAAGAGAGCTGAGAGAGAAATTGACAAACTAGCCAAGGAGATTGAGAAACTCAGAAAGGTAAATAATAGAAATAATAGAATATAATACTAAATAAAGAATGAAAATACAGTTATGACTTATACAATTCCATAACAAGTCTATTCGGGGGAAGGGGGGGGGGGTGTATTCTTGTAAAAAAATATATTATTATTATCATTCACTTTTACACTTAATATCAACATCTAGATTCTATCCTCATTTATGAATACAGTATTAACAGATTTGTAATGGAAAAGAACCAATTATTATACCAAGCATTCATTGAATTTTAGTTCATTGTGTCAGTGCCACTAATCAAAAGTGGCCTAGTGGTTATATTAGTACCCAGGGTACAACTACTGTGAGGGACGTAATGTTATCCTGACTTGATCCAACTAAAAGAATATAAAAATCTGCTTTAAATCAACCTTCCTCCATGTAAGTATAAATGAGATTGCAAAATACAAAATAACATAAGAACAAAACTAAAACACAGAAACAAAGTACTTATGTACCTACATGTATTGATGTATTGATACACTGTTCAATTTGCTTGTATTGCAGGGTCAGGGTTCAAAACCGGGACCAAGCACTGTGCCTCTATGTCCATCGAGAGTAGGCAGAGATCTACTGAAGGGTGTTATGAAAGGAGCAAATACATGTAAGTGGTAACAAAATCTTTTATTTCCAAACTGTTGCTCAGTAATAGATATTTCAATCACACCGATAATAAAATTGAAGTAGTGAAGTTGGCTTCCATCACAATGACTTTGTCGTTGAATTTATGAAAGAGGAAATACACATTTTGTGTATATTGCAATCCAATAGACCATTTTGGTGATTTTTGATTTGATTTGATTTATTGGTTTCTGCATCTTTTTTCTTTTTTCATCATACATTTTCATGAACATAATATGGTTTGATACAATATTTTAAGTGTATATAATTGTATACAGATAATAAACAAATTTAAATAAATATATTGAATGCATATTTAACATACATTAGATGCAGGAGGGCTACAGAAATAAGCAAAGTAGCTTGACGTGCCCGCAGCCCTCAACTTAGATACAACAACAATAACACATAAAAATAGAAAAGACTGACTTGCAGAGAAGAAAAGGAAAGGGGAGAGAAGGAGCGTTGGTAATAATACAATAAATCTCGTACATGTACATCTTCTGATTGAATGCAGGTTCATTCATGAATGGCTAAACGATATAGGTCATGGACGATTACACATCATTGTTGAATGTACATGTAATCAAATTGAATGCACAAATCTTTGTTAAGTGCCTCGTTACAAATGATTTCACTCACCTGTTATAAATAATTATATTTTGATAGTCAGAATGCAAATTAATTGTTGCTAGATAGTTAGGACAAACGTTATTGCTTGTCTAGCTACCCAACAACACTGAATGTATGCCATTCTGACTATTAAAATACAATTATGACTTTTTGAAATACAGGTGACTGAAGTAATATGTAACAAGTCATTTTAATAACAAAGTTTTGTGCATTAAATTTGTTTACATTACGAAATTGGCCTATTGAACATTTTTAGAAGTATTTTTGTCCATTTGAAGTATCCAAATTTGATTCCATTGCAATTTAACAGACTTAAATATCTAAGAAAAGTTGTGTAAAAATTCAAAGTGACAACGTCTTTAAATTTTTACAAATAATTGTTATTCATACAAATGTCAGACAACTTTGCTGCTTCTGTACTTTCCGTTCAGACACGTTTATAGTTCTTAAATTTGTGATTATGACATATTTTTTATATAACAGTGGCGGATGGTAGCAGCAACGATGGGAGATAGGAAACAGCCTCTAGATACAGGACACATCAGGACGAAACGTTCAAGAGCATCTACACACCTTGGCAGATCATATCGTATTCTCTGTACCTATGGAAACTCATACAAACCCTCTCCGACTTGAACTATGGAAAGTTATCTATACACCAGAGAATGGCGTGTAAATTTCTTCTGTTGGTGTACAAAATTCTTAAAGACGCTATCCGATGAAATTTATGGAAAGCTGAATGAATGTAGACTACAACTATAAAGGAATAAACAAATATTTTGCCTTTCAGTATTGCACAAAAGCAAATTAAGACCTCATTCCCCTGACACCCCTCCAAATTACGGGTCAACAGCGGGTCAAATTTGCCGCAGTTAGCCGAGGCAATGAGCCTTGCTTAATTAATGCAAAGTCATTGTGAATATGCATACTCCATATAAGATGATGGCATGTCGATGGCTAGTGTTAAGGTCGACAGCTTCCGATATTCAAAGCTTTAGATTTCTAGTTTTCAGAGAGCTTTTACTCCTCTGACAGACATAAATAGCATAAAATTGGTATTATTGTAATTTATACAACGCCTACTAAGATTCTTGCAACCTCATTGGTCAATTCTTGATCACATATGACATGGGCTAAAAGTACCATGGAACGACATCATTCTCCAGCCGTGCAATTCCGTTTGATCCTTTCGCACCATTGCACTCTGATGTTACTAATGATGTACAAAGTATATTGTGAGCTAAGTGACGTCAGAGTGCAATGGTGCGAAAGGATCAAATGAAATTGCACTCCGCGTCACATTAAACATAAAGGTTGGTACGCGCATGGTTGCTGCCTGCTTAATAGTGCCGCTCACTATCGGCAATTTCATCAATGGAAAACAAACAAAAAATCGCTGAGATTTAGGCCTAGGAAAACTGTTTTAAGCCTGTTAACGTCCGAGGTGTTGTATAAAACAAATAGTGAATGGTCTTTATTCGTGCAATGGAACAATATTTTGCATTCGGTGAAAGATGAGACGCTCTATTCAACTCGGCTGGGCCTCGTTGAATATAACGTCTCTTATCTTTCACCTCGTGCACAATCTTGGCCATTAACTATTTGTATACTATGGGTTATAAGCTTTCTGTTGATATATAGTTCATCTATTTAAGTTTTTTGACAGGGTCTTTAATCAGCACTCTCCAGGGTATAATTCTTCTTAGTGACATAGCTTTGGTTTAGGTTATACTCTACAACTTATATTTGTAAAAGATTTGTGTGTGCTAAATCTCAGTCCGTAATGCAGCTATATTTTGTATCATCACATTTGAAAATAGTTATCTGAAATTATTGTGAATAAGATAATGTTCTGAAATACAAGAATTAAGTTTTCAAATTGACAAAAAAGGAGGAATGTTGTTTCCTCTTTGTGGTGAGATTCTGATAAAAGGCATCTATCGTTGGTAGTATGCTTGTATAGTTTGAAGCATTTTAATTTCTTTTATACCCCTTATATCCTTTCATAATTCTCCCAAGACAAGGGACCAACTTAAAAAAAGCATAGAATGCTTTTCATGAAGTACATATTACCATTATTACATATTTTTTAATCATGATGTTAAACATGTCAATAGACCTTCAATATAACGTTGCATAAGCCCGTTCTTAGGTGCAAGCTACACGTGAGAAGAAAAAGGGTTATTTATACCAAATTTTAGAATTTAAGACCAAGTACTGGATACATGCTCATCAAGCTTTGTTTTAAAGTTTTGTTGTAATTTTTATTTTCATTTATGCACCAATACTGCATTCCATGGCATACTGATTAAAGTATTTTTATGCCTCCGCCACCGAAGGTGGTGCCGGAGGCATCATGTTTTCGGGTTGTCCGTCCGTACGTCCGTCCGTCCCTTTTGACCGTTATCACAATATCTCAAGAACCATTTAAGATTTAAACTTAAGACTCGGGAATAGTATCTTTCACCATAGGAAGACGATCTGATTAGATTTTGGATTACGTAGGTCAAAGGTCACAGGTCACAGAGGTCAACTTATGAAATTCCTTGTATTGAGTTTGTTAGCGCGATATCTCAAGAACCATTTGAGATTTAAACTTCAAACTTAAGGATAGTATGTATCACCATAGGAAGACGATCTGAATAGATTTTGGAGCACGTATGTCAAAGGTCAAGGGTCACAGAGGTCAACTTATGAAATTCCATACATTGAGATTGTTATCATGATATCTCAAGAACCACTGGAGATTTAAACTTCAAACTTAGTGATAGTGTGTATCACTATAGGAAAACAATCTGATTACATTTTGGGTCACGAGGTCAAAGGTCAAAGGTCACAGGGCTCATTATGTATGCAAAAACAGCTTGTGATCGCGTTATCTGAACAACCGATTGATGGATTCCTGCCAAACTTTGGTCATGTATGTATCTTGCAGAGCTGATGAACTGATTAGATTTTGGGGTCACGAGGTCAAAGGTCACAGGGCTCATTATGTATGCAAAAACAGCTTGTGATCGCGTTATCTGAAGAACCGATTGATGGATTCCTGCCAAACTTTGGTCATGTATGTATCTTGCAAATACCAATGAACTGATTAGATTTTGGGGTCACGAGGTCAAAGGTCACAGCGCACATTGTGTATGCAAAAACAGCTTGTGATCGCCTTATCTCAAGAACCGATTGATGGATTCCTGCCAAACTTAGGTCATGTATGTTACTTGCAGAGCTGATGAACTGATTAGATTTTGGGGTCATGAGGTAAAGGTCAAGGTCATGCGGCTCATTATGTATGCAAAAATAGCTTGTGATCGTATTATCATTAGAACAGATTGATGGATTCCTGCCAAACTTAGATCATTTATGTATCTTGCAGAGCCAATGAATGGTTCATAAGATCAAAGGTCATGGGCTCATTATGTATGCAAAAATAGCTTGTGGACGCATTCTCATTAGAACTGACAGATGGATTACTATTTAACTCAGGAAATCTTGCAGAGCCAATGAACTGAGTAGATTTTAGGGTCATGAGGTCAAAGATCAAAGGGTCATATATGTATATGAGAAATTGCTTGTAATCACGATATTCTGAGAACATGTTAATGGATTACAATTGAACTTGAATTTGAAAAATTTCTTCCGTTTCGGTTTGTAAAATTGCTCTATGACGGAGGCATCATTTTCGACTGCGTGCAGTCGAATTCCATAGTTCCATAGTTTTTCTTCAAATGGTGAAACAAAAAGCTATTCATCATTAAAGCACTTCCATCACTTTCATAGTGATCATTCTTGAATGCTAAAAGAGTTTGGACCTCTGTGCATACTATAGATTATTTAAACCCTATGCCTGCTATGACAATATGGTCAATACCATGTCCCTTGCAATAATGAAGAGAAAAAATTACGAGTGTACTTTTTATTAAAATCATTTCTAACAAATTTCCATATCACTCATGAATGATTCTACTCCTGTTTATAAGCCAATGTGGCTTTGTAAATCCACAAATATCATTTCATACAGCTCAATTTACTTCTTGCTGTACATTTTGGTTTATTTTGTTTTCTTGTGTTGCAAACAATGTACATAAGATACTGTTATGTATGGTTTTATCCAGTGTTTATATATTTATGAAATAAAGTGATCTAATGCATAGATTATTAAAGTATGATTTATTTATTTTGGACTACAAGTGAAATATTTATAATGTAAATAAAGGACCATCTGTACTTTTAAAATGTACAAAGTCCTGCCCCCCCCCAAAAAAAAAAAATCACCGCTATGAAATACACGATAGTAGCATTAAATAAAGGGGGGCACAGAGGACCTTCAACACTGAATGAAGACAACATAATCGTACCGTATCTCTTTGGTTTTTATGCCTCCGCCACCGAAGGTGGTGCCGGAGGCATCATGTTTTCGGGTTGTCCGTCCGTACGTCCGTACGTCCGTACGTCCGTACGTCCGTCCGTACGTCCGTACGTCCGTCCCGTTTGACCGTTATCACAATATCTCAAGAACCATTTAAGATATAAACTTAAGACTCGGGAATAGTATTTATCACCATAGGAAGACGATCTGATTAGATTTTGGAGTACGTAGGTCAAAGGTCACAGGTCACAGAGGTCAACTTATGAAATTCCTTGTATTGAGTTTGTTAGCGCGATATCTCAAGAACCATTTGAGATTTAAACTTCAAACTTAAGGATAGTATGTATCACCATAGGAAGACGATCTGATTAGATTTTGGAGCACGTATGTCAAAGGTCAAGGGTCACAAAGGTCAACTTATGAAATTCCATACATTGAGATTGTTATCATGATATCTCAAGAACCACTGGAGATTTAAACTTCAAACTTAGTGATAGTGTGTATCACTATAGGAAAAAAATCTGATTACATTTTGGAGCACGTAGGTCAAAGGTCAAGGGTCATAGAGGTCAACTTATGAAATTCCATACATTGAGATTGTTATCATGATATCTCAAGAACCACTGGAGATGTAAAAACTTCAAACTTAAGGATAGTATGTATCACCATAGGAAGACGATCTGATTAGATTTTGGAGCACGTAGGTCAAAGGTCAAGGGTCACAGAGGTCAACTTATGAAATTCCATACATTGAGATTGTTATCATAATATCTCAAGAACCACTGGAGATTTAAACTTCAAACTTAATGATAGTGTGTATCACCATAGGAAGACAATCTGATTAGATTTTGGAGCACGTAGGTCAAAGGTCAAGGGTCACAGAGGTCAACTTATGAAATTCCATACATTGAGATCGTTATCGCGATATCTCAAGAACCACTGGAGAATTTTCACTTCAAACTTAATGATAGTATGTATCACCATATCATAATATCTCAAGAACCACTGGAGATTTAAACTTCAAACTTAATGATAGTGTGTATCACCATAGGAAGACAATCTGATTAGATTTTGGAGCACGTAGGTCAAAGGTCAAGGGTCACAGAGGTCAACTTATGAAATTCCATACATTGAGATTGTTATCATGATATCTCAAGAGCCACTGGAGATTTAAACTCCAAACTTGTTTAAATTGCTCTATGGCGGAGGCATCATTTTCGACTGCGCGCAGTCAAAATTCCATCTAGTTTACAAATAAGTTACATCATCATCATCATCCTATTATCTCCAAATCAATTCCATCAGCCTCGAAATCATCCTCCTCAGTTCCATCACTCCCATCGCTATCTACCTCATAATTCTCATTTACATGATTTAATCATTCTATTCCTCATCGTCAATTAATTCCATCATCCTTATCATTCCTCCCCAACACTGCTATCATATTCATCAATACCGCCATCATGGTCCTCATAATCATTTTCGACTCAGCTGTCGTCAATATCAGCACCCTCATCTATATCTTAAAACTTAACGTGACCTCTCTTCTTTACATCATTTAAATTATCACCATCATCCTCATCAACATTTATATCACCATCCTGCTCATCGACACTTACATCCTCTTCCTCCTCATCGACACTTACATCGTCTACACTAACATCATCATCCTCATCATCCTCCTGCTCATCGACACTTACATCATCAACACTAACATCATCCTCCTCATCATCCTCCTGCTCATCGACACTTACATCCTCATCAACACATCCTACTCCTCCTCATCGACATTTGCATCATCATCTTCACTAACATCCTCATCGAAACTTACAACATCATCTACACTAACATCATCATCCTCATCATCCTCCTGCTCATCGACACTAACATCCTCTTCCTCCTCATCAACACATCCTATTCCTCCTCGACACTTACATCATCATCTACACTAACATCATCTACACTAACATCGTCCTCATCGAAACTTACAACATCATCTACACTAACATTATCCTCCTCATCGAAACTTACATTCTCCTCATCGACACTTACATCCTCCTCATCGACACTTACATCCTCCTAATCGACACTTACATCCTCCTCATGGACACTTACACTTACTCACAATTCCATCATCATCACTTTCTTTATCGTCATCTTTGAACATCTTGTATCATTGTCACAAGGAAAAAAATGGAACATAAATACATCTTGTCTTTTGTATGGCTAGACGAATAACTTACTTTATTCTACAAATCACGTGGAAAAGTATATATATAAATCATCTGTCTTTCTATATCCCAATGTGAAAGAACATTTTTAATTTCTTCTTCATTTCTTTGTTTAATTTCTTACTTTTTTGACAGATTCACAAAATGAAAATTAAAAATACAAGGGACTGACACAAGGGAGCTACTCTCCTGCTTCACTCCTTGATTGAAGACAATTCATGAAAACAGGGGGAGGATGTCTGCCCTTTGCAAAACATTATTTTCCAATGAACCAAAGTCAGTTTCTGGATGTCAATTATTCCGATGATAAAAAGGACAATGGCTACATCAAATATACATCAATCGTTTTTGTCTCAAAGAATTTATCTCAAGAGCAAAATGAAAAAATATTGACTGAATGATAGTTCCCGTCAAAACAGTTGATAATAAAATGTCCTCCTTTTTTGTATTTGTAGATTTGTCTCCAATAATAATACACATATGACACAGACACAAAATAATGATTCAGTATTTACAGTTTGTATATTCATAATTTACAATACTCGTAGTATAATAATATTAATACAGAAAGGTGTGGTTTCAATGTATTTATCATACAAAATTCACGATTAAATACAATTTGGCTTTTTTCCACTTTAAAAAAAAATCCAAATCAATAGCTCCTCACAGTTTCAGTTTAAAAAATGCCAAAATGAAAGCAAAATATATTATTCATAGATCTCTTCTCCTCTCTACAATAATGTGCTGTTTTTCTTTCGTAGACTCCATTCTTAGTGTACAATATAATACAATCACATTATTTTATAATTATGTTCTCTCTCTTCGTTAATTTACGTGTCAAAAATAGTGCATTTTCTGAGTTAGATATGTCGCCTTTAACACGATACTTGCAGGGAATAATACAAACGATCTATCGTCTCCCTACACTCCCTCCTTCCTCGATGCTCATTTTGTAAAATACGGATCACTTTGTACATCCAACATACAATCAGTGATTCTCAAAAGGACATTAATGATCAAGATACAATCTCGTACAGAGATGGAATACATATTGTTTTGTGATATTTGCCTCCTCGGCTCTTTTGTTGTTGCTCTTATAGATATTTCTCCTCTCTTCAAATTTGTTACATCCCTGATTGTTTTGAAGTCACAAGAAAAAGAAAAAAAAGGACTCCAACAACATGTGATAGTATTACCCTAGTGTGCAAATTCAACATAGTTCAGTTTACTCTTTGCATGTAAAGTGCACTTAATATTTACATCAAACAGGGGGGCGTTTCACAAAACTTGTCCTCAGTGACAAATGACAGGTTTTGTTATAAGCTACTGAAATCCTTGCTTCTGATTGGTTATCAGCAGATTTGTCACTGATTTTAGTAATTTGTCATTGAAAAAAGGCTTTGTGAAACGGGTCCCAGGTATACACAGTTGGTCACGTCGATGTCCGAACTCCACTTGATATGTTCAGTAGCAATATTTGACAAAAGTAGACCCTCGAAACTCTCGGTGAAGCTTCATTTAGACACCATCATTCAAAATACTTTGCACGCCGAGGTGAGCGTGTACAACACGATTCCATATTACTGACAAATTGGACAGTTAAGGAGTGGTGAACGTGTTCTCCCTCTGTACTACACATTCACTACTGTTTCAACCCTCACTGTACATCATCCATGGCATATAGACTCTTCGTTCATTTTACACAGACTTTTATGGTGGTTATGGCACAGAAATAGCTTAAAAAGATTGGCAACATTGAGCAAAGCAGTGACACATATGGAAGCAGAAGGCAAGTTCTTTACATTTTTTTAAAACACCCTAGGTGGAAATAGAGAAAAGGGGAAATGCACAATAGTCAGTTTGTGATAACGCTGGTAAAAAGCTTTCATTGAGCATCATCTTCTGCTCAGCCCCCTTGCGCATCGAGAAAAACCCTGCTGTAGACATTGAATATCACATATTAACACATTAAGCTTTTCATTTGCCCATAATAAGGCAGCTACTGCTTTATGACAATGGATGGCTGCAATGGTCGTCTTGTGGACAGTGAGCAGGCTAACAGTGTTGCACAAAAAGCAAACCCCTAAATCCTCTTATCTTAATTTTGTCAAGGCAAGCCTCTTTAGATGTAGATATTTTCAGACAAATCTCTTTTTTGTCAAAGACACTCCCATATAGGAAGATATGTAAGACATACAATACAATAACACCACCATATGGAAATTTGAATTGCTGCACAACGATTGAGATTCACTTGCATATACCAGAATGGTGATTTAAATCTAAATAAGCACCCACTTTATGCATGTAAAATACACCTTACTTTACATGATTCCTCTTACACAGACCAACCTTGAATATCAATACATCATCTGACCAATCTGGCATGAATTTCATCAATCTTTGATCCCATTATTAGCTCCAAGTGAAAAATACAAATAATGTTTAGAAAGGTAATACACATTTTACATTTTTGTTCTTGGACTGTGTGGATTACAAATGCACTGCTTTGATAAATAGGTAATGGCTCACTCATTTGAATTTCTTTGGGAGAATTTCTTATACTCTGCAGAAATATTGTAATATTTTAATATTTCTAAAGACCCCCTGGGATAAGGGGTAATAGTTAATGGGTTACAGCTATGAGAATACTATGTCAACCATTATAATGCAATAGCTCAAACAAATGGGCTCACGTTCTACTTAACTAAATCCAACGATTGGCTTAAACCTTTGTTTAAAGTTGAGTTTAATGAAGGTAATTAGACCGATGTCTAAGGTTTTTTTTCTTCCATAGTAAATCTTAGAACCAGGATCAGGTAAAATCAGTAGAATGCGGCCATAGAGTTGAAAAAGACATTGCAATCTCAGTTGTCAATACCGTCAATTCTCAAGACATAGCTACAAATGCCCAAACTTTATAAATAAATATGAAATCTGTTGGCGTAGTAAAACAAAAATGTAATTCTCTCTACCAAGTTTGTAATCCTTCTCTAAACATTGACTTTTACTGTAAGATTGACATCACTATAATAGCCAATTAAAACCCAAAATATAATTAATTTTAAAAGAAAACTTCACATGAAGTAACAAAACAAAATCAAGGGGGGGGGGGGATACCGGTAAATGTACAGTATGGTTAGAGAACCAATACTGGACTATTTATCATGAGCATAAATGCTGCTTTTAATTCGACAATTATCTCACACAATGCTGCATGTGGATCAAAGATTTTCAAGACTTAAACTTTACAACTTTTAAGTTCCTTCTCCCTTTTTTGTTTATTTATTTTATTCAGTACACATTATACAAATGGTTTCATAAACCAGTGACCAGAAATGATATCACTTTTTTTTTCTTCTAAATTACATCAAATGGTTGAAGTAGAGACATTTCATTGATAAAACAGCTTTGCTTGAGTTGTAATTATCACACAGTGAAGCTAATTCATATATGTCATAATGCAGTCATTGATATTTCACATACAAAAATGTAGGAGTTTTATTTCCAGATAAGCCACACAATTTTTTCAAGCAAGTTGTATGATTTCTACCTGCCTTTACAAGGCACAAGAAGCATGACTACATCTTCAAAAGAACAGAGTTGATGAAAGCAATGGAACGAAAGATAAATACTAGTTTGAAAGTAAGAAAACAGTACGGGATGGAGAATACCATAAACTGGGGTTTGCTATTGAATAGAAATTAAATGTACCAATTAAATCAACAAGATTTGATTACAAAATACTCATCTGATATTCAGACAGGAATATGAACACGCCTAGAAAAGAATATATTGCAATTTACCAAATTAAAGGGAAAGAAAGTGCCCAAACCATCTTGATATTTCAGAAGCGTCATGTTACTGATATGCATCAGAATACAAAATTCTCTTTCTTCCATCTGTTAATTTGGTGCCGATGGAACAAACTGTAAGTACAAGTGCTCCTGAACAAGGGAGTGAGGAATACATTATTCAAATGGTCATGGGCCTCCCACCTGTTGTTATCTATACCTGCTGGACACCACTTGAATAAAAGTTAGCTATGGTAATAAGAGCCTTACGGTATTGCAATGGTAAAGTGATAACTTAGAAAGAGATAACAGGAGGATGGTGCTGTAGGGTAGCATTCGATTTCTTCAGAAACTGCTTGTGAATCACTGTGAAACTCAAGACTGATGATAATATGCCTATGTTAAGATAGGAGAAGCCCTTGCAGGTGTAATAACACTAAGTTAACAGATACGACATAATAGTGTAAAAACCAGAAACTTGTGCGACTCAAGACTTTTGCGATTTTGTATATGGCAGCAATTTATAGGGAACGATACAAATTTTTATGAATCGCAAAATTCAGTGATATGTTGGTTGTGATTTGATGATCTTGCGGCATGAAACTTTTGACAAGATCATCTACATTTTGCAAGTTTCTGATTTAACGGTACACTAAAACCAGTCTTAACGAACTCACAGTATCCACATGATGGAATAGAGGCTACAGTACACTATGAAATCTGGTACTTGCAAGTAGAACAACTTTAAGGCTTCTTTTAAACCCATACCCATGAGAGCTTTAGCAGGGATGGCTTTCATTCTTTGTGCAGGAACGATTAATTTAAACATTAATTGACAGCTCGTTTAGGATTACTTCACTTACAACAGTGGAGTACCCATTTATATAAATCAGATTTCAGAGCCTAACGCACATTGATACACGAGCGCTGGAGCATAGAGAAGAGCAGAGAAATTACACACAAAGGATAACAGTATGCCACTTTCTTCAAAGCCACAGATACATCATCGATGGTTCTTGTGAAGAAGCCATCAGCAGTATTAGCTCATCCAGTGCAATATCGGAGAGGGAGAGATGAAGAGATATTGGCATGCCACTGGGAGGCTGCATGCAGTGTGGTTGTTGAGCTGTATGACTCCACACTCTGCTGGTCGTCCCGCTAGACTTGGTGCGGACAGGAGGTTGGCGGGTGAGTCTCCAGCAAGCACTTCTTGTTGACTGTTGCACCGATGCCTTACGCAATCGTCTTTGTAAGATGTAGCTTCAGAGGGATTGGTGAAAAGAGTTGCATTGGCCATGGGGCAGTAGGACTTCACACCCTGAAACTTGTCTCTTTGGATGCAGCATGTCAAGGAGGTTGTCGAGGGAGTCATCAAGCATGCACTTCTCGTTGACTGGTACCCTGATGACAGATCCATACCTTGTACCTGGTGAAGGGCAAGGACTTGAACTCTCCTCACAGCCGTCCTCAAGAGGGCCGGAGAGAGCACGGTCCTTGGTTTACAATCCATCAAGGTAACTTTCCAGGCAATCGTCCATCCCTGTCCACGGTCAAGGACCCAAGCAACGGTCAAGCGAGGATCCAATACTCGACATGAGAGTGAATGGCCAATCAAAGAGGAAGAATTGGAGGCAGGGGAGAGCATGGTCAATCGGCTGCACGGTCCTTGGTTTACAATCCATCAAGGTAACTTCCCAGGCAAACGTCCATCACTGTCCATGGTCAAGAACCCAAGCAACGGTCAAGTGAGGATCCGATACTCGACATGAGAGTGAAAGGCCAATTAAAGAGGAAGGGTTGGAGGGAGGGAGGGAGAGAGAGAGATCACTGGAGAGAAGCAATGGTGTTGTAGAGCTGCACAAGAACCACCATATGAACTGGCAGGCAAGACCGTCTATCGCCACTTGATGGGTCCACTGTCAGCCAGGATAGACTATTATAAGTCTCTAGCACATACCTGCAAATAAACAAATACAAATTGCACCCATTAGAAAAAGGAAATCAAAGTAACCATCCAGATATAACTATCTAGCTACATGAAATACATACGGGTTGTACAGAGAAATAACCAAACCAAGAGTAACAACATGGAAATCAACCAATCATCCAAACATAAATATCTACCTCTGTGTACATTAATGACAACAAAATTTTACAGTTCCAACTGATATGCTAAAAAAACAAAAAATCTTCACTCATTACATTATTCTATCAGTTCACTAACAGTATATGTTGCAAGAATTGACAATACCTTATCATAATCAGGAAAAAGAAAAAATGGCATGAGAAATGTAAAATTAATAATGGAATCATATGCTAAATAAAATTATTAGGTTTATGGGGAAAGTTGGCTTCTACCCACTAAATACTAAATCCACAATAACTCAGCATGGGTCTATGGAAATATATAATCATACCCAAATAAATCAAATCAGATTCAACTCATTCAACGAATTGAGGTAGAAAGCGTACCCAGTATTTCATGAACATTTTGTCCAGAGTTTTAAACGTGGATATTCACAATGCCAGGACCATTAATGGAGGGATTTAACACATGCAAATAGCCAACCATTCAGTGGATACAGTCTTTAGATATACAATACAAAATATAAGAGACTGACTACTTTCTTCTGGGGCCAATGAAATTCTCTGATCTTTCCAGCCTATTCTCTGTCTTTTCCCTGATTTTTCCCCTGACTGATTTTTAAAAAAAAAGGGAATTCATTTTTCAGCATCTGGGGGGTGTTTCTCAAAGATTTTAAGTTGAACTTAACTCTAAGTTGGACTTAAACATTATGGAGAGCCATTTGTAGCCTTCAAATAAAATATATTCAAAAGCAAGAATTCAAGTATTTTAGTCTTTTCATAAGTTCCACATCAAGAACATGAAATATCCTTGATGATAGAAAATATGACTGGTTTGAATCAACATTGTATGCCTTTTAAAATAACTTTTACAAAAAATTTTCATAGATGCTAATGGCTTTCCATAATTTTTAAGTCCAACTTAGAGATAAGTTCAACTTAGGATCTTTGTGAAACACCTCCAGGAGCCTGTAGGGAGGGAGACTGACCTGAGAACTTCTGGAGTCCTGTCTGAGTCAAGGGGATGGGAGTGTTTGGTCTGTAGGATGTCATCTGGTTGCTCTGAAGGGTTGTGGACGTGTAGGGCAGCCTGAAAGAAACAAAGAGACCATCGTTAGATATTCAACATTCTATCCAACATGCTGATAGATTTTAAGGGAAGGGTTAGCTTTAACCCACTGAAAAGTAAACCCGCAATAACTCAGCATGGGTCTATGGAAATTTCACATTATACCAAAATATATTGATTCATCTTTATATTTTATGTTCATTAAACAGCTTTCATGTCGATATCAATTCGCAGAGATCCCTAAAATCAATATTACGAAGTGGTTTTAGGATTACTTTAAAAACTAAAGAAAATACAGAACCTACAATGAGTTAAAAAAAAAAAAAATAGTCTCTTCAACTGATACAACATATTTGTTCTTATCAAAATTCACTGTTATGGATTTATATCTTCCTGTGCGCACTTTAATGTGAACATTTCTAACACAACTATCTGAACAATGGAAATTTTACAAACCAATATCCTTAATATTTTTATTTTCTATTTTCTATTTTTTAAAAATCATGTATCTGTACGTCGTCAGAGCAACCACATCATCAGGTTGCCAAGATAGCGGTACAGATTGTGTTTATTATCCGCAGTGGGAACGCCGGGCTGGTCATTGACATACCAACCCGGAGCAGACTGTTCAGGTCTGACCTGCGATTTAATAATTGATCTTTGAAAAGTTACTCGGGAGATGATAGGTACAACAAAATCTTGCTTTTCTTCGCAAAAAAAAAAGTGATTTGAGAATTTGGATGCTATGTTACCTTGAGGAAGACGGGACAACTGTTTTCAGCCTCGGGGCAGGCAGACCAGAACCACTTGGGCAGCGGGCCGGTCTTGGCAGTGGAGATGAAGTAGCCCAGGGCTAGGGGCTGCTGTAAGATGCCTCTGAGGACGTCTTCGGGTTCAGCCGGTATCCCTGGCTCTTGGTTAGGTTGCTAAAAGAACAAAGAAGAATCATTCACAATAAGTAAGTTGATCGTAACTATTTAAAAAAGGGTTTCTTCAATGTAATTGAAATGATTTTTGCCCTTGATGGAGACATTTAGGACAGAAAAAAATAAGGTATCAGACCTATCATTGTAATGGCCTGAATTCACAAAGGAGGTTTAAGTTTAACCCATGGTTTAAATCTTCATTTACATAAATAACCCATGGTCTAAAATTAGGGCAAAATAAGCGAGACACAGTCAGAGGTCCTATATTAGACGCGCCCAAAGCAGGGTACACTTAATTTGTGCTAATTTTAAACCATAGCTGAAGTAAATGCGGATTTAAACCATGGGTTAAATTTAAACGTCCTTTGTGAATTCGGGCCAAGAGGTCTGATCCCCTTACTTTATAAGCAATGCTACATGGAAGGAAAGAAGAAAATTAAACAATCACATAGATGTATGTTTCTATTATGAGATGTACAAAGCATAAAAAGTATAGATTTGAACGAGAACTGGTCTCAAACCATCAGACTAAAGATTTTGAGCTGACCTCAACACAAACCATGTCAACTTTGTAATTAATACAGGTCTGATACAGTTATGCAAATAGCCATTATTTGTCATATTCTAATACCCAAATAATTGTATATCTATAAAATATATGTGTGCATGTCAACATGTCTGCCTAGTAGAGAGTTGTCATATGTGTTACAAAGGCATGTATGTAAAAAAGCAGACTATTATTTTGGTCAACATACAAGATACTAGTCCAGGGACTCGTTTCAGTCTTTTTTTCAATGACAAATGATATAAATCAGTCACAAATCTTCTGATTGGTTATCAGCAAGGATTTTGCTAGCTTAGAACAAAACTTTCATTTGCCACTTATGACAAGTTTTGTGATATGGGGTCCAGAACCCGGAAAGTATTTTTAGAATTTAACGAAGCAGACCAGAGCAGACCAGGATCTAGGGTTGCTAGTTAAAGCAATAGATCCTTACCTGTCTTGTGGTTGGGTTCCCAGGCCCCTGGGCAGCCGGTGCTGGTCCTCCATCGGTGGGAATGGGTTCCTGGTCCAGGTCTGAAAGCTGAATGTTACTAGGATCTGGCATCATGTTGGATGTATTCATGAAGATGTTGAGTAGCAGGTCGTCAACCAAGAACGGGTCTTCGTCGTCAAGTCGTAGTTCTGAATTGAAGGTCAAGTCAGCCTGTATGGAATATGAAACAGTAATAATAATTATAATAATAATAATTAGATCAATTTATATAGCCAAGCTGCTATAAAAATAACTTCTACTGCACTGCGATGAAAACAAAACTCCTAACAGTGCTACTTTACAGAAATGCAATAAAAAAAAAAACACTCTTCAAAAGCTCTGAAAACAAGTGCGTCTTCAACATAACTTCACAGACAGCACCAGATGAGGCTTTACTTATATCTAGTGATAGGTTACTCCAAAGCTTTGGAGCGGCTCAACTGAAAGTGCAATCTCCAAATGTTACTTTTGATTTTGTCTGAGGTACATGTAGCTTTAGTAATACTTTGTACTAAGTAATGTGGATATGGATGTGATTTTAATAACAGAATAATTCAGCCAAATAATTAATCATCCAATTATTCCTTTAGCTACTACTCCAATGATCCAGTATCCAATATTTTGGTTTGTTGCTAAAAAACATATAGTTTAAAATGTGACACATAATTGAAGGTTCACCACTACCCAGGGGTATAGTAGACACCCACGTTCCTTAAAGACTGTCAATACTACTGGGCCAGAAGGGATTAGACCACTAAGCGAGGTCACTGACAGGTGGCTATCTCATTAACTCAGCTCTTAACTAACATAAGAAAAAGAGGATCATGGGGGACAAACAGGCACCGATTGGGGAAGTTTTCTATATAGAGGGAGCAAGTAGCTACAAGTAGGACAGTGGGGCTTAAAGTTTTGCCCTGGCCCTCCAAAATGTTACAATATATACCAGACCATAGATATAATACTCTGATCTAACAACGTAAAAAGTTATATATGGATCCCTGCTTAAAAATAAAGTTGAGTTCTGGTCATGCGATTGCATTGTGAAAGAAACGGTGTGGAATCGATCAGAAAAGGTTGATCATCTAGCATGTAAGTATTGGTGTGTACTGCAAGGTTTGGAGTCATCAAAATGATAAGAAAATTGGCCCAGTCTTTTTAAAGTAACGAGCACTGTACACAGAGAGATCTATATGGGACTACACAAACATGTGGCATACAAATCGGGTCTCATTTTTTAAGGTAACACTTGTCATATTTAGAGTATGAAGGCATTTGAAGAGCCATGATTTTCAGGGAACATTTTTTCTCTCTGATGTTCTTCCAAACTTGCATAAAAACAATGATAACTCTCACAACTTATATTTCACATCAGCCCAGAACTCAACCTTCTCTCTTACTGTGTACACCTCATCATATTACTGACATGTTTACCGATGCCATGGTCGAAGAAATTTATCATGAACCCATAACCTCATGAGTACTATGTGTAAACTACTATTCGTTTAATACTGGACAACACTGGACAACACTCCTCTAATCAGACAGCACCTAATGCCCGACTGCAGTAACAGCTCTTATCGCTAAATATGGCGCTGATTGGTTGTTATGATCCTAATCCTTTGATCAGTCATCACTAAGATAATATGACAAGGTCTTATCCATTGCTACTATCTAAGGAATACACTACTGAGTGGCATCAGCTACCACTTTCATGTTATCAAGTGTGCCTGAGATAAGACTCTCAATTCTTTCATCCCCAATTACACGATATAAACGCAGATGACCTTGTACTGATTCTAATGAGCAGGACATGATGGGACTCACTTGGAATGATTACCAAATGGGTTCCATCCATATACAAATTTATTTTCTGTATTTTTTCTATTCAGAATATTGAAGGTCCAAGCTTATTATAAATACCTAGTAAATGACTTCAAAAACATTTGTGATATTGAATTATTATTATTTTTTTTCTTCTTTTCATCATTTCCGCAATCCTTATCAATATATCATTTCCAATTCAAGATTAATTTAAGTCTTCTCTTTACAATTAGTATCATTATTAATATTATCATGATATTCATCATATTGAAAATCATCACTGTCACATCACTGGATCACTGTTATCATCATCATCACTACCACTACCATGGCCACCCACCATCATCCTCCTCATCATTATCATTATTCATAAAAAAAGTGTTTGAAAGATTGTTACCTGATCCTGTGGCATGTTTGTTGCAGCAGCTTGTTTAGTAGCACTGGTAGGGAAGACCATGATATGAGTACAGCTCGCATCGTCTGGTGTATGCAGCTGACAGCTAGGCTGGTCTCTCTGACTGTTCTTACTGCACTTGTCCGCTGCTACCATATCTGTACAGGGAGGGAAAAAGAGTTGTTACAATTATTTGTCATTGTAGTAGGGATGCCAAATGTTCGTATTTACAAATATGTAAAGTTAATAACTAATTTATTCAAACCCTTAACAAGTTTTGTAATTTTGTTCAAGTATGTGAAAAAATTATTTGTTCTGATATATTTTTATTGAGAATGTGACTGATTGAAAGCTTATATCTACAAGTATTCAACAAAGGCCCAAATTCAACCAGTCGACCTTTTATTATTGAGTAACGAAATGATTGAATTGTGATATACGAACCTGCCATGATGCTAAGACCAGGTTCTGGTTCCGTGGAGACAAGGCAAGCACTGAGAATACATGGGAAGTCCAATGTCCCTGGCACGCTACACATAGAACACTGCTCTCTCAGCTTACGACTGTAGTGGGCAAGGTTCTTGCGGCTTAGTAACATACTCCAATCTAAGGGGGAGGAAGGAATGATTACATTTAGATTAGGTGTGAAGTAAACAAATGTATGGAAGCTATACTTCTAAGGATACAGGTAACATGGACACACAGATATATCACGTCATTCATGCTTACATAGAGAAACTCTGTTTATTATGCGCTATATAAATATTGTATTATTATTATTATTATCACATTAAATAAATATTGATTGCTTTGTACAGGTATTATAAAAGGACAAATTGTAGCCTGTTTAATCAGGACCCCAATTACTGGTATTTCTTTTCTTTTCCTCCTACATAAGTGAATTCTTAAAAAAAGGAAAATTTATTAAAACAAAATTTAAAAAATTAGAGCATTCAAGCGCAATCTCTCCATACAATCGCAAGCATTTCCAATGACTGATTGAGCATAATAGTCAAAGCATATTACTATTGAAAGGTATATGCATTGCAGTACTTACTCTCAGATGTACGAGGTATAAAATAAGTATAGAAATTATTCTACTTATGATTTTGTGGAAAACTTGACAACAATGAGTTCTTCTCATGATACATTGTAAATATTGAGTGTTTTCAAAGTGGGAAATAAAAAAGAGTATATATATATCCATATCTTCAAGGAAAGGTTAAAGGTTATACTGACCTTTGAGTTCTCCCTGTCCCAGACGACCCAGTCTACCAATGACTAGCCTCCAGGGGATAGAAGCCTTGGATATCACACCCATCAAGAAATCCCAGAGACAGTAGAGGGCGATATTACGGACGGACACCTTCTTCCGCCTCTTACTGCAGAAAGAGAAATGGAACAAAGATCGTTAGCATTCTTCTTCTTCTTTTTCCGATTGGGGCATACATGCATGATATTCGGGAAGCACAGGTATGGATTGTGAGGGAGTAAAAAAAACACAAGAGAGTTCACATCCCCAACAAATCAAATGTCGTTTTCGCCATATCAAGTATTTCTTTAACTAAAAGGATAGAGAAACTGATTTGTATCTGTTACAGACATGGAGAAAGATGTCTTACAATCAGTGCACATGTAATTGTAATTGCATTGTTACAACAACAAAAAGACGGGAAGAGAGATCATAATGGCCAATGTTCTATGAGTAATTCAGACATACGTGAATGCCATGTCTCTAAACAAAGGTACTGGGAATCAAAGTCCCCATTCCTGAGTTAGAACAAGCGCAATGTTTACCTGTTCTGGACATCGACATTGATGATCTGTGTTTCCATGAGTTCTCCCTTGGAGTCTGTGCAGGAGACCAGGAGCCACCTCTGATCGTGAGACAGGCAGTAGCTGCAGAAGAGCTCTCCACAAGCCTGCCGAAGACCACCAAATGACTCCCCCAGCTCCGTCTGCTTGTCCTTGATGGGGGCTAGGATGAACGGAGGGGCGTACAGTCTGTCCTCGTTGTGCTCGGCCTGAGAGAATAATGAAACAGTAACATAAGTTTAAAGCCCCACTGCACTACTTTTAGCTACATGCGCCCTCTATATAGAAAACAATGCCTAAGCAGTGCCAGTTGGTCCCCATGATCCTCTTTTTCTTATGTTAATTGAGAGCTGATTTGATGAGATAACCCACCTGTCAGTGACCTTGCTGGGTGGTCTAATCCCCCCTGGCCAAACTAGTACAGACAGGCTTTAAATGTTTTCTTGGAGTATATGATTAAACGTTCTCTTGACAGCCATAAAAATGTGTTTGAATATTCTGTTGGGAGCTTGGAGGACATTGACTCTGTGTTCAAGGATATAATTCAAGACCATTCTGGCACTCTGCAGAAGGTATCAAGCAGATATAATCAAAAAAACAAATCTTAATGTACTCAAAGACATTACAAAAAAGGAAACAAGAAAAGGATTAAAGGGATCCGGTAACTTTGTCCCAGATTCTGAAACAAAATCCTGGATTAAGCTCATGCTGCAATGCTTATTATAAACCTTTAGGTCAGTCAGGAACCCCATGACAAGCCTGTGTGATTATCAAAATATTTATGATTTGAAATCGAAACCAAATTTTGCGTTTGCCTAACGTTTTTCATAACACTACAGTCTATTAGGGAAAACAAGTATGATAAAACCGGGCACTCAAAGATTTTTACTTTTTTGAGGCACTTCTTGATCATTTTGATACACGATTTTTGTAGGGCTTCAATATTACACCATATCACAGACACTGAAACACGTAGAGCATTGCATCTCAGATTTAACATTGTTAAACGATCCCTTTAAGCAAGAGATGGATGTGGTTCCAGAGAGCAAAAAATCCACCTGACCTAGAAATGTCTCAGGAATGCATCACATTCCGTATAATATGAAGAGGGAGAGGCCCGTCCATGTTTTGCACATTCTCATGACTTCACACTCTCCACTGAAGGGAGATGATTTTAGAAAGAAGAAAAAGAGCATGCTTCTGATAATATATAAATGGAACAGATGGAAAAACCTAATCTCACAATTTGACACTTTGCATTTCAGAGAGAGTGATAACTAATTTAAATTATCCACTTTGAACAGAATATTTTCCTTCTAACATCACAATATGGGAATTGCATCTCACGTTTTTGGTGATGATCGTCCTATCGAGGTCTGCAGCGGGTCCGAACCCCGTCAGACTTCGGCCGGGGATGGTGGGGCTCTGGAAACGCCTGCACTGGGAGAAGACGGAGAAGGCCACCGATTTGAGCTGGTTCAAGAACCGAGACGACACCTCACTGTTGGCTACCTGCAGTACCTGGTGTAACGGAATTATCTGCAATGGGACAGGGGGGGGGGGGAATAAGATTGCATGGTTGTGAATATGAAGTTAATAAATAGAAAGCAATGCAACAAAATCGATTGTAGGCTTAACATTGCTATCAATGAATAGAAATCACTACAACAGGAGACACAATATAACCCCCCTGAGAAACAAGTAGTATCGATGAACAGAAGGCAAAGTAAAAGGAGATAAATAATAACCGATTGTATGTTTATGAAAATTACTGCAAACTGAAATCAATGTAATTACAAAGGAGGCATGGATACTTAGAATTGAGAAGAAAAGATTCAGTCATGAATAAACAGTACACAATTTTAAGGATAAAGATTAGTTATACATGGATATCTGTGGGTTAGCAGGTAATCAATGTTCGAAATTGTATTATAATTCTCTAATGCATCACATACAAATTTATACACATTTAGTATGTGACAGACAATTTCTTAGAACCTGGTATTGTTTACCTAATTATTATTAACAAAAGAGGAGTACAAACTCTTTTCTGACTTACTTGGAATGCGATGTTCCTCTGGAGGGACACTTGCAGCTTGTCGAAGATCTCTGCAAAGCAGTGCATGAGGCCCAGGGTGGCTACCGACACCTCCCCTTCCTCCTCCGCGTCCTCCCCCCTCCTGAAGGGGTCCACAATGTACACCACCACTGCCGGGGGTTGCTCGCTGTCACGAGGGGTCACCGTCTCCAGGGCGGTCACCTTGGGGAGGTTCTCCTTATTCTCGGAGGAGGAGGCGGAGCTGCCGTCCTTGGAGTCTTGCCGATTGGCTGTGAGATGGAAAGGGAATGATTAGATGACGGTAGGCATGATTAATTTTCCGTTTTGTATTTCTTTCAATATGAAAATGTTCGATTCAATGTCTATACGCACATAAATCTGGCTTCCATTAGTATAAAAATATGTCCTTTAAATAAACAGACAGAAAGAGAGAGAGCCACATTACAGAAAATTGTACTTGTCTGAATTTTTCCAAACATTTTGTTGTTTCACACTACCTAGATGATGGTTCCTTCAAAAAAATGTGCGTCTATAAACAGACTTAACTTGTAATTTCCTATTCCTAAATTTCAAAAGTCTCAAAATGACATAAGTCCAAGACCAAATGGCCCTCAAATTTTATGACAACAATACTTTTACGATTGAGAGAAAAGAGATCATCCTGTAACAATAAAAATAAGACAGCCTCTCATTGTGGTAAAGCTCAAACGTGGTACAAACCTGGTCTGCTTGGTGTTGAGCTGGGTGCAGGCATGCTGGCGCTGCTGGTATCCGAGCCCTGGCTACCCTGCTCATGCATAGCCCCTCCCTGGCTGCCTGAAGTGTTTGAACTGCCCACCACGTAGCTGGAGCTGGAAGAGGAGGAGGGGTAGCTGCCCGACCCGGGGACGTTGGACCCCGAGGAGGCTCCGGAGGAGGAGGAATGGTGACGAGAGGTGCGGAACATGCTGGCATCGGGCTGTTCCTGGTTCAGGAATGGAGCTAAGGAAAGGGAAAGAAGAAGGGATTGTTACAGATCAGATATTGTTTATATTTTAGCTTAGAGTGCATTTAACTTCAAGATCACATTTCCTTGACTCCAGGATTACTCATACTGTCTTGTATAACGACTCAATGCCTGCTTTAGTGACCACCTGTATCAAAAGACCAACTGTCTATAAAGACCAAAATTTTAGTTTCCCTTGAGCATGGTTTCTCATTGGAACATGTACTAAAGAAACCTGTACATAAAGACCACCTGCCTATCAAGACCACTTTTCTTGTCACCCTTGATAGACAGGTTTCACTGTATAACGACTCACGCCTGCATTGTTCTATTAAAAATTTTAGCAAAATATGTTTGCTATTTCTTAAAAGATTACACTTCATTCACTTCAATTTCTAGCAATATCAGCGTACATTCTCATTAACAGTGTTCCTTTTTAATGCGATATGCAACCCAGCACTATTCTTGAAATATGCATGACGTTTAAGGAATCCAATCCTATGTTAATCTTGGAGTCTCAGAGCTCACCCAAGAAGATAACTTGAACAATAACTTGTGTGACACCCTTTAGCAGTCCTTCCTTTTACACGTTTTGTTCACCTTTACAGAAACATAGTGTGCCAATAACCCTGGGCATCGTCTCCTAAAACAACTGTACATTTAATTTCACCACCATCACAATAAACCGTTTTGTGAAGTTTTATAACAAACATTTCACATTTTTGGGCCGTTTTCTGATACAGTCAAACCTGCTTCAGCAACCATATTTTGTGTTTCCCTTGAGAATGGTTTCTCATTGAAACATGTACTAAAGGAACCCGCCTACAAAGATCATGTTTTGGGTTTCCCTTGGGCGGCGCTATAGTCAGGTTTGACTGTACATTGCCCTGACACTGACAGACAATCTGATGGCACACTCACCAACATAGGCCCTGCAGAATTGTGCGTAGAGTTTGAGTTTGTCTGCTTCGGGCAGGTGAGCCACGTCCGTGAACCAGACGTCGACGGGTTCGTTGCTCAGCTTCTGAGCGTACTTCTTGCCGATCTTCATGATACCATCCTGGAACGTCTTGGCGATGGGGGCGTGTCTACCCAAACGACAACCCTGCACAAGAAGGAGGAAATCATCAAATACATATATGGTTAATCTGAATTATGAACTGAATGCGATCTGGATTTGAATTGGATTTTGAAATATTGCATTTCGTGTTATCTATGTTCAAGTCAACTGTACTATTCTGTATCCATTTGAATCTTATTGTTGTTTATAATCTGTAATCTTGTATTGACGTGCAACCGAAACAAATTTCCAATCATTGGACAATACAATTTAAATTGAATTGAGTTGTTTAGTGCAATGGGACTTGTAATCTTTAAAAAAATTGGCAGACTCTCAATTTTGACTCACTTTAAAATCGGAACATAGCTGGAGAGCAATTATGCTATAATAGCCAGAAGACTGATCGATTGTGTGATGTGTTAATTGCTCTATCGTACTATACTATACTCTACCGTAATCTAAAGCTAAACCTAAAATGTTATATTCTAAAATAGTCCTCCTTCTTGATATGAACAGCAACATTTACCTGACCTCGTACATATAATCGACCTACTCAGGATAAATACCTATATTCATCCTGAATAAAAGCCATTACTGTCAAGCTTTCATAGCAGAAAGGAGACTTCTGGGGGGAAATGTAATATGTTTGGTGTTTTGAACAAAAAGAGAGGAACATAAGGCTCATGACATTTAGTTTGGAGGCAAAATATGATTCATTCCTGGAAAATATACCATTTCTGTAATGTAATCAAATTCAATGCACAAATCTCTGTTAAGTGCCTTGTTACAAGTCATTTCAATAGTCAGAAAATGTGAATTTCATTCATTGATTGTTGCTGGGTAGGACAAACATTATGGCTTGTCCTGCCTGGCAACACGTAATATACGCAATTCTCATTCTGAATACTGACATAGAATTATTCGTAACAGGTGAATGAAATCATTTGTAACCAAGCACTTAACAGTGATTTGTGCATTAAATTGCATACATTACAAAAATGGTCAATTGGGATGATTGGCAGCTCGATTGACCTGGGACCTGTTCCACAAAGCTTTTTTTCAATGACAAATGACAAAAGTCAGTGTCAAATCTGCTGATAACCAATCAGAAGCAGGGATTTCAGTAGCTTATAACAAAAACTGTCATTTGCCACTGATGACAAGTTTTGTGAAACGCCCCCCTGATGAAGGATGACCCTACCTCATAGACAGCAGTGAGTTCCTTGAAGAACATGGTGGCACAGCGTAGGATATATTTGTTCTCGGGAACCAGAGCAATGTATGCTACATCCCTGGCGGATGAATATGGCTCCAACATCAACTTCTCCTGTACATCAAGAAGACAAATTCAAACATGTAATATTCTAAAAGGGATCGTGTAACTTTGTCTCAGAATCTGAAACAAAATCCTGGATTAAGCTCATGCTGCAATCATAATTATAAACTTTTAGCTCAGTCAGGAACCTTATGGCTTTTACAAGCCGATCGCCTGTCTGATTATCAAGATATTTATGATTGGAAATCGAAATTTAGAACTTTGTTTTCCTAACGATTTTCATGGCACTACAGTCTATTGGGGGAAATGAGTATTGTAAAACCAGTCACTCAAAGATTTTTACTTTTTATTTCATGATCATTTTGAAGCGCAATTTTGGTATGGCTTCAATATTACACCATATCACAAACACTGGTAACACGTAGGGCCATGCATCTCAGATTTAATATTAATAAACGATGCCTTTTTTTTTCTTCAATTCAGTAGTCCGATCATCAGTTTTTCTTTACAAAAAGAAAATGCTAGAAGCTATGGTAAAACAAGAACCTTTGGCGGTGTCAGACTTTCAAGCATTATTAATAGCACAAAGAGACTTCAATGAATTGATATTTTCAGTGTTCTACTTAAAATGTTGTGAATCTGGACCACTCTTAAAATTTGTGAAATATCTGGTTTATAAGTATATTCAATCAAGATGAATGACTTTAGTATCTGTTCAAATATATGGTCTGTTTGGAGCTAGACAGTAATTAATAATAATAATAATTAATAATAATAATTAATAATAATTAATAATAACTCTGTGATCGGTTGGCACCCTTCTTGCTCCAAAGAGACAATTTGTTTTTACAGGGATGCCAGTTAGAATTGATCAGAGGGCCTGAAAATCACCTAGAATGAGCTATTTAGTACACAAAATAGCCTAAACTATGGTCTGATAATAACTCGCCAGGGCCTGAATTCAGGCTATTGCCTGAAAACTGGCATCCCTAGTTTTAGCTTTCCACCACAACAACTAGACATGTATGCAAACAAAATATAGACATGATGCCATTTTTGTAACGAGCACTAGCTACTGCTCCCTCAAAATTGTGTATTATCAAGAAATTTGCTAATGTATATGACCTAGGTTTGAGGTTCAGCCAGGGTAACTCGTAGTGCACATGTTTGCATTCATCAACATTTCAGGCCAAGTTTGTTTTCACCTTCATGATGTACGCAATGACTAAGAGTCTGAGAAAAACTAAACCCTGTGAATCTAATCCTTCTTTATGGGCATAGGATGGCCTTGGCAGGCAATAGAGTATAAGTGTTGCGAGCACAACAGAAAGCATTGGTAGGGGCAAGTCCTAATATTGGGAAACTAAATTTCAGAAACTTTAGGGGCATGAAACTCTTGTGAATTGCTAGGGACAGCCTTTGACGCAGTAAGAAGTTTATGCGATTTTCAAACACTTGAATTTCATCTAGTTCAATTTTAAACTTGTACATAGGTAGTCATGTTATTACTTTACAAAATGGAACTGCAAATTTGTTGAGTTCTCGTGAAATTCCTGCAAGCTTGATGCATTAGAAATTCTTGTGCTAATGCTCTTCGGTCAGGCATAGGGTGAAGGATTCTCTCCAGGATTGTAACTGACTTTTGAAACTACTCCAAATACAGGTTGGATGATATTATCAATTAATTAGACATGGGTGAATCCATACAAGTTAGTTTCGTGCATCTTGATGCATATCTCATTTTCTGACAGACCGCAGAATTAATTATGATTTGTCTGGTTTGTCTGAAGCTGGCTTCATAACAAGCGGTAGAGGACGAACAGGATTACATGGTGTTACCCAGAGAAACGTGACCTGGGGGTGTTTCACAAAGATCCTAAGTCTAACTTAACTCTAAGTTGGACTTAACAATTTTGGAGAGCCATTTGTAGCCTTAAAATAAAATATTTTAAAATTGAAACTTCAAGTATTTTAGACTTTGTATTAATCCCACATCAACAACATAAAATCTCCTTGGTAATAGAAAATATGAATGATTTGAATCCACATTTTATGCCTTTTTGAAATAACTTTTACAAAATATTTTCATAGATGCTAACAGATTTCCATAATTGTTAAGTCCAACCTAGGATCTTTGTGAAACACCCCCCTGATTTAGAAGCAGTAGGTTAGACTTACCCAGTAGTAGAGGGCGAAAGGTGAAGATGATAGCCAGTCCTTGTCATGCCCGATCATAAGACGAGGTATGGGGAGGGGTTCGGGGGTTTCTGCTGGACCTGTCAAAAGAAGTAAAAACCAGTTTGAGCAACCACCGTTCACCAATAGAGACTACCTATTTTAATTCCCTAGAAAATTATATCCTATTTGAATCTGTACAGACCCCCTATGGAGACTACTTTTCTTGTCTCCTATGAGTGGCCTTTAAATACAACTTTCACTGTACTTATATTGCCACATCTCAGCTATCTTTGTCCCATACGCTATATATCACATCAGAGATTTTAGTATATAAGAAGCCCTACTAGAAATTGCATCGGACCAAAGATTGAATTAAACGTTTAACATTTGACATTAATTTCTGTTTGTAACTTGACAATGTTTGTTGACGGATGGGGCATCACATGACAAAATAATGTGGACTTGCCTAACAGTGATTTCAGTCACTCTACATAAAATAAATGAATTCAATACATATTCGTATTCAGTTCAGTTCCTTCAAGCATGTAATCATAAATTATAAAGTAATCTGTGATTAATATCACTTAATGACCTTTGTTTTCTTCAATCCTTATCATGGACTGTTCAAATAATTCACTTGAATCAAAGTGCCATGTGTGGTAGTATGATAAATGAATAAAATGCTGTTTGTACAAGACCATCACACCACAACCAGACAATGATCAGTCGATTGTTGTACATGATTGGCAGCAAACCACTTCAAAGGCCAGGAAACTTATTTCCTGCTTAATGTGTAATTGCGAAAAATAGATGTAAAACACGCGAGAGGAAGCGAGGGGAAAATTGAAAGAGCTGACGGACACACACATGCAAGAAGGAAGGTGCTAGAGGGAGAGAGAGAAAGAGAAAAAGGAAGCAAGAAGATGAGGGGGGAGGGGAAGTAATAAGAAGATAGAGAGTGAGAGACAGAGAGAGAGACAGAGACAGGGAATGGAAAGAAGAGAGTTAATCTAGAACTACGGAAATGTCAGCGGAAAAAGAAAGAACTAGAGAAACAAAAGAAAGATATAAAAATGAGAAACAAAATAGAGAGCACATGTTAGATAAAGAGAGGAGATATCAAATGACTGGAGAGATATGTGGAGCAAAAGAGGAAGAAAAGGAACGAAACACAAACAGAGAGTGAATGATGGGTAAAGAAAGGTGGAGTGAAACAGAGCAAAATATGAAAAAAAAGAAGAGATACAGGAATAAACGTAACAAGATGATATGATTGAGGAAGATGAGATACAAAAGGTGAGATGAAGCAGTGAGTAATAGAGGGAGGTGGGGGAGGGGGGGGGGGGGGATAAGAAAGATAAAGATAAAAAGAGGAATAGAGAGAGAGTGATGGATAGAGAGAAAGAGAGATGGAGATAGAGTGAGAGAGAAAGAGAGATGGAGAGAGAAAGAGAGACAAAGAGAGAAAGAGAGATGGAGAGATGGAGAGAGAGAGAGAAAGAAAGTGAAAGAGAAAGTGAGAGAGAAATATAGACAGAGAGAGAGAGTGAGATGGAGAGAGAGTAAGAGAGAGTTAGAGAGAGAGAGAGTGTGAAAGAGAGTGAGAGAGACAGAGATAGTGTGAGAGAGAGAGAAAAGGAGACGGAGAGAGAGGTAATAAAGTTGACTGACTGACCTCTGGCACCAATGTTGAAGAAGACCTGCCATGTGAGTGGACCCTGTACAGTGTAAGGCTTCTCCCATAACCTCGTAGTTCGCTTCTTCTGTATGGCGTCCTGCAGCAACGGTTGCAGTGAACTCAGCGTCCGCACCACGTCCTGCGAGGACATCGTGCTTCGAGCCATTGCTGTAACAAACAAACATTGATAGAAACTTGGTTAAATCCTGCAAAATGCAAAACAAAGATAAAAACTTGGTTGCTATGCCGCAAATGAGATGCTCTTAAAAGATGTGCAGAAGCACAGACAAAAGAATGCCACCATGATGCTTTGAGATAATGCTGCAATAGTATCAAAATGTAAATCAAAACTTGGTTGACAGAAGTATAAACCATGCACTCCCTTTAATCTTATGCATCTTTTTCCTCTAGATGTATTCACATTTTCATTTGGTTGTTGATGGTTACTTGAGGAATTCATATATACAAATTGAATCGGAGTCTAAAAGAAATAACAGATTAAAGCTGTAAGTTCACAAGTTGTCACAGAAAAATGTGTCAAATAATACTTTGTCACCATTTGTCTTCCATTTCATACATCTCTTTGTAAACAGAATTGTCTTGGGTCATCCTTTTGGTTTTCAAGAGGCGTTATATTACAGACCTCAGAAGTTTACAGAATCAACACATGCCTTTTCAGTTATAGGGGGAAAAATACTGTATACTGTTAACACTGATCTACACCTAAGTGTAATCCATGTGTCATAACCCAAGAGACTTGGACAGAAATATGATGGAAATAGAATTGCTAGGTACAACATGATGAGGGTTGGGGGTGAAACATATTCTAAGAGAAATCAAAACAATTATGGAAACAAAAAGATGCTTGAAAGAAAATAAGACAGGGGGTATGCCGCCCCCCCCCCCCCCTCCCCCAATATAATGCAAAAATAAATGTACATGATACATCATTAAGGATGATGCCCTTGCATAGTTCTCCAACCTCAATTTGCCACTTTAGCTGCAAAATGTCGTATATATAAATAGAAGGTTGTCAAAGGGCAGGAAACTTGACAGCATTCTATGTTAAAGCCTGTCTGAACTAGTTTTACCTGGGGGATTAGACCTCCCTGCAAGGTCACTGGCAGGTGGTTATCTCATCAACTCAGCTCTCAATTAACATAAGAAAAAGGGGATCATGGGGACCAACAGGCACCGATTAGGCATTGTTTGCTATATAGAGGGCGCAAGTAGCTATATTAAAGTAGTGCAGTGGTGCTTTAAAAGAATAGTATTGTCTCCCTATTCTCTTGAGCTAATAGGGCATCAACGCCTTTATTTTGACAGACTTAAAATCCTTCAGGCTCACAATATGAACGATTCAACCCAGAATACACAATATTTGTTGGAATGGAGCAGAAAAAAAGTATGTGCCAAAAGGAAGGGGCAGAGTTCAAATTACAGACACGCAAGTTTGAGGATAATACACAAAACAGGTGTCGCTCCATGACAGAGTGTGCCAAAGTGATATCCCAATATGTTCCACGGTTCAAGTGTAAGAATGTAATAATTCATGACATTTGCCCTTTAGTGTATGCAACCCTTTTCCATTCGACATGGACCTATGGATGATGAAAGATATCACTAACTTGCTTGAAAGATTTAAAAGTCCTTATACTTGACAGATCAGTTCAAGGGTTTATTTTTACAACTTCTTAAAATAACCAGATTCAATTACTTCTTAATGAAACTTATTTTTGTATTAACTTATCTTATATGGTATGCTCTAGACAAGGGGAAAAGAGGAAGGTTTTCTCCCCTTTAATTTCTTTAAATATAATTTTTTAGAAACATATAACATTTAGTAATATGTAGTAACACTTAGAAGCATTGATTTTAAACAGATTCTTGAAAAATAACCAAATTCAATTGATTCTTTCGTTTTTATTTTATTATTATCATAAAAGGTATTACATTATATTTTGGTTTAAAATAAAAATAATAATAATATGTCTTGTTTACCCAGGGTAGCCTCATCAGTATTCATATACAGAAGTAACTGATTACATGTTCAAGGCATTTCAGATTTTTTGTTTTTGGTTGTTCTGGCTCTGTGAATATTGCACACTACTCCGGAAGGTTCACTGTGAACGTTCCAATACATTAGAGAATTATTGCCGAGATCAGACTAGAGATCCATGCGACTCAATTTATCTGAAAAAAACTATAAAGTATACAAAAGTAAAATGGCTAGTAATTCAAAGTGTTAAAAAAAAATAGTTGAGAAGTAGACTACACATTGGCCAAACCAGACACAGACAGACAGACAGAAATAAAAAAATTAAGAGAGTAAGAGAGCAAGAGAGACATGGAGGTAGGGAGGGGGACAGATAGGGAGGGGGGACAGATAGAGAGAGAGAGAGAGAGATAGGGGTGGGAAAGAGAGGGGCAGAGGCACAGACAAACAGAGAAAGTAACAAAGAAAACAAAGGAGAAATAGCAACAGAGAGTGAGAGAGAGAATTACATACAGACAGAGCAGAGAGAGAGAGAGAGAGAGAGAGTAGGAATTGGTAAAGGTTTATCATAGTCTGTATCAAAGCTTGGGCATGACTGACTTGTATGATTAAGAGAGGCGGGGGCACAGTCATACATGACTCATCACGCAGCCCCCCTCTCTCTAAAAAGATGAGTTATCTCGTAATATTGGCCTGCATAACAGGAAGAGGGTACTTGTTGCGGATACACCAAAAAATGAGGATTTCGTTAAAATATCTCAACTTTACGTACACAGGCTTCTGGCATTTTTGCAATGCTCTCTCTCTCTTCCTGTGTGTATTTCTTGGTCTTAGTTTTTGCCCAAATGATGAAATATTGAGGTAAAGTTTTTTTTTAAAATATAGCCGGAAATTTTGTGCTAAAACTTCAAATAATGATTCTTATAACAAATCTAAAAACCCTTGTAATAACCATGGAAAAAATTGAATTCCACAAAGAGAACAAAATTTCATTCTTGACACTTTCATGCAGGAAAATTTTGATGACATCCATTTTGGATATGTTGAGCTTTATAACATTTAAAGCCTTAAACCTTTCAGATATTTGTTTTCTGTTCTAAAATCTATATCATTAATTAAAGCAAGATGATGATCTCTTTCCTTCCTCAATAACTATGTATCTCAATTACTTGTGAAAGTCTTTCAAGTTTCTAAACTAAATATAGCTTCCTGCATAACTTTAAAATAATAATAACTACAAATGTATGATACATTCTTTCTCAAGAGGCACTGTAATGTTGTAACAATTGCTAGTTAATACAATGAATATCCTTTTAAGTTTACAAGATTATGATAATACATAATCTGTGCAATATGCCCCCTGCCAGCACAGTAAGTAAAAGGTTCATTTGGTGCAAACTGTAATATCATTTTCAGGGAGATTATGGGGTATTAAAGAATAACAAAGTATGTAATCCTTGATAATAGGAGAATGTGCAGAGGATTTCTCACTTATTGAAGAGGGAAGAGGGGAAGAAATCACAAAATGCCTAAAGCAAAATGAAACCTCGTACGAGCTGATCGAGTATTGAAGTGTTAAGCGACTTTGCATACATAGATATAGCTCATGAGACAGGTTGAAGTGTTTATTAAAGGAAATAAATGCAATGGAAATGAGAATTGGGAGTAAAAATGTGGCATAAAAGCATATCTAATATGTGTAATTATTTGCATATTTTATCAGAATCAAAAGTAACAAACTGATGGATCTACCAAGCACTTATGCTGTGTTTCATTTGTAATCAGACCTACATCCTGTTTTACACAGTAAGCCTTCAAAAGTCTAGGGACAATCAATACTTTCCTTTACGCGCATTTTATTGTAATATTTTATTGTATTTTATTTTAAGTATTGTACATTTCGATTGTACAAACTGAAAAGTAAATTTGTACATGCAGGCTTCTTGGTGGAAATTGGGTTACCCTTATACTTTTGTTGGGAAAATACATCCCTTGACAAATCACAAGCTTGCCAGACATAGCAACATTTCATGTATACATAGTGGATTTCCTCTGCACAGATGGCACTATGTATTGCAGGGGGGTTTAACTATTTAACAACCAATGGTTCTGGATTTAAGCATGCATACATTTGTTTAAATACAATAGTAAACAGGTCTATTCACCCTTGATCCCCCCCCCAAAAAAAAAAATGCTTGATATTTCAACCAAGAAACAATGTGCCGTCAAAACCCTGCCTGCCTAAAAGATCAGCATAGAGGTGTTGTGGTCAAGTGGATACGTCACCGGACTGTGGATCACGAGGCCTGCAGTTCGAGTCCGGCCGCGCCACTAATCCTTTGGCAAGACATAAATCTATATTTGCCACACTCAACTCAGGGTACCTGGTAGGATTATTCCTTGAAATGCACTGTGATAAAGCCGGAGCTAAAGCTAAGGTAATAATTTCCAAAGCTCTTTGGAAGCACATAAGCAATAGAGACGTTAATTCATAACATATTATACACGATACAAGAACTGAATATTATTATTATTATTATTATAATCATCATGACAGAATCCTACTTGAACACTCACCTGGTGAGTAGGGCCAGCTATGTAGACAGGAGCTCTTGAGAGTATCGTCCATCTTACTCCCAGCGGTACCATCCATGAGAAGCCTTCCCAGATCCAGCGCAGCAAAACAAGCATCACAGCCATCTGAAGGTGCATCATGGATGGGATAGCACAAAGAGAATGGTATACTTTGTTGCATGCAGTGTTCATATTATCATTATTATTATGCCTGGGAGGTGAAAAGCAACTGAATCACTGTAACCCTTGGGTCTCTCCTCCCGGTATAACTGATTGGGGGTGTGCAGGTGGACCACTACACCGGGGTTTCCTCCTACTCTTATATGAATAGTGCTGTGGGTTCTTAACGTGCAAAGGTGGTGAGTCTCCTCTACACAGGCCTCAATTTAACATCCTATCCAAGGGATGGGATGATAGGCCCCATTCACACATGAAGTGATAAACCACCCTAGAACGCCATCATGACAAAACTGTGCATGAAACTAAATAGCAAAGGGGCATCACGGAGAGAGGGGTTGGAAGAAGAAAAAAAAGAGCTGTTTGCAACATTGATCCTTCTGGGTACTCCCTGGTCTGTGTGTTATAAGATACAGAATTGTGAAGGGAACTACATGTTAACCCATCTCATTTAATAGGATAGGCCACATTCACACATTAAGTGATAAACCACCCCTAAAACACCATCATGGCAAAACTGCGCATGACAATAAATGGCAAAGGGGCATCACGGATCTCTCCGGGCACACCCTGATCTGTGAAGGGAACTACACCCATCACACTCATGTCCAAATGAGCCTGAACGGTCAAATTTGCAACGAAAACTTAACTTTCATTCGTTGATCAACTGCATAACGAGTTATCAACATGAGATCAATATTTGTTCAAAGATTCAAAGCTTTTTCAAAGAGTCCAAAGATGTTCCGTTCACAAAACACGAGCATGGCACCGATATACTGGAATCACGTCATGCCAAGAACAGTTCTACAAAGCTACTTGAGATGTCCAGTTGAGTTGACGATCTTGAAGGAATTAGTGGATGGACTTACCATTGATTTCAATCTGGCTCCTGGCCAGAGGACCTGAACTGTTGATACCTCTCTTGTGAACACACCCTGCAAGCCTCGCCAGCGTGGCATACGGACTGTTACACTGTTCCTGAATCAATCTCAATACACACTTAGCTGTCCTTGAAACCTCTTTCCCATCTTTCTCGCTCGACGGCTCCTCCACCGACAAGAGCGGCTTGCGGTCGGGCATGCCCGCCAGCATGGGATTGTCTTTGTGGAATGTCCAGAGGGCCGCATCGGCCGGCTGTCCCGTTATTTCAGATTCGTCTTCGGCAAAGAGCCCGCTCCCCACGGCGTACCTTCTGTTCATGACAGCGCTGAAGCCACATTGGCACATGTTCTTGTTGCACACACACATGACGCTGCTATCAAAGTTCCTGTCTTTGTAGATGTTAAGTAGCGAGTCGGACAGCGTGAGGTTCACCAGGAGGCCGTGTGCCTCTGGGATGTTGCTGGCCGGTGTGGGCGCTTCTATTGAGTTGATGTTCCTGACGTAGGAGGAGGCCTCTGAGGCCGGAGACTGCAGGTCCATGTTGGCGGCACTGCGAGGCTCCTGGCTCCCCGGGTAGGCAGCAGGAGATTGCATGAGGGTAGGTCCCGGTGCGTTGAACACTATTGGCTGGTTCATGTTCATTTCCATCTCCAAAACAAGACTGGTAAAGAAAATTAAAATGAAGAAATTTTATCAAAGATAAGCCAACTTTATTCATGCAGTCATTCAAATCTCTCACAGCTGAACTTATCACAAACAAATTATACAGAGCTTTTATTTTCATGAACACGTACAAAGAGTAAACTAAATAGGACATGAGATATCACGTGTCTAATAGAAGCAATTAGATGAATATTTGTGAATTGGATACTCACCTGTCCTTAGCAACAGGCAAAAGGTCTGGCTTGGGTGACAATGGCAACTGAAAGATGGAACATGACATATTAATTAATCATCTTGAAAATTGGAATAGATCTGCCAAACAATCACAACCATCATCACCATTATCATCCTTACTAATATCCTCATTAGCATCTTCCTCATCACCATCATCATCATCATCTCAACCATTATGATCATCATCATCATCGTCACCACCATCACCATCACCATCATCTTAATCCTCATCCCCATCATCATCATAATCCTCATCCTCATCATCATTATCACCATCAACATCACCACTACAATCCTAATCCTCATCCCCATCATCTCACCCTAATCACAAACACCATCACCATCAACATCACCATCATCATCATCACCACCATCATCCTCCTAATACCCATCCTCATCCCCATCCCCATCATCATTACAATTACCATCACCATCACCATCAACATCATCATCACCATCACAATTACCATCACCATCAACATCACAATCATCATCATCATCATCATCATCATCATCATCATCATCATCATCATCATCATCATCATCATCATCATCATCATCATCATCATCATCATCATCATCATCATCATCATCATCATCATCATCATCATCATCATCATCATCATCATCATCATCATCATCATCCTCACCATCATCATCATCATCATCTTTACTAATATCCTCATTAGAATCATCATTACTATCATCATCTTACCTGCCAAGATGGTCTGTAGTGACACATTTCTGGGATCTTGAGTGGAGGTTGCTTGCTGCTTGGTAGGGCCTTCAGCGGGGCGTACATACTGGGACCAACAAACCTCTCTGTGGGTGGAACCTTGTACACAAAACTCCAATCCTGCAAACAAACAAGCACATGTATTCTGGATCAATTCATCATTCATGCATATGGCATTAACAACAGCAGAGGTGTGTCTTTGAATGGAAGACTTGGTTGTTTAAAGAAAGCAACAATGATATTAAGTCAATTAGAACAATATAAAATGGTTTATCTGTTGAGAGTAAATCACAAATCCTGATCCTGCCTAAATATATTACATGTTTTCACATATTTTTAACAATGATGGAGGTAATTGTCTCAGATAATATCTCCCACAACAGACAGAAATCAAATAAAGAAATAAAATAAACCTATAGACACTTCATTCTAAAATTGAGACGTTACCTTGATCAAGCCACAACAGAAAAACTAGTTCATGCATTTGTTAAGAGTCGTATTGACAATTGTAACAGTTTGTTGTTTGGTTTGCCAGATTCTCTCATAGACAAGGTCCAAAAAGTTCAAAATTGTGTAGCTAGAATTGTCTCACGTAAACATAAACAAGATCACATTACTCCCGTGTTGTATGATTTACATTGGTTACCTGTAAGAGATAGAATCATCTTTAAACTCTTAACAATTGCATATAAATGTAAACACAATGATACTCCCATGTATTTGCAAAATATTATTTCAAGTCATCTACCAACTCGCAATCTCCGTTCATCTTCAAAACATACATTCACACCTTTAGTCACATCCACCAAAACATATGGGCACTGTGCTTTCCAGTATGCCATAACCAGAACTATGGAACAATCTTCCAGAGTCTCTAAAACGTTGTCCTTCACTACATCAGTTTAAATCTGACTTAAAAACATATCTGTACGATCATGCCAGTCTTAAATTTAAATTTATATAGTAAACATGTGAATTTTGTAATTGATTTGATAATTGTAATTGCTAAACGGTGAAAGCTCAATATTCTTCATGTCTTTTCTCTCTTCTCTCTCTCTCGTATCTAAGCGCATAGAGACAATTTTGTAATATGCGCTATATAAGAATTGAACATTATTATTATTATTTTAGTTCAAAATTACATTAAATCCTTTGTTTACAGCAAGAAGGGCGTTGACCCATAACATCCCTCATAATAGCATAGGGTTTAACACCTTTCTGGCTCTGAGCAGATAGCAACCTACCTGTATCTGCTCTGGCTTGGGACTCCCCATGTTCTCGTCCGCTTCGATCTCGTTGAAGTCTCCTCCCGCACTGTGCTCAAGCTGCGTGATGCCCTGCACCGAGCCGTGGTTGATGTAGTCATGGCAGGGCTGGTTGACGGGAGAGAAGGCAGAGTTCTGCTGTTCCAGGGAGGGTGGGGTCGGGTACATCCGGGCAAGATCGGGACCCGTTTGACTGGAGCCTGTCAGAGCAATGACGAATCATAGTAAACCAGTTCTACTCACATGCATTTAAAGATAAACTTGAGTTCTGGTAAAAAATAGAAAATTGATTCTCACAGAATCAAACGAAACTTATACTTAATGTTCAAGATTACAAATAAATGTTATTTGCCAAACAAATTTGGTAGAAAATGTATACTGGCTGAGTAATGAGCATATAAAGATAAGGAAATCAAAGTGACTAGCCCCGACATCATTTGTGTAGTCCCATATACATCTTTCTGTGTACAGTGCGTGTTACTTTAGAGACTGGGCCAATTTCTTATGATTTTGATGACTCCAGAACCTTGCAGTACACACCTATACTTAAATGCTACATGATCAACTTGTTCCGATTCATTCCACACCTTTTATTTCACAATGCAATCGCATGACCAGAACTCAACTTTATCTTTAATGATCCATAAAGCACATAGCAAAGAGCAAATCTGTCAACGGCGTCTATTGGTCTATATATTAGGATCCCCTAAATATATATTCAATATCAAACTAAATATCTACACTCTTTTACACATTTCAGATTGTATATCAGGCCTATTTCACTATTTCTATTCATACTTGGATCCGTTTCTTCTTGTGCTCTATTTATATATCATAAATTAAATTTCTACTGACTTTGTCTAACATGAATAAGATATTAATCATCATTATAAGCAGCTCCTCCCAATGACGTGTCATAAGACTTGTTCTCCTTCTCAACTTTACAACTCTCAAACACTTTTATGACAGTCTTAACAATAAAACTGACATTGACTCTGGATAATGAGCCAGACATGTATAATAAATCACTGTTCGTAAGCTCAAATTGAAAATCAAGTGGCTGATGAAATAATACCTTGGGTTGCAGCAGCAGGTTTCTAACCATCAAATTGTGCGGAAGTAAGGACTACATATTTCAGTTTCATTTTCATTCAACCTTATTCTACTACACTCATTCAAAGTGAGGAAGGGAAACTTTTCATCATGTTGGTGAGCTAATATTGCACATATCGTTTCTCCTATGAGTCAGAATGGCAGGACCTCATATCCTCTAGATAACACCCTTCTTGCTTGGTTAATACAAACATACTAACTTAAGGGGGATTTTCTGCCGATGCGGTTCTAAATTGTCATACATGTACATCTGTGGTATAACTTTGTTTTTACTGTTAGCTATGAATAGAACATGACTAAGTGAATGTGATATGCATGTAGAATAACGAAACTTGAATCATTAACATTCAGTGCTAAGCTAGACATACCCTATGCTGGGGTCTATTCCACAATGTGTTCTACACCACAATCAAATCACATTCAAGGGGTTAATTCAATGGTCTCCTGACGTTGTCACAACCAGTCTAAGATGATATGAGGAAATTGGGTTTGATCTGTGTGTGTCATGTACACTGTGTCAATGTCAGGAAGGGAAATTTCCCTAGTTGGACTTACCTGGCATACCTTTGGAGCTGTACAACACATTCAAATCACATTCCAGAGGTTAATTCCATGGTCTCCTAACGTTGTCACATACTGTCTAAGATGATATTGGGAAGTCTGGTTTGACTCGTGCGTGTCATGTACACTGTGTCAATATCAGGAAGGGGAATTCCCTAGTCCCTAGCTAGACTTACCTGGCATACCGGTGGAGCTGTGTAATGAGTTGCCGAAGGGTTTGGTTGATGATTCTTCCCCTCGATGGATCACCTGGGACACCATGTCATCAAAACCCTGAAAGAATCAAATAACAAAGTTTATCCTCAACTGTGATCAGACACTCGTTCCAGCGACACTTAGTCAGGGCCCTGTCTCACAAGAGAGTTGTTATTAATCACAACTTTTCAATTCATATCTATCGCAACTAACGCACACAATGTATGCACATTTTCCACTCCCTGGGGAGCATTCCCGCCAGTGCATCATTTTTACAAGCGCACACTTGCTAATCTAAGCACATTAGCTTTCGCATCCTACCGGGTACCCATTTAACACCTGGGTGGAGAGTGGCAAATGTAGATCAATGTCTTGCGATTAATTTAGATCAATTGCAAGTCTTTGTAAGACAGGGCCCTGGACTTTATTTCAGCAGAGACATAGGGTTATAGCTCGGGGTGTAATTGGGATTTAGGTTCAGCTTGAGGCCTTGACTTAGGCTTAGGCATAGGCTGATGGTCAGGGTAAAGATTAAGTGTAATGTTAGGCCTAGGGTTGAAGAAAGAGCATGGGTTTATTTTATAAAATTGACCACTAAGCGAGTGACCTCAGCGACCTCGGTGCTCTTGGTATAACTTTGACATTTTCCTTGTCATGCCTCTAATGCCGGGAGTGTATCTTAGACATTCTGCAATGCTATTCATGTGAAAATGCATCTAGAATTCGGCATCACCCCCATATCAATTATAAATTGAATTATTCTAGTACATGTCTCATGGTAAATGCAAATCTTTTCCTACAACCAATTTCCAGGGCCACTTTTTCAAGGGTTCTACGATCATTACCTTGACTGTACTACTGCCAAGACAGTTGAATTGTCGCTACCCCAAATAGCGATTCTGCCGAGATCCGGGGAAAATCCTGAAAACGCGCATTGCATTATGGGATAGCTTTTCGACATTACAGCTTCCTGTGCAGGCGCGCGATAGCGCAAACGTAAAACGCCGTCGCCACACAACGTGTATGCACCGAATATGTCGTCTGCTCGGTCTTGTTTTCTTTTCGCAAATATTTCAACGTTTATTTGAACATTTCATTCGTTGTTTTTTGCGTCTTTTGACATCAGTGACGATGGTTTTCTTTTGTGAGGCTGCACAGTGCTAGGCTCATGATTCCAAGCGTAAGAACCCTGAAAAATGGGGGTGGATGAAGGCCGTGACTTGGGATGGGACTCTATACCGGAAGTTGTAGTGACGACCCGAGAGAGTGAAAATTACCTCGTCTCGCGAATTTCGAGATTTTCGTACCTATTTAGGGTAGCGAGAATTGTCCTTGATCCTTCAAAAGTTTCTCTTACATGTTTATTTGACATAGGACCAAAGGGAAAACCGTAGGGTCAACTACAGGGTGAAGTTTTCTGGCAACGGCAGAGGAAACTTTCCTGATGATTTGCTTCTCCAGCTACGCCGCCGCCGCGTAAAGAATGGCCAAACATCTTGGAGGGAACGACAGGTTTCCTGTTGAGGAACGCATCATTTCCTCCCCCTGCCCGAGATGTGCACACAATATTTAGTGTGTGTTCTGTCTCTGGCAGGAAACGAGCCCACTCGCGGGAATAGGCATATGTCATCAATGTATGTCGGCCAGGATAACAGCAGAAGCACTTTCCTAGCTTCTCTTTCTTTTACGGTTCATGTACGAAACGGATTGTTTTGTCGGTTTCTTTTCAACAAAAGCCGAGTAGCCAGTATCAATCCTGTACTTTGTATGTGTATTGCTTAAACCTAGGTAATTGTGCTGTCTATTTTCACTGAAAGTGAAAATAATTGAAATTAACGACCCAACTAGCGCTGTGTGTCTATGCACAATGTGTCTCGCCCTCCAGACTATGGCAAAATGCATTCTTTTTAAACATGCTACAGGGACTAGATTTCATTACAATATTAGAGTTGGAGAGGTACAAACACTTGGTTGGAATATGTTCAATACAAATTAAACAAAATTAAAGTCCTGCCAAAAAGTTATAACTTGTTTAAAACATTTGTACCACAATTTTCCAAATGCTACAGTTAGAAAGGGGTGACAACTTGACCATGTACTGTACACATTGCCCATATTACGGCCACCATTTCAAGGATTCATTGAAATTATGATGCACTACATTTTAATGCTCCAGTATTTATTGTGAAAGATTCATCACATATTCCTTTTAGGATAGGATTTAAATTGATCATATAACACTCTTCAAATTGACAACAATAATATTTTTATTTCATTTCTATATTGTTAAAGTAAATTGCAAAGACTCTGAAAACTATATACATGGGCAAGTTTTTTAAATTACAAATGTTTATCAAAAAACATTCATGAAACGAAAAAGGATGCAGTGTGTGCAGAAAATGTTTGCCCTTTCTACTTGTGTATCTTGCATAATAGGGCTCTGAATCAAACGTTACAACATGGAATGAGTGTCACGAAAGAGCACAATACTTTTCATTACACAAAGCCCATACTCATCGACTCACCGTATCGTCATCATCTGAGGATGAAGATTCAAAGAGTCTCTCCAGATCGCCGACCCCTGTGACCTTGATGTCGTCCGTGTGCATCAAGCGTTTGGTCTCCCCCTTATTGGGCAGTGCTTTGTTTGCTGCAGCTCCTGTCAACAAAGTAAAGTGTAATGCATATACCATTATTAATTTGAAAATGTAAGATTAAAGGAAGGGGTACACACTGTTTTCATTTTTTTAAAGCACAGAAGGGCCCTGTCTAACAAAGAGTTACGAATGATCCACATCAATCTAAAGTCCTCCAATCAATCGTAAGTTTGCGATTAATATCAACTCTTTGTAAGATGGGGCCCAGGCTAAAATGTTGGGGATTGTGTGTGGTGTGCACCATGGTCCATGCTTATATGTTAGCATTTTCATAGTACATGTGCCGAGGACCTGTCTAACTTTAGAGCTCTGCTTACCAAACAAAACAAAATTAAACTAAAAAAAAACTGTAGGTATGAACTCTGAGCTCGAATGAAGGGTTATCATTCAAACGAACACTGTATAGTATAACCCACCCCTGCTCTTAAATTTTTGATAATGGAAACTACATTTACAATACAATACAATAAAGTCATTTCTATAGCGCTCTTACAAACTAACTGTACGTTTAAACTTGTCCTAGAGGCAACTTATCTATAATTACCACCAGTCTATAGTGGCCAATCTTAAGTTGGTTGGTTTGTTGTTTTACCCAACTGCTAAGAAAGCATGTGTTTGCTCGTAAGTAAACCAACTTGGGACCGACTGCTTTAAGTCCTCTCTAAGGAACTTGGCAATGAGGATTGATGCCTTACCAAAAGGGCGCTATCGCATCAAATTGATTTTGAACCTGAAACCTTCCGATTATGAGACCACTGCTCTACCACTGAGCCATCATGCCTCGCTCTTAGATGAGAGATGACATGATCAAATCCGACTCGAAAGGCCATCTCACTACAATGACCACTTCTACTTTATCCCTTGGTTCGACTGTACAATAGACCTTTGCTTTTACTGGATGAACATACAATGAGCCATAACCTAAAGAGCTACCCAGAGTGAGAATATTTTCTTTAGAGATGGTGGATAATTTGAAAATGAAGACTTGACGAACCCATGGCTTTGGAGGGATCTGTGTTGAACACATTGGATTGTCCGTCGGCCGTCAAGGTCTCGGGTCTGGGTTTCTCTTCCTCAGCTCTCCTCTGAACCTCATCGTCCTAAAAAAATGGAACATATATGAATGACAATGAAGATTGGAATCACAACTAGAATGATTACTTAAAACATTATTTAGCCTATGTGAGGTCATCACAATTTGTTCCAATTTGCTCAATTCGAGCTGTTCCAGGTCTTATTTCAAAACAGATATTGTCTGGTGAAGAGCCCAAAGAGTATTATCTCATACACCTTATCATAAAGTTAATACCCTTCTGGTCCTCAACAGATGATATTTGGTTAGAATTAGGGTTGAAGAGTGTTGGGTCAAGGGTCGAAGTTCAGCTTTCATAGGAAACTAACCATGGAACAACTTTCATCAGGGCATGTGTCGTACTGTTATGGGACATAATTGCATGTTACATTGAATTCATGATCAATGCATTAGAACGATTGGTAATTATACAATACTAGCTTGATTGAAGCACTACAATCTGCCCTATCCCACCTATTATTTACTAAAAATAATAAATATTCAAGGATTGCAGACACTCAAAGCTATACTAGAGCTTCACATTTCAGCATATATTCAACTGTACTAAAGTGCCAATAACGCAGACTTCAGATTGAGAACACAAATACATATTTAATCTATTTTACACATATCCTCTGGCTAACATATCAATACCATAAAAAAGTAATTTCTCTACACAAAAGAAATAAATGCACTACAGGAACTGCAAACAGGAAAGGCATTACATCCTTTGTGCAGAATTTTCCCAGAATGTTGAAGTTCTCTAAAATGTTAGGCACGCAAGACTTGAACAATAAATATTCAAAGAACAAAGCCTTAAATTATCCAATACATTATTTGATGCATGACAAATTCAAGGCCGGCATGTTGACTGTAATGGGCATATTTCTCTCAGTCAATGGAATATTAAAGGGAATGTAGCATGGCAAATACTGGTTAACACCATCTATGACTTCTTTTGGACAACTGCACGTGAATGAATGGACTTGATTAACGGTTAGCGTGCTAGCGTTCGCGAAACAGACCAAAGTTCTCCTCACGCTTCGGTTTCGCATATGTTGCACGCACGTGAATACTGCGTTTGTGCCATCCGTAGTCGTAATATACCCGATTGGCCCCCGAGTCAGACCACTGGAAAGACATACCGGTAGTCTGGTCATGCTACACCCCTTTAAAGCTGTTATTCTATGTTTATGTATGTGTGCATGCTCTTTGATCCATCTAGAAATGGGATTGCATCTCTAGTAATGACAGGAGAGGGACAACAATACAAACATTTGCATATTTATCTTAAGATTTATTAACTACCAATCCTTGATTTCTATTTCTCTCACCTTGACCTTGTTTTTCTTGATGCTGGGTCTTCTCGGACCTCCTCTCGTCCTTCCATTAGGCTTCATTCTCCCTCTGCCCGAGATGGGCATTCTACCACCCTGCTAGAAAAAAACAAAGAGGATCAGTAGAATACACTCTATCACCCTGGTATTAAAACACAAATCGTGTATCAATATTCTATCATTCATTCATCCTACTAGAAAAAACAACAGTTCAATATAAAACATGTATCACTATACTTCATCACCCTGCTAGAAAAAAAGAGGTTTGGAGTATCAATACACTTTATCCCCCTGCAAGAAAAATGGAGGTTCAATACGTCAATACACTTTATCACCCTACTACAAAATCAAAAAGCTAAAGAAACAGAACCAGGGAGTACCATTCTCTCCACTCCAGCTACATTGACATGTAATGCATGATAAGGAGTAATTTTACTGAATTTTTGTTATAGAACTACAGCAAGTAAGAAAGGAGGAGAAGGAGAAGGAGGAGGAGGGAGAATGAAGAAGAAGAGTTTGTAATGAATTAGCAGCTTGACACTTGGAGCTCTGTACATTTGTAGACTGGAGGTATAAACAGGTTCATGTGAGTGCATATCAGTCAGTGTCATTATAATTACCATTATCAATTATCATTTTCACTATCATTATTATGATCATGACTATCACAATCAACATCAATAGTACTTCATGAGTAAACGATGACTTACTGTAGGAGATGTTTCATTCTCCATGAATTCATAGGGATCCTTTTCAGGCGAAGGTGGTCTGTTATGGCGCAGCCCTACGTCCATCTCAGCGGGGAAGTCCAAGACCGAAGCGACCGGCTGGACCGGCTTCTCCTCCTTCAGCTTCTTGTGTGGCTGGCAGAAGATCCTGTGTATGATCAATGAACTTATGATAACACCAACTAGCGGACACTCGAGTGCTAGTGTACAGTGTATGATCAATGAACTTATGGTAACACCAACTAGCTGACACTCAAGTGCTAGCGTACAGTGTATGATCAATGAACTTATGGTAACACCGACTAGCCGACACTCGTGTGCTAGTGTGATGTGTATGATCAATGAGCTTATGGTAACACCAACTAGCCGACACTCAAGTGCTAGTGTGATGTGTATGATCAATGAGCTTATGGTAACACCAACTAGCTGACACTCAAGTGCTAGTGTGATGTGTATGATCAATGAACTTATGGTAACACTGACTAGCTGACACTCGAGTACTAATGTGATGTGTATGATACATGAACTTATGGTAACACCGACTAGCTGACATTTGAGTGCTAGTGTACAGTGTACTGTGTATGGTCAATGAGCTTATGGTAACACCAACTAGCCGACACTTAAGTGCTAGTGTACAATGTAGTGTGTATGATCAATGAGCTTATGGTAACACCAACTAGCCGACACTCGAGTGTATGCGTACAATGTACTGTGTATGATCAATGAGCTTATGGTAACACCAACTTACTGACACCCAAGTGCTAGTGTTGCATCACATGGACACTGAAATCATCGACTTAGTGTTTGAGTGGTGTTGCATATTAAATAAGTGCACTTTGGTAAGTGAATGACACTGGAGTGTTAGTGTTGCATAGGCCATTGGACTAAGGTTTTTGTGTTGCACATCATCAATGGAGTTTGATAACAACAAATGATATTCAAGAATTAAGAGTTTAGTTGCATAATCTTTGGACTTTGATCATTGAAAAAGCAGAATACTGGTCTCAAAAACAGATCTCAAATGACAATAACTACACTATAGGTATGTCTTCATCAGCTTGAGATTGCCAAATAGCCCGTTATTTCTGATTTGGGAAATAGGCCCAAAGTTACAAATTGTGTCATCATCAGCTCCAGACTCGACCTCGAAACTCTAGCTCAAGAAATTTTGCTCAGCGTTCACGCATAGTGTGAGTCTCCAGGCTGGTGAAGACGCACCGGACAAATAGCGGGATATTTCGCAAACTAGCCCAAGATATCTTGGGATGATTATCTCAACCAAATATCCCGCTAATTGCAATTGCGGGCTGGTGAGGACGCAAATTAGCTGAATAATTTATGATCGGGTTAGTTAAAATAGCGGGTTATTTGGCAATCTCGAGCTGATGATGACAGGCCTCATAACACGACAGATATATCATAAATCGACACCTGAGGGTTGGTTAGTGTTACATTAAACTAACCAGTTTGTAATTAATCTCATTTTCATTGGCATATCTTCAATGCCAAAATGAAAACAAAAATAAACAAAGAGAAAAAAAAGGGGGGGGGGGGAGACAGTCATTGAGAAGACTAATTTCCTCACCTAAGAAATTAGTTGAACAGCTGGTAAATCAATTATTTCTTTTTGTGGCATCTTGACTATTAATTAGTGATCTAATCCTATAACTAATACCAAAAATGTATTCAAGTGCAGTGTTTTGTGGTGCTAATTTCTCAATTCTAAATGAAGAAGCATTAAACGCATTCATTACATGGTTGATAATTGTCCAACAATGTTAATGAGCATAATTCAAGGAAGAAAGTTAATTTTGGATTTGATTCAAGTTCAATGTAACCCAGTCTCAACATTGATGCTTCCTGACTTGCATTCACACTGAATGCAATTACAAGCCAAACATCGTAGGAGAATCAATGCATAAATAGTCATTATACTTCATAAGCTTTTGAGGTGAATAAAGTGTCTGGTCCATATAGGGTTTGACCCTAAATAATTGCAACTTTAAATCTTGACCATCCCCAAAATCACAAGATTTTAAAGCATGCAAAGGTTCCTGGTTTTAAAGTAATAAATTGGATCAAATTTCACCTTGACCATGCTATATTTTTCATACTTACTCATCGTTATTTGCTGGGTCATAAAGCGAATCAAACATATTTTCATTCTCCTCTCGTTTCTCATAGCTCAACAAGGGCAGAAGAGGTCTCTTTGAGTCCATTTGATGCTCACTTGGTAACCTGAAATTTTGCCACACTTTGTCTTCCTCCTGCTTCACAGGCTCTCTATGCCCAATAGTTCTCCCTGTCAACAGATCTCGCTCAACCTTCAAGTCACCAATCAACCCCACATGATCCATTGAGTGTCCCATATCACAGTTCCTACCCATAGATGATCCTACAGGGCCGCTGCTGGCCTGAGGCATACCCGTCTCCCCGTTCCGTGGGGGCGGGTAGGGGCTCAGCGTGGGCATAGTCCTGTCCCGCTCACTGGGATTGAGACCGCTTCCAGTCGGGGGTGGGATAAGCGGCGACGGCGCCACGGAGGGCGGAGACTCGGTTAGCACGGGGTCCGTCGACCCGGGAGTTCTGAACGCTGCGGGGCTTGGCTTAGGCAGTGCATTGTTTGACGGTTTGCTCTCCTGCGAGACAGGTCCGACCGATGACAACGGCGTTGTGGCCACACCGATCGGGGCTAACCTTGACGAGAGCTCCTGGTCCACGCCAATGAGGTCATCGGTGTGGGTCGCCCGGTGGTGGAACGGAGTAGAAGGGCGTTGGCTACGTTGCTGCCGGTGTACGCTGCCTGAGAACGCGGGATTGCCAATACCAGAATGGCCAGAGTGCGTGGACCCAGTAGACGACGGCGACTTGCTTCGGGATTTCAGCTTCAGCACCTTTTGCCTGGAGCAAGAGAGAAGCAAGACTTATGTCAATGAAGAACCCACATTAAACGATACATTTAATTTGTATAAAAAAGGAAACAAAAGAGGACTCTACTTTAATATAAGAGCATACTACAGCAAAAACAGAGTCCTGGAATTGAATATCTTAATACAGAAATTAGACAAGGATTAATATTTCAATGTTAGCTTGTGAAGTTACAGTTATAAACCAAAGATGAACAATGCTATGATGTATGGTACACGTAGTCTCGTGGATGTTGCCAATGATGTTACAGTTTAAGCCCAGCTATGGCACCAATGCCCTTTACCATGACATTAGTATACATTTATCACACTCTACCTCGGTGTTGCAAAAGGGTACCTGGTAGGAAGAACGTCCTTGAACCTTTCAGCACCTTGGAGCGCTACTATAGCAATAGGACTTTATAAAGACCTTAGCATCCTCTTGCGCAGCTTATGTGCACATTACTAATGTATCAATTAGCTGACTAGCAGCTACTACCTCTATTTTCACTTCTGGCGGCTGAAGAAGAGCAAAAAAGCCAATCCTGTAAACAGCCACGTGTCTTTCATTTTCAATACTCACACTCAACACCTTCAATCACACTAATGTGCTCTATACAGGTTGCTAGGTCCATCCATGCTATACCATTTCCACACACACCATCTAATGATGGTTCACTTTATCAAGAAAAGCGAATTAGGCAAATTAGTGTTGTGCGAGTCGTCAACGAGGCAAGCAGTGTTCGATGGCAAACATGATGCCCTACAACTCTCAAGGGAAACCGAGTCAAGGTGACAAGGAGGTTGGGTGTAATCTAATTTGCAATCTGCCCAGACTACCCCGCCTCCCCCCCCCCCCCCCACAAGAAAATGGGCTGAAGATAGATCCATACATCTCTCAGGGTGGGCAAACCATTCTTTTCGATGAGATGCGCTTTTGAACGTCACAACTGAGCTCTGTTTCACTTTCAAAGCATAAGTTATTGCTGTTGGGGGGGGGGGGGGGGGGGGGTTCCAGCCTAGAATCCTGGCTTTGAAAAACAGCAGCATGGTACATTTTGCTATTCTCAGAGCCTGACCTCATTGTAAACAAAGCACTAATACCATAGTGATATTTTTTTACCAATTGGTCTTTATACATGTTTCAAGGTGCATTTCATAACACATTACTATCATCAAGCTTTCTGAGATCTCAGAAACACAACTGCATGTATGATCTCACACATGATATCATGGCACAATGTTAGTCTCCAACCGCACACCCTACTTCAATCGTTAAAATACAAATCGGGGCCTTAAGTATTTTTCACTATAGATAGACGCTCACAATAAAAAAAAAAAAATGCAGTCATACTATTTCATACCTCTTCAAGTCCCTCCACTTCCTCCTAATTAAAACAAACAAACAAACAAAAATCAAAAACAAAAGATGGAAAATAAAGCAAAATAATCAAAGAAACAAACACCGGAATATTCTACCATGAAAGTGCATGTCAAATTGGTGATTTTGAGCAGTGTTTCATGTTTCCTGATTCTGGCTTCACAAAAACATATGAACGCACTCAGAGATGTGCTTTAGAACATTTAAAGGTGATCTCTGTATGTCAGCTAAGTATAGCAATCATAAAGCCAGCCAACCATATATAATGGATGGCTTCATATTATCCATTGTAGTACTGCCTTGGGGTAGTTTGCAGTGCTTGTACATGAAGAGATCTGAGAGAGAGAGAGAGAGCGGGCGGGCGTTAGAAAAAAAACTATTTCACCAGAGCATGTTTTGATCATTACACGCATGGTTTCATGCAGAATTGAGCTTGACCTTTGACACTTGGTCCGCTCATCGTGTCTAATGAATATACCAGTGCGATAGTTGTGATAAGAAAAGAAACATGTCATGTACGTTGAAGTCAGGTCCATGTCTGTATGAATGCTCCACTAACTTTTGCCTAACACAATAATATTCCCAAAAATGAATCCTCCAATTCTTAAATTGTCAGAAATTCTATTAAATTGTATTAAATCAAATCAGTGTTCAGAAGACACAATCAGTCATGGATCTGAAAATGACCATTAAGCAGCTATCATAACAAAGACACACTTAAATCATAATTCTCATTACTTCTCAAAATAAGGTATCAAATTTGATTAGTTCTTATTCTTGACTGATATGCCACACTTCATGTGTTGTGCAACATCACAATTCACAACATCGATTCAAAGTCGGGGGAATGCAGGAGTGGATTCTACCTCCAGACACTGTATCATATGGCGTATTACATGTCTTATTACAAGTGCCATCTTATCTGGTGAGGCATGCAATATTAATCATCCACCGTGCCTGATCCTACCCATACACATCCATTGTCATTGTTACCGAGGCATGAGTAGCAGCATACATACATCTACCCATCACTACGCATGCAGACGGTGTATCTGACTGAAATAAAGTGGACTTTAAACCCATACTTGAGACCCGGTATCAATCAAACCTTTATTGTGTCAACCTAACCAATGGAGGAGGGAGAGGGGTGTGAGAGTGGCCCGCTTGATGGGGGGGGGGGGGGGGGGTCACCCCTGCTCATCGAGTACACCGCTTGAGTCAACATACAGCAATCCTTGGTGCCATCATTGTCTTGTCAGTTGACAGTGAATTGGATCAGAAATACACATGTCCAGATGATTTGTTATTGGGACCATCGGTTTCACCCTGATTGAAGTGAACTACATATAACAGATTGTGATCATGAGATTGAGTTCACTCAAGAAGTTCATTCATTTCATCTGAACACAAAACAGTTTACTATGATCTATTATCATCTACATTTGTTACAATTTAAGTAAATATGTCTATCTTTGCTAATTTTTAAAATTATTGTCTTTAATCATTAGTGCATCATCTTGATACAATATTTTTTTTGAATGTATCTGAAAAGAAAAAGCAAAGTACAAAGAGTAAAGTGAAGTAAAAAAAAAATAAAAAAATAAAAAACCCTAAGAAGTTCATTCATTTCATCCGACCACAAAACAGTTTACTATGATCTATTATCATCTACATTCTTTACTATCTATGTGTCTTTGCTAATGTCTTAATTATAGTCTTTAGTCATCAGTGCATCATCTTGATATAAAAAAAGTTTTGGGGGGTAATATATCAGAAAAGAAAAGCCAAGTACAAAGAGTAAAGTAATGAAATTCTGTTCGCGTAAAAGGGAAGGGGAAGGGGACAAAACTTAAACCCCTACCCCCAAATTAAAAAAAGGGGGATCTTGGTGAAATAACAGGTGAAGAAACACATTTCAATTCTTTTTCTTTTTCCCACCACTATGAAAAAATATCCTTTTACAAAGGCAGGGGGATGAATTTATGATAATTCCTCAATGTGGGCTATCTACTTGCTAAGCAAAAATCAGTCACTGATACTATTTCAAATTCAAATTCCAACAAAACATTACAAATCAATTACAAGCATTTAAAACAAATTTAAGAAATACATGTTGGGAACAGAGGGGTCCACTAAAAAGCAATGCTTGTACAAGTGTGAACACCTCAAATGAAACTTAGGAATAATGAGTAATTAATTTAACTAATCTGTAACTACAAAAGGAACTACAAAATAGGGGAAAGAAAAAGGGGGATGCCAACAGAGACGAGAAAGGGACAAGACAATACTTTACACGACAAAGATAGAAGAACACAGTCATAATACAAAGAGTAGACAATGACAAAAAGAAGTGAGAGATCGAGGGTACAGAAAATAATACTAAATGATGAGCTGCATGTGAGGTTGAGAAGAAGATAAGGAAAGAGAAATGCGCCTTAGAAAGGAAATAAGCATGAGAAGGAACAATATAATATATCAAATTACATCTTGAGTCAGCGAGCGGAGAATGATCTTGTATTAAGCAAAAGCAACTATTAAAGGAACATACATGCAAATACATGTACATTTTTTTTTCCTGTTCTGTGCATCAATCAGAAACAGGACACTTTTTATCTCACAGTCAATCTTGAACATTTAAGACAGCCGTGGGGGGCTTGAAATACAAGATAAACATTGTGAGCGAATGATATGTGATAGGCTCAAATTGCAGCATAAATTAATGCGACTCATGTTCCCCTTTACAGAAGTATTCAGCATTTTTTATTATTATCCATGCATTTTATCTCTTTCAGCAATGTTTTTTTTTAAATTCTAGTGTATTCAAGTAAACCATCATACTTCAATACAAAAATGACTTACTATTATTTATAAGATAATATATAATATATAAATCAGTAAAGTGCTTTGAGGCACCAGTGATGTATTGACTGCTACATCAAATCATATGATGATTATTATCATCATCATATTTTCTTCTTTCTCTCTGTTTTAATTATTGGTCACTAAATTGTAATATGGTTTATTTCATGAAATGAGGGGGGGGGGGGCAGGGGTTCAAACAATAATATATACGGATGTCTTCTAAGAATAATTGTTAATGCATTTAGAATATGAATGCATGTACATTTATATAACACTTACTCGAACTGTAACCAATTATTCCCGGAACCTGACAAATAACGATCAATAAACTCACAACTCTAAAGGCAAAGAATGCAGAGCTATTACTCAAATGACTGCACAGATTAAATCATGCACAAGTGAATGCGTAATCTTTCTTTTCTATCCTGTAATTATGATGAACAAACAGACATGAATGCTTCCATGTTTGTGTGCTTATTTAAATGCACCGATCCAGACTTTGGAATATTGGATTTCAAAATGATATGTTGTGGTTTGAGTTACAGAACATACAGGACATTCACAGGTACACAATACTGTCTGTGTGTAGGAAATACGATTAGACGCATGAATGTAACTTTGCTTCCCTTCGCTAGACATGAAATCAGATACAGCTTCCTTCCTCAACGACCGATCAATTTAGATCAAGATAAATGGAGATGAGAGAGGGATAGGAAGAGGAGTCAAGCACAGAGACAAGAGGGACAAAGTGAGTGAGGGAGAGAGAGAGAGAGAGAGAGAGAGAGAGAGAGAGAGATTGAGAGAGGGAGAAAAGAGTGAGAGAGAGAGGAAGAGAGAGAGAGAGAGAAGAGAAAGAGAGAGAGAGAGAGAGAGGGAGACAGAGAGATAGACTGAGCAAGTGAGGGGGAGAGGGAGAGAGCGAAAGAGATAGAGAGTGAGGGGTGACAGAGACAGAGAAAGAGACAGACCGAGCGAGTGAGAGGGAGAGAGTGAAGGGGAGAAACTGAGAGACAGAGGGTAAGAGAGAGAGAGAGGGTGAGAGAGAGAGAGAGAGAGAGAGAGAATAGATACAGAAAGAAAGAGAGAGAGAGATAGATAGAGAAAGAGAGAGAAAGAGCAAGTGAGCATGATACATTCAGATTTCATGCCTCATATCAGCAGCTCATAACCAATAAAGAGCATTGACTGAAGAGCTATGAAGCATCACATACCGATAATATTGCAATTAACGGAGTGCGAGTCACCCACGCGTTTGTATCTGGAATTGGCTAAAAACTTCATACATGATACTTTCAAAGATTTCCTTCAAGTTATCAATAACACCTGCAAATCCAGGTAATTGATTCAGAATTTAGTAGTTGCCTTTCAAAAATACTGCTTATAATTATACACTAAAAGCAAACAAATAGATAAACACAGCCTACCAATCTAGCTCAAAAGAAAACAATAATAACAAAACAAAAATAGAAGATCTTTCCACTCATTTATGAATGTATTTATAAATTGACTATATTCCGTAGAGGTCTCAGTGTCTGGTGAATATGTCACCTGACTGTGGATCACCTGACTGTGGATCACATGGTTTGTGGTTCAAGTCCTGCAGTGGCACTCATGTCCTTTGGCAAGAGAGTTATCTACCTTTGCTACTCTCCACCCAGGTGTTAAATGGGTGTGAATATTATTATGGTTAGATTGGCATTTGTGCGCTTGTAATATGGTGCCTGGCTTGAATACTCCACGGATAGCAGAGCATGTACATGTACACTATTATATGTTGATAAGCAATTGAACCAAATAACCGCGGTAATAATAATCATAATTACAATGTAAAGGGCTTGGAAACGTAGCATCAAGCACTATACAAATGTGACTATTATTTTTTATCAATATGAATACATTGGTCTATAATATCCAATTAGAGCGACTACAGTCATAAGTTCAAGGTGTCGTAATAAAAAGTATACTTGTAACAAATATCCCTATCGACAAGATAAGGCCACATGGCTTTGGAGATACAAACTTGTGTTACGAAAATGAACACTAAATGCTTGTTCCCGGAAATATTATGAGAAAGCTGTATCAATATTTGATGGAAGCATAAAATTTGATTCCGAGGGTATTGAGTGGTCTTTTCCCTGTAACTGAATCCAAAGTGCAAATGGCTAGGATTGCCGACAGGATAACCAGGGATCTCAAGTGTGTAAATCAGATTTTGTTATCTTTTCTTCTTTGTGTTTTGAAGAACTGAATTCTAAAGAAAACTGCCATGATGTCTTCCCGATAATGATCCTAAGATAAATTAAAAACAGTGACAACACTGCATAGGAACAGAGAACAAATTTTGCTTTGGAAAAAAAGAAAATTATATATTCCTCGCCGCCCCCCCCCCCCCCCACCCTTCAACAAGAAAAAGAAAAATCACAATTTTTCCTTGAAACTAGAGCTCCATAACCAAAACACTGTATGCACCAAAATAAAAGTTACAAAAGCATGTCAATCTACCATCTTACACTTATGAATAAAAATAAACCGAAACACATCTCTTTATGCTCCTGATTTTTATCAATCTCCATACCTACTCGTTTTACCCAGCTCTTTCGTTGGTCCATCTTTTTTCACTTTCATAAAAGACATTGGGGTGGAATTCTCGTTTTCACTTTCATAACAGATATTTGGGTGTAATTTACAACAAAAAAGGGGTACTTCCCCTAATACATGTACAGTACATGAAGGTCTAGACATCTATATCTTTTCACTTTCATAAAAGACATGTGGGAGTGTAATTCACATTCAAGAGGTACTTCCCCCCTGTGAGTCTAGACAATAACCCGGGGCAGGTGCTGAAGGCCACGGAGCATCACAGTGTGTGTACGTGTGTGTATACTCCATGAACTCTCATCTTTTTGAAAAACATTTGATGAACAAAGCACTCAAACAAAGAGGATGTTTAACCGTCTATCACTTAGTACCGTTAGAGAGTTTAACATTCACATACAAGTACCTACATACATGTACGCATATGTTTTTGTCCTATGTATTTGCACAATGTCAACACAGTGCATGTACTCACACAAAAGGTCCCATTCATCACTCTAACCCCAAGACACTATGCTACTCTAGTATTCATTTCTTTTCAATGATCTACCATTAAAATATAGTGATCGCACAGGAATAATGCTGTTCATCCAAACATCGTTTACCACATAATATCACCCATAGCAACCATCACATCCAGATGTCACTCTGACAAAACATACCATATTTTGGGATATAGCCTGATGAGCTACTAAATGCTATATTATCATATCCAAAATACTACATGAACATATTCAGTATTTTGAAGCAACCAGATCGCAATTTGAAGTAGATATATCAGTGCATAATTGATTTTCATTTCAGAAATATGCAATAATACAAAAGGGCAAAGGATAAGAAAAGGAAAAGAAAAAAAAATGTCAATACTGGAGTGTGGGCTCAGTCAGTAGAGTGTCCGCCTCACAACCGGGAGGTCGTGGGTTCGAACCCCGGCCGCATCATACCAAAAGACGTTAAAAGATGGGAGTTGTTGCTACCTTGTTTGGCGTTCAACAATAAGGGATAGAGCAACGTCGATCTGGCGCTGCTCAGCGGCTGCCGGGCTCACGATCAATTGGGCAAAAAGAATTTCTGTTTCGGTTTAATAAAATTTGGAGTGGACTATTAGGCTATTATTATTATTATTATTATCCTTTAAAAAAATACATTAATTATATTAAAGGGAAATCAGATTGCAAGAAAAATGAAGATACACCATTAAACCACACAATATCCAATCCATGTCATTTGAGTAAGTGATCAAATATTTCCTACTCGTTAAAATGAGGTCTACCCCGTCTATCCATGAGGTTAATCAAATACATCCTCAGTATGCACAGGTTATGATTGAGATAATCTACATAGCGGGGAACAGAAGAAAGAAGTACTCAAGGAAGATGCAACCAACCCATATTTATTTACGTATTTGCTGCATATCCATAAGGATGTGATCTTATGGCCAGTTGACTAACTGGCACCTCATCGCGGCACTCAAAAACAAGATGATGACACATGATTCTCAGGGGGGTGTTTCACAAAGATCCTAAGTTGAACTTATCTCTCAGTTGGACTTAACAATTATGGAAAGCCGTTAGCATCTATGAAAATGTTTTGTAACAGTTATTTCAAAAGGCATAAAATGTTGATACAAATTATTCATATTTTCTATAGTCAAGGAGATTTCATGTTCTTGATGTGGAATTTATAAAAAAAGTCTAAAATACTTCAATTTTCCCTTTTGAATAAATTTCATTTTAAGGCTACAAATGGCTCTCCATACTTTTTAAGTCCAACTTAGAGTTAAGTTCGACTTAGAATCTTTGTGAAACACCCCCCAGCTCGACACCTTCCAAACACCTTTAGGACCTATGAATACTGAAGCCTGCAGGCACAAACCCTCATCAGTCGTGACAGGGTGTCCGCACTGCAAGATTATTCAGAGTACACGGTCTAGTCTACTGCTCGCTCGACATAGGGCTCTGTACTGTAGAGACTGACAGAGGTAGGCTCGACTCAAGGCTTCTCGAGTAGAAGTGTGGTAGTCGAGTGGTTTAAGCACTTGACTTGAAATTCAAAGAAAAAGGGTTTGATTCCCGACACGGCACTTTCGTCCTTTGGCAGGGCATTAATCTACATTTGCCATTTAATACCCAAGACAGAAATGGGGACCCAGTAAGGATGACGAAAGCATTTGTGTTAGTAATTGCCTGTGCCCTAACACTGACCATAAGGTAGGAATACTCCCCAGGGAGTGGAGAACATGCATATTATGCGTGAATGAATTTGATGACCGGGGTAATGACATCTGTCAAGCGGTATTCTGCATTAAGCGCTTTATAAGTCCAGATAAATACAGTCAAACCTGCTTTAGTGACCACCTGTCTACAAAGACCGCATTTTTTGTTTCCCTTGCATATCGTTTCTCATTTCTCATTTCTCCTTGTACATACACTAAAGGAACCTGTCTTCAAAGACCACCTGTCTACAAAGACCACTTTTTGAGTTTCCCTTGGGCGGTCGCTATAGACAGGTTTGACTGTATTATTATCATTAGGGATTGCGGTTAGCTGTCCAATTAGAGCCTGTGCCTCAAGACTATGCTTATACTGCATGTCTATGGCAGCGGCGGGCGGTGAGTGCTGTCCGTGCAGGCAGGAAATAAGCGTAGGAAACAGCTGTTTTTGATTTGGGGAGATTGAGGTGTGAGATAAGGCATTTTAAGCTGCCTTCCAGAGCGCTCCCTCTGTACGCAGTTATTTATGGTCATCGACAGAACGACACGATATATAGGAAATCATGTTGATATCTGGAGCTGTAGTTTAACCACCAATTCCTTGGGAGCATCTACAACTTCCTCAACACATGAGTCCCCCGTCAAAACTTTGACATTTTGAAAGGTAACGATATTGAATCATTTTGGCAGTGTCCTTCTACAAAATGATAACATAATTTTGGTTTGTTTACTTTTGTAAAGCTAAACGCTTATTGATTTTAGATATTGATGTAATGTATCATTGCATATCTAAATTCCCTGCTTGGAATCATTCAAACTAATGATTATTATCATTATCATATTTTAAAATGGTAAAATACTGCCCCACTTTTGTAGTAAGAGAACTCTTTGAAAACTGTGGAGATGAAAAATGCAGCTATGGCTTGTTAGAAAGATGCAATCGTACATTAGGCTTTTCATTCTGAAAGTGGGTTGATATTCCAGTGTTTTTAAATCAATAATGTATCATTGCCCTGAATGTTTCTAAGCAAAGGATCAAAACTATCAGCGTCAGAATCACCACCCTTTCAAAATGGTGTGAAATCCATTCATGTCTAAAATCAATTAAACTCTTCTGATCGAGAAACAATTGCACTGAAAATGTGTTCATTAGTTATAGGACATAGTCTGCTTACACAGGCTCGGTCCCTGATGTGAGGTCATAATAAAAATAATATTCTGCTTTTAAATAGCGCTTAATAGCGCTTTACAGATATACTATTACCCCGGTCATGGGATTCAGTGCTTTTCCGCACACACTGTGTATACACTCTCCACTCCCTGGGGAGCATTCCAGCCAGGCATTACTTGACACTCAAAAACTGTTTGACCAACAATGACGGTCGCATCCTACCGGGCACCCATTTAAGACCTGGGTGGAGAGTTGCAAGTGCAGGTTAATATCTTGCCAAAGGATATTAGTGCTGTGTCTGGATTCGAACCCTCGACCTTCGCATCTCCAGTCAAGAGCCTTAAACCACATGGCCACAATATATCCTGGTATCCTCGTATATCTTAGATCCCGAGAGGTGCTTTTATTTGTGTCAATTTTTGATTGTCCGATTCACAGCTCACCTAAAACTTACACAAATGGAATGTCATCTGCAAGCTCCCTGGTTTCTAGTGATAAATTATCTGCCATACTTTTAATTCTCATTGACCGTCTACTTTACTTTTAATATAAAAGCATCATATTCAATTAAACAAACCAGACCCGACAAAAAGTACTCAGCAAACGAATCCTCTTCACCATAATTTATATAACCGTCCTCATGCAGGTGCGTGGAAATGCCGTCTGTGCTTTTGTGGTTTGTTACCACTCACTCTATGGGATCTAAACATTGAGGTCTGTGGGTTTCCTCCTATCCAATCTCTCTCTCTCTCTCTCTCTCTCTTTACATGATAGCCTCATATTGCCATTGATTAAACCCCCTATTCACACATGGAAAATATATGGTTTATCAACTCTAGATCTATACAATATTTAATCAAATTATCATTGTGAGAATCTTTGAATAAAACAAGACTATGAGGGTGAAGGTTATTTATTTATATGTCTGTAAAGCACTTAGGCCCATCGCTGGATCGATGTATTGAGCGCTATATAAACACAGAATATTATTATTATTATTATTATTATTAACACAGCTTTCAATGGATGAAACATTTAAACCACAAGCTATCTACAAACGGGTCTTTTGATTATCGAAGAGTTTGCAGTATATTGCAGATATCTCACCTTGAGCAAGCGCAATCCGTCTTCGAGGAAGGGTCGTGGAACTGCCAGGTGATCTGGTTGGCCGTAGGGGAGGGTTGGGGCGGGGGCACCAAGGATGGCTTGGTCTCCAAGCTTGAGTTGTTATCTTCCGTACTAATACTGCAAGGTTCAAGTGACGACTGCTGGCTACTGATGGATAATGATGATAGGAGAAATGAGATTAAAATCAATATGCAGCAACAGTAATTGAAGGATAATTCTTATCAATGTTTCTTATGCAATAATAGTATTTGAAGAATCCTTCTCATTGTTGTTTCTTATGTAATGATGGTATTTGAAGAATCCTTCTTATCATTGTTTCTTATGCAATTATGGTATTTGAAAAATACTTCTCATTGTTGTTTCTTATGCAGTAATGGTATTTTAAGAATACTTCTCATTGTTGTTTCTTATGCAATTATGGTATTTGAAAAATATTTCTTATTGTTTCTTATGCAATGATGGTATTTATGGTGTTTGAAAAATAATTCTCATTTTTTTTTTCCTTATGCAATGATGGTATAGAGTCCATAAACTTTAAGTCTAGCTCATGGTTAGAAAATCCCAGGAGTTAAAGGCAATGCTAATGCACTCATGGTATCCAAACAAAGTTGACTCAAAAGTTTTTGAATTTCCCCTGATTTGGGGATATATTTCATATTCCCTGACTGGGAAAAGGGAAACTCATTTCCCAGATTTTTCCTTGATTTCCAAGATAGCTGAAAACTGTGCATCATTCTGCAGAACTCAATGACAGGTTGTCAGTTTTCTCTGAAGGCCACTTCGGTTACACCCTACACACAGCAAATTGCGAAGTGTGAAATTTTCACACACTTTTTACAGACTGAACTGTAACCTACAAAGCATACTTGTGACGTTAATTGATGGTTAAATGTACATGTACTTTACACTGTGTTATGTAAATAATGCCTGATTCATTTATGGTATAACATAATACAGTGTGAGTAAAATTGTATGGTGTGAGGCCGCCATAATGAGATAGCTAAATTGAATTTACTGTTCTTGTACTACCACTATCACTACCATTATTACTATAACTACCAAGACTACTTTTACTTATTACTACTATTTAATACTACTTCTACTACTACCACTACCACTACTACTACTACTAATAATAATAATGCATGGACTCATAAAGCACTTTTCCATTAACAAAAGGCTGAATTTCTCTCTACCATATATATCCATTTACTTCACCCTTCACCTGGGTCGAGAGTGGCAAATGTAGATAAAATGATACTCACCTCATTGTTCCAGTATTACCACTTGTATTGGTGATGGTACCCGGAGTAGAAGCCATGGAGCCATTAGGCAGGGTACCACCACCACCAGCACCACCGCTAGGGGGCGTGGGAGGTGCGGTCTCCGTCAGCCACTGGGACCACACCTTGGAGGTGACCTTGTGGATGAGGGCTCCGGTGCAGGAGTCGTCTCCGTCGTCTCCCAGGCTGGGATCCAGGGTGGAGCCTCCCGTGTAGAGGGCTCCTGATCCATCTCCGGGCGGGAGCTGCTGGTCGGGAGGGGAGGTCGGAGGGGTGAGGGCAACAGATGACAATCCTGTAGAAAAGAGAAGAAAGACAGTTAGCCTGTATAATTGAATTGTAAAAGCAACAAAATACAATAATAAAAGTAAAGAGAGCAACAACAAAAAAGAGAATTAGCATATTAAATTTCAAGGTATGCAAAGGCCCCTGAAATGACATGCTGAATCCCTCAAAATTTAAAAATCTAAACATGGACCTGGTACAGATAGACCCTCAATATTTTTATCCAATTTTAAGGGGAAAAGGTACCATGCTGTAGCCATCTTCATTTCGTACACATTTCATACATTAATAAACCCTGAAGAACATGCCTCCAATATTCCTTTACATATATCATTTTTACAGAATTTGATGTTTTGATAACCTTTAAAGCCCAACTGTACTAATTTACAGGAGGAATTAGTCCACCCTGTAAGGTCACTGACAGGTGGTTATCTCATCGAATCAGCTCTTAATTAACATTAGAAAAAGAGGATCATGGAGGATGGGGGACCAATGGTCACCGATTAGGCATCACTTTCTTGCCCTACATGTATGGTGAGGCAAATTGGTTCTTGAACTTTTATCCAACATATGGACAGTGAACTCTTTAATTGTCTCGCCTCCATTAATCTTTCACTAGCAGTGGCATTAAGATACATAAATTATAATTTTTGTACATGATGCTGGTACAGGCAATGCACATGCCACTGTATTTGATGGTGTGGTACTAATATACCAGTTCACGATTAGCACATGTCCCAAATGACCCCGAATATCCACAGATCTTCAAAACATGGAGAGGTCCCACTTTGTACATTTTGAAATAATCACTCCTACAGCCATGGAGGTGCTACATAAATAGCCCTGGTTTTTTCCTTTTCAAAGAATACTTCCACCTGTGTATCATGGAGTGCACTGCTTGTGCATAAATGAATAATGATTACATAACTTTCATGAGTGGGTATCCAGTGTTTTGTCTCTATGTATTTCACAATTTGGTCTGCAATGACTTTTATCTGCTCATGCTCAGACTGCAACTATTAACTGGCTTATCGCTCCATGGTCAAGTTTGAACTTTGAACTTTGAACTTTGAACTTTGAACCCTAGATTCAACACCATACCTAACCCTGACCCTAAATCTAGCCTTGACCCAATCACAACCAAAGCCCAAACATTATATCTGACAACGTAAAGCCAAGAGCAAATGTCCCACAGCTAATGTTGCATCACTCAATACATGTATGCTATTATACAGTCTTTGAATAATATTAATCTCTGAGATTTATATCAGCATCCTTGGTGAATTCTCAATTATATTCATAGTTTGATTTCAATCATTTTATGTATTCGTGGTGATGGTGGTGGATAAGAGCACCGTATAAACATTCAATATTATCATCATCATTCATCAATGCAAGAGTAACAGATATGAATTGAATTTGATTACTTGGTCTGAATTATGAATTTTAGTCTGCATTTTGTGTTATTTATGTTCAAATCAATTGTATTATTCTGTATCCATTTGTATCTTGTTGATGTTTAATAATCTGTAATTCTTTATCGACATGCAAAGGAAACAAATTTCCAATAATTGGACAATAAAATTTGAATCGAATGTTGGTAAGCCTAACTTTGGGGATCTGATCTATCATATTCCCGTCATAGTTCTCAACATATGCTCAGGAACATACGTTGAGTACCCTACACGGTCGTACGTAGGTGTAATACCGTCAATGTCGAGTGAAACCACAAAGTCTCATGATAAATTGCTTCCTTCTACTTTCACTGTTAAACTCATCATAATGTACTATTATTATCCTGTTTAAAGTACACGATTCTTAGCACATGGTTATTTTAAATTGAATTGCAATAGCGAGGTTCACACGGCTGCCTGTTAGCTTTAATTTTAGGTTGTGGTTTTAAACATAAGACATAAAAATTAGAATTTGATAAACGATCATTAAACAATGATATAATAATTGTAATACTTTGTCATGGGTCAGAATATTATTACCAAATGAAAACATATTCCAACAATAAATTTCAAATTCATTCATATTGTTATATCGACCAAGCAGTATTTAATAATACGAAAAGTTTATGTAGATGATTATAATGAAACAAACCTTAAATGATATTATTTTTAAATTTTTTATCAAAGATATGTGGCAAATTACATAAAGAAGGGGAAATTTGCGATGGAACGAATTAAATCTTACGAAAGAACAAATTAAAGGGAATATATGTGCGTAGTTATTCCAGAAATATTAAAGAAGAATTATTACACAGTATCATTTGAAGTTATCTTGTGATTAGGGACAGTGAAACTTCAAGTAAACTGGAAGTAGTAAATCACGACAGATCTTAAGGTTAGCAGGATGACTACAAGCACAAGGGTTCTCACACTGAGTTATAAATGTGCCAGTCGGAGGCAATGAACTTTGAGGATGCGCAAGCTTGTAGAATGATTACTTTCCATGGCTTGTAAGTTGTAGTTAACTTTGAATACTTGTTGTTTCGGTCCTTTGTGAACCCTCATCGTCGTTAGTGGATCATTGTTTATAACTTCAAGGTTTCGCAAACTTAAAGTTTAAAGCTATGGCGGATCCGTGTGAACATGGCTTGTGGTGCTCACTCGCAATTCAGATTGACGTGCATGCAGTTTGCTATTAACAGGATCCTTAAGAAAGTGGTCAATTACAAAGACATTTCGAGGAAGTCTAGTTTCACTTGTTCATCAGTAAGTTTTAGAATAGAAAGGCAATGGACTCAAAGGCTACATGTGGAATAGACCTGTAGGGTATTAGTGCATTTCAATTTATGCATTTTTCTCCCCGGAACCCTTGGTAATCGACAAGTTTTAATTCACCTGCTATGCATAATAGCATTTCATTAGGTGGAATCCACTTTTCATGCATTGTATGTTGATATGTCTGGCAAGCCTCTGGAAAAGCTTTGAGCTGTCGAGAGAAACTTTAGTTCCAGAATTCTGCATAAACCCACTATTTGTTTGACAATGAATTACGAGACAGTACTCATTTATTTGTAAACTGTAGAAAAACCCAACTGTTTTGGATAAGATTTAGTTAAATTGTCCAGAAAATTTACATTGATTTTCCGTTTGGTGTCTCTTTTTTTATTCAATGCTATGGTATTAAAAATAAATCAGTATAAAAGTCTGAACTCTTTAATCATTGATGCAAAAAAAGCAATCTATTTAACATTCATTCAAGTAAAAAAATCCTTCATCAGTATTTCATGGATTATCAATATTCTTTGTTTAAAATATTGATTTGTAATCGCTTAGAAATGGTATCGCATTGCAAACCTCAAGTTTATGCATGTTCAAAAACAGCATTATCCAGGAAAATGTTATACATGTAGACCAAATGGGTAGTACACTTATTGGAGATTAGACCAAATGACTATTAGCCTAAACGGTCATTAGACCAAATGATTAGTAGACAAAATGATTATGAGACCATGTGGATAGGAGACTGGCTGGGTGTAGACCAATTGGGTAGTAGATGAACTAGTTATAGACCAAATGACTATGAACCCTTTATCACTACTATCAATATAACCTCACTTTAATAGAATTGGCACTCAACTCATTTTAAAATGGGAAACATATTAAGAATAACCTCCCAGAGGCACATTTCATATTTTACGATGCAACAGTCTATACCGCATACAACTTATTCATGAAGAATTAGATTCTAATCAATGAATTTCTAAGAAATTGAAGAGGCCATGGCAGTGGAATATTACATTGATGTATCTGCCATACATACAAAGCAATTTAAATATGTCTGTGCTACCTCAAAATAAGGTTATACAGGTAAATGTGGTACCTTCTTGAATTTACTGGCAGTATTTGATCAATTTGAATTCATATTCATTTTTTCATTTTTTTCATATAAACCATCAACAAAATAGAATAAAAGATATATAAAAACGAGAAAAACCAGCGGTTTTCGCTTCCAGTGTAAAGCAGCTCAAACAGAAATTGCATTTACCAGGTCAATTTACACAATCAATCTCTTACGGAGTGAAGAGCAATATCATCTGCATACCAATCTAATTTGCATGTGATCCTGGTAGCGATAAATCTTCATGAACACATTGGCGATTTATTCATGGTCGAGTTGCACGAGCATTGGAATATTTCCCCCACCCCGAACGATCGATATCTAAATCATCACCTCCCAGATGAGGTATGGAGGTGCATGCACTGTGAATGATAATGGATCATTTGGATTTTCCGATGAAAGAACCCAATTACGTTCTATTTGTCCATCGATAAGCTAACCTTCACCTTGAGTTCTAATTTTAGAAACGAGCCTGAACACACTATATCCTCTCCATGACAATGACATTGAATGAGTGAGCAACATGAGCTGAGTATGTGAATGCACAGATGTGTAGAAAGTGTTAAATGCTTTCTATACATTTGTGGATTCACAAGGATACAGACACTTAATCGGGAAAGACAATGGAGTTGTACAATGCATATTTATAATGTTGTATTGCTGTTTGAACTCGGCCTGGAAATTATCTTGGCATATGCCATATTATATACCGGTACTCTAAGCACAGATACATCATAATTAGACATGACATCACACCATTATAAGAATCTTTACAATATATTCAATTTGTATCAATCACTTGGAGAAAAAATAATTTGTGTACAGCTAGAATGTGTAAAATCAACCAGCAAAAATACTTTACCTGGAATTATAGCGTTTAATTTAAGGCCACCCTCAATTACAAGGAATGAATTGTCAGATATGATAGTATAGATATATCGGAAGAAGAATTTATCATTGAGTGGCTAAACAAACCAAAAGTAGAAATTAAAACAAACAAAAATGAATTTTACTCTTTATACAAATTTTCTAATCACGGAAACATGAACCATACATTGTAAAATTTTATAACTTCCTCAATAAAATTCACATGAATTTTTGTTTTATTATAATTTGTTATTGTTTAATGCGCCTTGGGTGCAATTATAATCAGTAGATAATCTACAATCTACAATCTTCAAATCTACAATTCTTATTCATGTTATGGTATTATATTTTCAACTAACCGTTACTAAGAATTATCTCAATTTCATAATGTTACCGTCTATGCCTGGCTTATTTCCTGTTCAGAGTCAGAAAAGCATTATTTCTGAGCTAATAGCCTCCTTGCTGCAAACAGACGATATTCTTGTTTGAACCGAGTGGCCTACGTTCTTGAAGATGCCACCACCTCGCAAGTTTCGAGCATGGCAGAGGTCAACACATTAGGACATCATCATCACTCCTTTCCAGATAAGGACAAACTTGTGATATGTCAATCACCATCCTTCGTCCACCCATGTAGCGAATTTTAAAGCCCCACTGCATTACTTTAAGCTGCTTGCGCCCTCTATATCGCAAACAATGCTTAAGCGGTGCCTGTTAGTCCCCCATGATCCCCTTTTTCTTATTTAATTGAGAGCTAATTTGATGAGATAACCACCTGCCAGTGACCTTGCAGGGAGGTCTAATCCCCTGGTCAAACTAGCGCAGACGGGCTTTAAAGCCCATCTTTGCTTTTGTCTTTTACTTCCAAATGACTGGTCAATGTGATATATACAATGATTATTCTTAAACATATTATGTTACAATTGAATGACATTACTGGTAGTAAGAATAAACACATGTTTCCTGTACAGATGTAAACAGGAGAACTCTTGAAGACGGTGATTTGAGATTGTCTTCATTCAGATTGAAGGTACAGTGTAACAATGCTCAATCACTCCAAACTAACCAACCCGAACATGATCTATTATTGGTCATTCATGGTAATAAAAAAATTCTGTTCAGTCTGTTGTCAGTCTGGGCATGGTTTCACAAACCGCCTTAAGTATAAGTTCACCGACATCTCACTGAAACACATGTTAATTCTAATACAAGTCTGGTGTTTCAATGGGATGTCGGTGAACTTGTATTCAAGCCCGTTTTGAAATGCTGCCCTGTGCCCTATTGCACAAAACTTAACATTGATGGTAACTTTGCCGTTAATGGAACTGGCAGAATACCAAATTAGAAGAAGTTTCTTGCCGAGATGTTTTGGCTTTACAGTATCATCCTGCACATGTACTTTTGATGCTATAGTGTACAAGTTGTTTAAAGTCGTTTTGGCGATGAAAGTATGAATACAAGTTGCGTTACTCACCTGGTGTAGCAGGTCCATTGATCTTGCCATGCCCCAGCCCCATGGAAGGGGGCGGGATGTAGCCCCCTGCCTGGACAGCCATAGCATGATGATGGGAGAACTCACTCTGAGGTACCAACACATAGCAGCTGGGATAGAGCATGCGGATTCCGCCCGTCAGGTAGCCATCCGTTAGGTAACTCCCTGCAAGGAGAAGAGAAACATTAAGGTTAAATTGTGACAAAGCTTGTACACTTGAAGCTGTATGTAAAACTGTTGAAATAAAACAATACAGGGCTTCATTGTTAGTTTTAGGCAGGTAAAACTGCTACAAATATGATTCCTGTCAGGTAACCATCACTTAACGTCAAATAACTCCCTTTAAGAAGAACAAAGGAAAGGAAGCAAACATCTTAATTTAAATATCACAACAACAATAAAGATATGAAGAGGTGAACATGTAAATGAACAGCAACTGCGCACAATAAAAGGTTGCACACCTATTTGATCAGCTTTGTTATGAGACACTGAAATGGATATGTATTACACTTACATAATTATTTTTTAGAAAATGACACGGTTCACCCCATATGTCTGACCATGGACCCTACCACAAATCCATGGTCTGTCTGAACAGAGCTTTGTACCATGTAAACTGTGTATTAAGGCCACCCAAGAGATCGAATGAAACGTCGTAACGGATCTCCATAGGCAGGTAAAACGGTTTTAAAACGGGTAAATCAAAATAGTTCAATCAAGCTTTCAATGAAGATCACTGGAATGAAAAGAGGCCAGACTGTATGGCAGGTTACACCATTACTAAGTAACAGTTGATCCCGTAAATACAAATTAGTCAAGGAAATTATATAGGGCTGATGACTATATTAGATGGTTTAACCAATGATAAAGAAAATTAGATTAAAAACATAAAGACTGCTCAAGAGAAATGATGGCTCAAAGGAAAGCTATCTTTGTAGACAGGTGGTTTTAAAAATATTGAAAATGTGTGGTAGCAAAGACAAGAATTTGACATTTCTGGCCACTTTTACTTTTAGTGATGACAGCACGAGTCATCTGTTTGATCAAATTGATTACCATCAGAACGGCCAATTGTGAGTGTCATACAGCCACACAGGTCAGGGTTTTTTCCCTCCTTTTTTTGCTTCCGTCTTTTCAAAGGGCACACCGACACACAAAAAAACTTATATTTTAGGAAGCTTCACACCTATATATATCATTTCTCCCTCCCAGCACTTCCCTCCCATCCCTCTATCTTTATCCATTTCCTTTGCTTATCATCCTGGGTCATTTCTATCGCCTTGAAGTACTACCAAAAAAAGAAGAAGCGTCACACAGCCACTGAATAATTAAAATGACTGTCATTATATTTTAATGAGTATTCATCACCTTACGACAAGCCACCGTGCTACCCTGCTTATAGATGCAGTCGATACTCAATCTTTATCGCACAAAAAATTGCTCTAATTCGTGCTACTTTTTTAATAATATAAATAATAAGAGGGAGAGAAAGAGAGAGAGAAAGAGAGAGGGAGAAAGAAGGAGATATATATATAACTAGAGAGAAGGAGGGGGGGGGGGGGCTTTCCACTATCATAGACTTCTCCCTGGAAGATGCGTTCAGCAGGCATCAATTTGGATGTTTGGTAAGTCAGAGGCGTTATAACCAACATGATTGAATGGGTCTGTCAGCGGAGGGCTATAAGACGTTATTACGCATGCATGGCCGCACCACCATATCCCTCCTCCACTCGGCCTCAGCAAGCAAGCTCTTTAATGCATCACGGGCGAAGAGTCGCGATGCACATACAATTATACCGCCGACTTACCAGGCATGAAATTCATGCCTAGGTGCTCTGCACAAAACACAATGATCTCTGCGCACGACAGGGGGAGAGAGAGATGAACAAGAAGAAGACAGATATACACAGAGGAGGGGGAGGGAAAAGAGAAGGTGAGGGAGAGAGAGAGAAAGAGAGAGAGCAAAAAGAGAAAGAGGGAGAGAAGAGAGATAAAGAGAGAAGAGAAGAGAGATAAAGAGAGAAGAGAAAGAGAAAGAGAAAGGAGAGAGAGAAGGGAGAGAGAAGAGAGCAGTGAGAGAGAAAAGAGTGGGAAGAGTGGGAAGAGAGAAAAAGAGAGAAGGGAGAAAGAGACAGAGTGAGAAAGATAGATAGAGAGAGAGAGAGAGAGAGAGATAGGGAGAAAGACAGAGAGGGGGCTGAAGAAAGAGAAAAAAGGGTATCTGGCCTCCAAGGATATCAGGGACTGAGATGTGTTGAAAATACATTATGCTTGGAGGAATCGATGAAGCATGGGAACATTACGTCTGGAAATCAGAATATGTTAATGCCTAGCGTAATGTCAGTGCAACACCAATTGCAAGGCTTGCATTCCCGTTTATATGAAGACGATATTACTTTCAGTACACTGATAAAGGTGGGTATTCCCTGATTTTATGAAAATTCAGGTACACAATAATTACACTGATAATCACTATCTACTTGTATTCAATAATTACACTCAGGGTCATACATTGCAGACTACAACAAAAGCTTTAATTTATGATAAAATCCAAGAGGAAGGAAGGAAGAAAAAGAACATGAATTATCAGGCCAGTGTGATTTAGGAGATGAACTCATTAAATATTGAATGCACCAAAGCACCAATGGCGGATAGAATCTCATTACAAAACATGCCCCTTTCACTCATCAATGCATAAAGGCCACATTTCATGATCACTTAGCTAATTGAAAAATATGGGGAATATGAATGTGAGATTAACAGAACACAAGGAAAATTTGGACCTCACAGAGAATTGGGAGGGTGGGAGGCTGGTGGGAGGGAATGCATTCCTACGTTTCAAAACAAGAAGAATTATCGTGTAGCAAAAGAGATATACACGCATGGAAAAGTGTTGTGTTTACACATGTGGAAAAAGTATTGTGTTTACAATTTAAAACAGTGTAGAATGAAACTAGTTTTGAAGAGGTCTGTTGACACAACAGCCATTGAATCATCAATTCACACTCACGATAAGCCCTGCCTAGTTATATGGTTTTTGTATGGTGCAGCGTTCAGACGAGAACAAGATCCTGATTCGATTCTATCAAGTTTTCGTTCCAACCGACGCTCAAACATCTGTTTCACTAAACGCTGAATTGTTTACAAATATTTATATTGTGAAGTTATATGGTTCTGGTATATAAACAAAATAAATTTCACAAGTCTGAAAGGGGTGTCATTTCACAAGTCTGAAAGGGGAGCCAAACCTCTCGTCTAGACAGATTTGCAAATACTGCCTTCCCCTTCCTCCCTCTCTCTGTATTTCCCCTCTGTTGATATATCCTTGAATTTCTGTCCTTTATCTTGGTTTATTATCAGCACCTTGAATGCAGGACAATATAAACATTGAAAACAATGTCATTGCAATGAGCACACACTCATATATGTATGCCAAACGATTTTTGTAGAAAATGTATAGGGGCTGATTAATGAGTATAGAAAAATAACGAAAATCAAGGTAAGTGGGCCAAACACCATGTGCTTAACATAGGTAAACTATGTGCAAATGAAAGTTGTGGTTTTTATTGAAGATGATTTCCAGCAAGTTGTTGTGAGTTTTTTAATATTTTACTGGTTCAAACAATCAAATTCAGAATGAATTATAGCCATGTTCTCTCCAACATACGATTTCCATACCAGAGCTCAAGATTAGTTTTAAACCCTTACACAAAAATATTCTGAGAAACTGTTGCAGAAATACACCATAAACAAAATTCAGTCAGTCAAAGCGAATCTCAAAATCTACAGGAATTGAAGTGCATTAATAAGAGTTAAAATCCCTGCATCAAATATTGATTTTCATGTGGAAATTGGAAAAACGGGGAAGATCTGGGTTTGCCCGACGAGCCAACGAAGCAAAAGCGACAAGCGGCTGAACGGGAAGATGGAAGTCGGTTTCCCCTGGATTTATCACAGAGTTTATCCCTAGCAACTGCACAAAGCTCCAAGATGATTTATGAGTCGGTCTGGGGAGAGTTATTTTGTGCTTTCTACAGGGTTTCGCCATGCAAAGAGAATGAGGATTTTACTGTTAAATCATTGCCAGAGACATGCTTCAAAGTCTAAATTGATTCTTTGAGGGCCATCCATTTCTCTACCAATGCATGTATTTTTAGCTTTCAATTTTGGCTTTCTATTTCAAACTGTTTTCTTTTCTCTTTCCTTCCTCTTTTCTTCCAAATAAGGTTCATTCACATATTTTTTCTTTTTTTTTTCTTCAGAAATAATCATTTCAACAATTTCAAGAAAGAGAGAGATATAATTATAGAGAATAACCTTTCAAATAATAGGCCAACATATATCCAAACACCATTTTTATTTATCATTTATTTATTTGATTATTTCTTAGTGGCCATCTCAAACTATGTAAAAATGTGACATTTTGCGATAAATGTCAAAATTTTCTGCCTCTTTTACTTTATAGACTTCAAAGTACTACAACCAAAGAATTCTAAACACTAAACATACACATTTATCACGTATACCCTTTAGCCAAGAAACTCTGTATGAAAACATATCAAAATCAAATAATGGTGATGATCGTAAATCAAAAAAGAAATCATAAATCAAAATATTGATTTCGGAAGATTTCAAATCCCTCGTGACTTCTGATGAAGTACAGCCTAGAAGCAGTCAAAAACATGTTGACAAAAACTAGGGTCAAGTATGAGATAGGGGATTAATATGTATGGTTTCTGAGGGTCTTTGGGCATTCAGATAATTAAAGGTGCTACTTATCTTTGTTGGTTTTTTATCTAAAAGATAAAAGAAGTGTTACATGGAGAGTAAATAAATGAGAAAATAACACCGCTATATCAACGATTTCTACTTAAAATGATATTGTCTGTTTGCAGCCAAAAGGGCGTGGACTTGTATCAGTTTACAGGGAAGGAAAGCCCTTCTGACTTCAAACACATGATATAAATTATAGCCACTTTTGTCAATGAGCTTTACAGAATATAGGCTAAAACAAATATAAACAAAGGAGGAATATTTCTTTTGAATTGAAGACATTAGTTTTTCTTTTGGGTGTAAGTTTCAAATGTTTAGTGATGCATTTAAATTCATGAAAATATTACCGTAACCCTTTTTTTCATCAGAAAAAGTAAAATGGTAAGGATGTC